GAATATCGCCTTCAGTCTGGGACACTGCAGACAGCAGTGCGAAGTCTGAAGTCAGTTTGTAGAGACTTTGATTAATCGCCCAGGTGGCAATATCTGTCCATCCTTTGTTTCAAATTAGTGCCTTGCATGAAACTTACAAATTACTCGCCTGGCTGCTGTCCAACCAGTGATGTCTTAGCATAGCTAAAATATAGCAGGAAAATGGATTTAATGTTGCATTTGATTACATTTGAGTACAGGCTAAATGGCTATCTGAGAACACCAGTTGCAGATTCTGTTATTGAATTCATTATCACATATAACAGGAATGCTGGTATTTCGATCAATAAGTTATAATAAAGAGAACCTCAGCAACATAGGTCTTCTAATGCTGCAACCACCCTGCCACTTGCTATTGTTCCCTCCCTATCTGACATGAAGCATATCCAAGAAAGTCCACTTGATCAATAAAGAGCCAAAGGCATATCAAAGCTGTAGGAATCTTATATACGAAGTGGACCTTTGATATATTGGTCATTTTTTCTTTCATTCTTTTATTATGCAATGGATGTAACTTTTCTATTAGGATTAATGTTCAATCAGAAGTGTGGAACAAAAAAGGATTGATTTTTATAACAGCAATGACATTGCTCTTACCTCTTACAAAAAGAATAGGAATTCTGCAAATGTCATGCTAGTTCATGTGGTGTGTACATTTTACTATATTCAATTCCTTTTGTTAGCAAGTGTTCTGCAGTGTTGACATTTTGGAAGCCAAATAAAGGCCTTTCCCAATGACTAAATACATTGCTTTCCCCTTAATGTAACACTTGTGCTACCTTGATTCAGCATCAGCCATACAATATCTCACCCTCAACTAACAGCCAGGAATAACTGGGCTGCAAGAATAGTGTATATTATGATGCACTTAAAAGGGTGGGGGAGAGATGTGTGGTACCCGAGGTACCACTGTACATAAATGTGACTTACAAAACCATCGCATGACTTAATTTAGTATACCTCTACCGCCCATCAATTCAGTGGTCAGCGTTTGAGAACGATACCACTGAAAATGAGGCTACTTTAAGAATCACATATTGATTCATATCTCTGGGCAAATAAATGAAGCTTAAACTTTACAGGCCAATCTGCCACACTCACTGGTGTGGCCACACTTTGCCAACCTCCGCATTGCCTTGCTCCTCTGCTTCCCAGTAAGTGGTAGCAACCTTGCTGCTGGGAAGCTAACACAGTGGGTCTGCCCCACTGGATGTGATGCTTCTGGTTCACATCCTAATTAGTGTGTTTAAAATGGCAGTCATAAAGTTCAGCTTGTTTTTAAATCCCTCTCACTGAACTCATTTGAATACTTTTCCATTTAGATCATGACTATTTTTATTGCTAGCTATTAATGGGAGCCTTGGGGGGGACTGATGCACCACGTTGCTCAATAAATTTTATTGTTCCATATGATATAGTTCAATTGGAGTACAACTGAAAATTGGGACCATAAGATGGAGATGAGGAAAAGCAGGGGGCAGGAACCACTGACTAGCCTTAGAGTTACAACTGATGCATATTTAAGGTTGCATCCTATATGCTAACAGCAAAATCATTCCCTGAGTGTAGATCTTGATACAGGTGATATAGTACCATTCCCAATAACATCACCGCACTATAATGAATGAAGTATCATACAAGATGGCATAACTGGCTGTCAACATAAGCAGTAAACATTTTAGTAGCAGTCCCACTTGCTTGCTTAGTTTTGGCCTTGCTCTAATCCAAACACATAGCTCTGGGTGAAGCACTTGTGAAACAAACAATTTTACCATATTTCATCCACACTCACTGTTACAGTCCCTTAAAGTGTCCTAATTTTCCAGGGACAGTCTCAGATTTACAGAAGCCATCCTAGTTTCTGATTTGATCCTAGAATGTCCCATCTTTCCTTAGGATGTCCCTATTTTCAACAGTGAAATGTTGGAAGGTATGGTAAGACCTCCCTGTTTTCATTGGAGAAATGTTGGAGGGTGTGGAATTATCCAACCCTCAAGCCATCTGAAGGCAGCCCTATATAGGGAGGTGGGTTTTTTTAATGTTTAATGTTTGATTATGTTTTTATATATGTTGGAAGCCACCCAAAGTGGCTGGGCCAACCCAGTCAGATGAGCAGGGTATATAAACAGGAAAATTGTTGTTGTTGAATAGGACTTCCCCATATTCATTGGAGAAACAATGGAGGGTGTGCTGTTAAACAGCTCTACTGCACTCTTTGTTTATGGAGGACGGATACAATCCTTAGCTATTGATGCATGTTATACTGATAGGTATATATTTAAAAAGCTTACTGGTATCAAGAAACAAGATAGCAATCTGTTTTAAAAGTGCAATGAATTCCTAATCTGCTGTTCACTTCAGACTGCTAAGGTAGAATATACCTCAGTATCATCAACATTGCAGTTAATATGAAATATATAAATGAAGTTTGAAGCAAAAGAGAGAGAGCCACTAACCCCCTTCTCCTTTATTTGTAGGCCAGACACTGTTTTAAGAAAGAGGATTTATTTATTAGTGGTGCTTATAGTTCCCTGATGTTTTACTGTGCAAAGGCCAACTGAATTTGCAGTAAAGCTTTATAGGAGTTATATCAGCAGCAGCTGTATACGATGGGTGCTGAATCAGTGTCCTTGCCCGTCCTTGATATATTCCAAACACTGTATGTGATTTTCCCTACAGAGTTGCAGTGACTTGCTGTTGTTAATACCTCATACAAAGGGCAGTGAATATTTCTGAAGAGCTTGGAAACATGTGAACATTATTGTTATTAGTAGTAGTAGTAGTGGAAGAAGAAGGAGGAGGAGGAGGAGGAGGAATGACCTAAAGCGACGTACCAAAATAGTATAAACACTAAAACTGAGCGTAACAAACACAACTAATTCTGCATGGGCATATTTTCACATTAATCTGCAATGGAAAGAAGTATGCATGAAATTGAAAGACGTACTTCTGGATGCAGTTTTTCTATAAAATGTGTATATGTAAACTTATTCCCACTCAATTCAATATGCATGTTTCTTGATTTTTTTATCTGAATAATAACTATGTTGAATAATAACTATGAATAATAACCAGTGTGGTATAGTGGTTAAGAGTGGTAGTCTTGTAATCTGGGGAACCGGGTTCGCGTCTCTGCTCCTCCACATGCAGCTGCTGGGTGACCTTGGGCCAGTCACACTTCTTTGAAGTCTCTCAGCCCCACTCACCTCACAGAGTGTTTGTTGTGGGGGAGGAAGGGAAAGGAGAATGTTAGCCACTTTGAGACTCATGAAAAGGGAGTGAAAGGCGGGATATCAAATCCAAACTCTTCTTCTATGTTTTCATTTGCAACATTTGTCTGGAAGGTGTGGATCAAGTCAAGTTTGTACAGAAATTCACAAAGACCTTAAGAACATACGAATAGCCTGCTGGTTCAGGCCTATCTAGTCCAGCATTCTGTTCTCACAGTGGCCAACCAGATGCCTGTGGGAAACCAGGGAGCAGAACATCAGCACAAGAGCCCTCTTCTCTCTCTGAATACCAGCAGCTGGTATTCAGAAACATTGCTGTCTCCAACTGTGGAGGTAGAACTCAGCCATCATGTCTGGTAGCAATCGTAAGCCCTCTCCTCCATGAATTTGTCCAAACCACCAACCATCCAAGTTGGTGGCCATCACTGCCTCCATGGGGAACGAGCTCCAATATTTGGCTCTGCACTGCATAAAGTACTTTCTTTCATCTGTCCTAAATCTTCTAACATTCAGCTTCTTCAAACTGTGTTTTTCAAGCACCTCTAGATACATGGGTTTTTTTAGAAACCAAAGAGTTGTTTCATTGTTTAGGGCAAGAGATGTAATGTACAGTTAAAAATGGGTAGGCAAGAAATGTAAAATCGAGGTGGTTGCTCTATGCACACTTGCCAAAGAGTTAAGGCCCACTGAGTTAATTTCCAATGGAATTTACATGCTTAGGACTGCAGTGCCCATAGCCTGATCAGCAGCTAGTACTAATATTAGTGTTTCTAGTCTTTATATTTGACAATTCTTGGACTGCACTGTGACTTTTGGTTTCATAAGCTTTTAGAGAGCATGGCGTAGAGACCAGGCTGTTACATGATATGCACTTAGGCATAAAATATAGACCTATTGCTAGGAACTTGCATATATTAAGAGACATCATGGGCTATTAAATATATTTGGCAGCTCTATTCTGTAATAGTAATGAGGAGTGACTGCCTTCTGCTACTACCTAAACTGTTCCAGCCACTGAGCCTTGTTAGTTAAAACAGAAATGGATATGTATCACTATGCAAAAGACAAATGGGGCTGCAAGCTTATGCACACTTACAAAGGAGTAAGTACCATGGAACTCAGTTAGATTTATTTCAGAGTAAACATATTTAGCATTCTTTTGTTCATTTCATAATGAGCTGCAGCAAACCTTTTTAGAAAAAAAAATCGTACTTGTAATAGTAATAGTAAGAATAATTTAAAAAATTATTGGACAATTCCCTAAAAAGCCCATCTGTCTTCTGTGAGTTCTCTCCCAGCTCTCACTGCCAGAACAGTCTATTTGGTTTTACTTTGTTTACACCATTGTCAAAATCCATCAGTGATACTGTGGTTGCACCCTGCATCGCAAATCCTGCATTGAGTGGGGATTGGGACCAAATAACTCCCAAATGCCCTTTGAACTCTACAGTTATATCATGCCATAAAAGTACCCCCTTTTTCTGTGAGTTTTCAGTGCCCACTCAAAATTCCATAAATTTGTGTGTGTTTTTGTCTACAGGATTCTTTAAAAAAAGTCTTCTAGGTTTGGCCATCAGGGCTTAATTTTACCATCTGGGCAAAGTGAATTTCTCATGTCACTCATCCATGCCCATAGCATTCCTTAAGAAAAATCTTCTGGACTATGATACTGTGTTTAAATATCCCCCCACCCCCACCCATCCCCACTTTTTGTCTTTATTTTTCTTTCAGAATGACATGAGCGCCCTAGCAACATCAGGTCTCTTCTTCAAGGATGGCAAAAAACGTATTGATTACATTTTGGTCTATAAAAAGTCCAGTCTACAAATAGAGAAACGGAGCACTTTTGAAAAGAACCTTCGGGCAGAAGGACTGATGTTAGAAAGAGAGGTATGTTACATTTTCCACCTTTCTGCAGAGACTTTTTCTGAATAGAAGAACCACATCTTTAGTGCCATCTGAGGCTGTGTTCGCACGGCAGTTTATTCTGTTTTCAGTTCCACATTAAGATCCGCATTATATTTGAGCTTCCACATGACGTCAAAACCACTTCTGTGGAACAGTGGATTGCTAAGAACCCATAGAAGCATGCAGAGACATTCAGTGGGGGGCAGGAGGACATAAGCACTGCAAAAGGAATTTCTGGAAGGGGTCCGGCTCATATGTTACATCTGCCTACAATAAGAGAGGGCTGGCCGTAGTCCTTCCACAGGTGAGCCTTGTTCTCAAGACACTAATGGCCTCATCCTTGAAGATGGCTTAGATAAGACAGCTGACCTCTTCCTTTCAGACAGCTGTGTTTAGTCCCAGCTGCAGTGCATGACAAGCTGAAATTTCCATAACCACAGGGATCAAACTTAAAGGCCAAGTTTGACACAAAAGTCAGTGCCCACCTGGATTTAGAACATTAATCAATTCTATTTGGTTACTTTTTCAGCCAGCTGTTACAAACCATGATATTATGTTTGTTAAAATTCATTGTCCTTGGGATACATTGTGCAAATACGCTGAAAGAATGAACATCAGGATGCCTTTCCGGTAATATGAAATATTTCATTTTTAAAAAATTTACTTAACCTTTTTTTTAATGCATGTATTAATGAAATATGCTTTCCTAGAATTTTTTTTTTAAAATTACGGTCGTGCTTCCATAACTTTTCTTGAATATATGGTTGTTTTCTAGAAATATGTGATACAACTGCATGCAAAGTTACAGTGATCACAGTTATTTTATTAACTCAGAGAAGGTGTGGCAATGGTTAGAGTGTTGGACTAAAATCTGGTAGACCGGGGTTCTAATCTGCACTGCTATGAAGCTCACTGAGTGACATTGGGCCTGTCACTGTCTGTTAGCCTATCTCATAAGATTGTTCTGAGGATAAAATAGAGGGAGGGAGAAAGAATCTTGAGCTCCTTGGAGAAAAGATGGAACATAAATGAAATATTAATTAATATTTGCAAGGGCATCAATAGTTTTAGGAATAGAGTCTTTCTACTGTTAGATCTCTAGAGGTGGATTCAGATCATTATTTGTTCTGATAACTGACATAATGAAACTTTGTGTGTGGCTGGGATAGGTGACCAGTCTTTGAATACTCCAAGTTTTCAGACACATGGAAAGATCTCAGTCCACCATTTTTTAAAAACTGGGTGAAGTATTGATTGCATTGCAAGATAGCGCTAGTCTAGTTGTTTGTCGTGGCTAATTTAATTCCCATGAATTTCAGTAGGAATTAATACTAAACAAGGTGTACAGACATTCTTCCCCATGCTTACACTGTGTGTGTGTTTGTGTGTGTGTAAGGAAATCATGCAATACTGGCCACACACATCTCAAAACTGATAAGATTGTTAACCATGCCCCGTCTTCAGAGGCTGTGAATTTGGCGACAATGAGAAAGGGCCCTAAGTACTTATTTATCTACTCTGCTGTTCTGTTAAAAAGGCTTTCCTGCACTCGGGCTTAGAACCTCCGAAAAACACAACAAAAAAGAAAACAAAGAGGAAGGGGTAAAACCAAGTTCAGGCACCAGTTCTTAAAGTTACTCCAGTGTACAGCTGTTCACACATATGCCTCTTCTTCATAGTTAAGGACCCCAGTGGGGTTGTGAATCTGCAACATGTTAGAGCTTCAACAAGCTGGTCAGCACCAAAAGCGAGTCACCACTTTCTGCTTCCATCTCTATCCTTCCATGTCCACAGAAAATAGGCCCTACCTATTATGGCAACAAATCAAACACTAAGGAATCCATTATCTGCATTCTAGGAGGGAGCTAGAATTGGCAGAGGACTCCCTCCTCCACGATGGAAACCCCCATTACACCTATTGAAGGCATAGGCTGTGTGAGGGCTACTAGAAATGCTGTTCCTATTATCCAGATGTGACAATCAGCAGAGGAAATAGAAGCCAAACTGACTGTTTTCCACATTCCTCTGTCACTTGCAATGATTATAGATTCACATAAAGCCTGCACAACTTGAATTCAAGTTTCCGCCTTGGATCTGATGACTTTGCACTACCACACGAATAAGGAAGATGACACGTTTTCATTCGGCCCTCTAGGATCATCACATGCAAAACTCTCTTTAGCTACAAGCTTCTGAAAGTTAAATAACCCAAACTGCTTCCCCTGATCCCATTTAATCCAGTTTAATCCCTAGGGAGCAAAGCAGGATAGTTATAGCTGCTGACTCAAGCAGATTGGCTGCAGTCCAGAGCCCATTTACTCCTGAGCAGTAGTATTAAACTCAGTGTGATTCTTCCAGAACTGAATGGGTTATGGATTAGACCAATTGTCAGAAAATGAGCCATCAGTTCAAAAAAGACAGCAAATCATTTTCAGCAAGTGACTACAATGGTCATCAGCAATCCTGTAAACAATTTGGTATTTTTATCATATTTACTTCAGCAATGGGAGAATGGGAACAAAAGTAAAACAAGGAAACTCACAATGAAAGTGTCTGAATGCAGGGCTTGCTCTTAGAAGTCTTTCCTGCTTTGATCTATGAGGAACTTTTTGTACAATGTGAGCTGTTTCATGCATATGGAAGAGCACAAAAAGTAACACTTTGGTGACTAATCCAGCAGCTTTTATGCTTTAAAAGCTGTCCGCGCTTAAGAGCTTGTACAACTCACTGTGTGACCTTGGATTAGTCTTTCTCCCAGGGTGTTTTGAAACTGACCTCCTGGGAGGATGCATCCATGTCGGCTCCTGTACACAGTCAAGAATCCCAATCCACCTTCAAATGTCAGCCTGGATGCACGGTCATTGGAGGTGCTGCCCTCAGGGTGCAGGATGTCAGGAACAAGGCTATCAGGCATGGTCTACCGTCCCTTTCACATCTTAGATGTCTGCACGGAGGGGGTGATCTGAACACCCCTAAGGACAGCAGTCAAAATGAAGACCGTGCTATGGTGTTATCTGAGAATTTCCCATCACGTAGCTATTTTTCTTCTTACATATGGAAAATGAGACATTCACAATACAACGACTTGTTGCCTTTGCGTCAAAGAGACTATTAGCCCATGTTTTGAACTGTAGGGAGATTTGTTTGTTTGGGCTAATGGATTTCCAACCTGTCCACCATAAGATTCCAAGGCACATTACAACAATATAAAAATGTTGCATTTAAATCAGTTTAGAACAATGACTTCCTGCTACTTCTGATTCTTCCTCCTTGCTCTTGCTACAGTTGCCTTCTTCTGCTTCTTCTTCTTCCTTCCTCCTTTCCCCCCCTCCTATTTTCTTCCAACCTTCTGCTATTCCCACCTTTGTGCATCAAAAGCCTTTGGTGACTATATCTGTGCAACCATGATTCAGACCAGCATTATCCTATTCATGAGAAGGGGCTGAAGCTATGCTGCTGGCCCCGCACCTGATTTCCTGGCCCAACTCCTTAACATCCATGCCTTGAGCAGCTGAAGAATGAGGGCCTATGCAGATGGACTTCTATGCGATCTGAATTCCCTGTGCACTCAGAATTCAAAACCATACAGCAGCTTACACATATAGAACGCTACACACGAAGGCCTCCCCACATCAGACAGCTGTGTGGACATTGCCAGGAGGTGAAGATAACAGTGTGACACGGTGGTTGTGCCTGCAGAATGGCTTCTTCTGCTCCTTCTTCACATCAGTATAGGGTCTGAGAAGGAAAATACTGTGTGTGACACAACGGCATAGCTAACCGCTCGGGTGCCTGGGGTTGTGCACGCGCCCTGCACCTGGGAGCAGAGTGAGTCCCCATGGGGGCAGGGCAAACCAGGTCAGGGTGCACTGTGCAAAGCCTCTCCGCCACCTCCCCCTCAGCTGTAGGGTGGCTGAGAGGTGGTGGGAAGATGAAAGCCCCACGCTCTGTTTCAGGCAGCGTAGAACCTGCAGCCGCCCAAGCCACCACATCACTCCCAGGAGAGACGTGTGGCTCAGGCAGGCTGCAGACCCCACAGTAAGTGCTGGCCCCTGCAGTGTGGCGCCCAGTGCCAGCCGCATTTTGTTGTGTTTGTTGACTGAATTTAAAAGTTTCATGAGGGCCTACCCCCCATTCTTTATTTTAAACTCATATTTTTGCCATTTTGTCACCCCCCTCAATGATGACACCCGGGGCAGACTGCATCCACTACACACCTCTTTCTACACCACCGGGGTGACAGATTCCATGCCCATTACACCAGCAGGGATAGGAAAGAAGTTCATTCAGGACCAGAGCTGAGAAGCAACAGGTTTCCAAGTCATCTTGAGATTGTTCAGACAGCTGCAGGCCACCTGAATTGCTAGTTGCCCTCGCCCATCTCCTTATCTCTAATTTGATAGCCTGGTCCAATGGACCAAGCCAGGAAATGGCACAGATGCAAGTGCCTTTTGCAAGCTAAACTGGAGAACTCTCTGTAGGAAGGATGGGAACTGGGATACAGATTAAATTAAACTGAGCAGATGTTATTTGTCAAGAAGAGATGGTCTGCCTTGCTTCACTTGCCATTAAAGCTGCTTATTTCTGGGGAAGAGTGTTGCACGATTGAGTTGCTGTTCTTGGCTGATAAATGGCTCATAGGATGACAAAAAGAAAGATAGGAAGAGGTAGTACTGTCTCTTCCTTCCCAATGTACAAAACCCCCCTTCTCAGCTCTGCTGTGCAGAGATGGGTCTCACAGACTAGGGCATCAGTCTTCACTGGCAGCTGGTCTGACCACAGAGTTCAAGTTAGATGAGAGCCCAGACATGGTAAAATGGATAAATTGTCCTTTCTTCAGTTCTGAGCTCCATATACTCTTATATGATTCACTGTCCCTCTGTCTGTTACATTTATATTCCATCTTTAGATTTTTTTTAAAAAAAACACCCCACATAAGGTAGCAAGCAATGAAATCCAAATAGAAAATAACTGATCGGCATAATAATCAATACCACAGCAAAACTGTATAAAATCTCATAAAATAAAAAGTTTTAAAAGCCCCCAGTTAAAACATAATTAAATTAAAAATCCACATTAGGCTATCCAACTTGGTTGTACTCAGAGTAGACCGACTTCGATTAATTGACTGAAGTTAGTCATTAATTCCAATCAGTTTATTCTATGAAAAGCATATTGGATGAAATCCATCTGTCATTTTTGTAAGTGCTTATTTTCAAGTGTGATTTGGTCTAAATAAAATCTATGATTTGAATTCCGCTAGACTTTGTCCATCCTTCCAGCTAAGTAGCAGCATCAGTGGGGGTTATATATATATATATATATATGCAGGTTTTGGTGTCCTCGGGTGTCTTCCCGTGTAAAAGTTGGGGTGTCTAGGCGACGTTTCGACGAGGTCTCACTCGTCATCTTCAGGCTGGTGCTTTCGGCTTCTTGTTACTGGAACAGAGCAGGATCTCAGTGTTTGAGTTCCTATAAATACTGTTGAGGGGGTGTGGTGTATAGCCTCCAATGTTCTGGGCAGAGAGGAAGTTCCCAGGCTAGTGTGCCTTTTCTTCTTTTGTTCCTTAATTACTTGAGGGATATCTTGAGTGATTTCTTGAGTGATATCCTGAGTACCACTTAGGTGGGTCATTAGGTGTGGATTAGTTGCTAAAGCCTTCGTGTCTTGACCTCTTGAACTTTGTGAAGAGTTTTTCTGAGAAGATGGCTGTATTGCATTTAGTTGTGCTCTGGCTTGGCTTCGTGTATAGGGGCGAGCTGTGGTTTTGTGTCCTGTGCCAGCCAGATCTGTGTAGGGATTGCAGGGGGGTGCAGCATCCGGAGGTGACCAATAGTCAGCTCCATAGGCTCACCTCTACAAAATCTCGCTAAATTTCTCGCTAAGCAACTTCAGCCCTATGCAGAATCCATCCCTTCACACGTTACAAACTCCTTCCAGTTCATAGAAACAATAAAGAAGCAAAACCTACATCCCAATGACCTACTTGTGAGCTTCGATGTTGTATCTCTCTTCACACAAGTGCCCATTAATGAAGCCTTGACAGCCATTCAAAACAAATACAATCCCCCCGAATACATCCTGGACCTGACCAACCACTGCCTAACCAACACGTACTTCATCCACAATGGACAAAGATACAAACAGATAGAAGGAGCACCTATGGGATCACCACTCTCACCGGTCATCGCAAACCTGTACATGGAACACTTTGAAACCAATGCTTTAGACAAGTCAGAACACAAACCCAAACTTTGGCTCAGATATGTTGACGACACCTTTGTAATTTGGCCACACGGGAAGGAAAAACTAGATAGCTTCCTCACACATCTCAACAGCCTACACCCCAAAATACAATTCACTATGGAAATAGAAGCCAACAACCAACTTCCCTTCCTTGACGTCCTAATCTACAAAAAACCTGATGGCTCCCTAGGACACACTATCTACCGGAAAAAAACACACACCAACCGCTACTTACATGCACAATCACACCACCACCCTGCACAAATAAACTCCGTAGCCAAGACTCTCATCTCCAGAACCAAACGCCTGGCTGACAAAGACCACTTGACAACTGAGTTACAGAATCTCTCCAATGTGTTAATCGCCAATGGATACCAACAAAACAGGGTTACGAAGCTAATGCAAAAAGAAACACCCCCCAAAAACCAAGACACAGAAGAAAACAATGGCATGGCCCTCCTTCCTTATATCAAGGGCACTACAGATAAAATTAGCAAAATCCTCCATAAACACAATATCAAAACAGCCTTTTGCACCAACCAAAAAATAGCCAATATCCTCAGAAACCCCAAGGATAAAATCCAGTTGGAAAACCAAGGGGTCTATGAAATACCCTGCAAAGTCTGCCCAGCCACGTACATTGGACAAACAAACAGACGAATAAATGCACGTATCGCAGAACACAAGAATGCCGTCAAAAAAGAAGAAAAAACTTCCTCTCTTTTCCAACACATGAAAGAAACAGGACACGAAATTAATTTTGCAGATTCCAAATTGCTCTCTAACATGGAACATCACCACAAGAGAATAATCATGGAAGCCATCGAGATAGAGAAACACCCTCACAACATGAACAAGCGTGACGACACATCCCGCCTGCCAGACATCTGGAAATTAGCCCTCCCCACAAAAACCGACACCAGATCCAGAGGCACACAGAACGCCATCACCAATCAACCACACCAGACCCAAACCCAGACCCTCTCCACAGATAAATTACAGACACCATCCAGTAGCCAAACCATGGTGGCACCTCCGGATGCTGCACCCCCCTGCAATCCCTACACAGATCTGGCTGGCACAGGACACAAAACCACAGCTCGCCCCTATACACGAAGCCAAGCCAGAGCACAACTAAATGCAATACAGCCATCTTCTCAGAAAAACTCTTCACAAAGTTCAAGAGGTCAAGACACGAAGGCTTTAGCAACTAATCCACACCTAATGACCCACCTAAGTGGTACTCAGGATATCACTCAAGAAATCACTCAAGATATCCCTCAAGTAATTAAGGAACAAAAGAAGAAAAGGCACACTAGCCTGGGAACTTCCTCTCTGCCCAGAACATTGGAGGCTATACACCACACCCCCTCAACAGTATTTATAGGAACTCAAACACTGAGATCCTGCTCTGTTCCAGTAACAAGAAGCCGAAAGCACCAGCCTGAAGATGACGAGTGAGACCTCGTCGAAACGTCGCCTAGACACCCCAACTTTTACACGGGAAGACACCCGAGGACACCAAAACCTGCATTCCTGTACCCGTGAAAATCTACGAAAGCAAATATATATATATATATATATATAGAGAGAGAGATATATATATAGAGAGCTATTAATTAGTATAAGGCGGAATTCCAATATTACAAAGAAACTATGAAGTTTGTGTTTACAGTGTGCCTCATGAATAGCTTTCTCTCTCTCTCTCCCCCTCCCCCCCCCCTCTCTATATATATATCCTCAGTGAAAATTGCGGAGATAATTGCATGACTTTTTTTTTAAAAAAAACACCAAACTCAGGCATTACTGTAGTCATTTAAGGGTAGCAAAAAAATATTGAAATAGAAAAGCAATCATTTCCAGTTCCTTCATACAGCCATCTGCTGTCCACAGTTGTGTGCAAAATATCAGCTGATATAATGACAATAACATTAAGAAATCAGTGTGCAAATGAATGGGGAAAGATCTATAGTCTCTGGGCTTTCTGAAGCTGTAACTTCTTAGTGCATGTTAAATCTTTAAAGTAGCTAACTATACTATCGTCATGTACTATAATCTTAGCCAAGGTTTTCCAAGTTAATGGTTTTAAAGATATTTGATTGCCTTTAGAACTGTGATTTGTTGCACCTTTATTCTGTAAAGCTGCTTGTGACAAAACACTATGGTCTGTTTCCTAAGTCTGCTTCCTTCTCCTTTGTATGCGACTGTTCTCAGATTATTTCTGCTATTCTTACAGGAAAAAATGTTATTACACTGACTGGAGGAGCAAAACCATGGGCAGGTTGGTGGGTGATATGTAGCTTTTCATTTTGCCAAATAGTCACCCTGCTTAAAACCAATCCATCCTAGCAGTTGTAAATTTATTACAGAGGACCTTAATCAAGTTAATGGAAGCAGTAGACCTTGGCTGATTGTTTGTGTATGTGGTGGTGTTGCTTTAAAAAAGAAAGAAAGAAAATGCGGGGTGTGATTATTCTTACAAAAAGTTAGTGGCATCCAAGACTCTGAAAGAGCTTTTGGGAACCCTCTATTTTAACACTATCATGGAGTCAGATCCTGAGAATGGCGCAGAATCTTGCAAATTACTTTCCTGCACACACACACACACACACACACACACACACACACACCTGAAGCCCTCTATGCTCACAGAAAAGCCTCCCCAGGGACCCCCAAAATTGGGAGGAAACAGTGGGTGTGAACAGAGCAGCACTCATGCAATATGTCTCCATCCAATTTTGGCCAGTTCATCCCTCCCCCAGCAGCCCCCTCCCCTTCCCACACCATTCAAAAGGGAGCCTCAACTCTCCAGAAAGCTCAACAGGGGAAGGAGAGGATGCAAAAGACTTCTTCAACCAGCTTCCTTCTGCCCTTGGCTCTCAGGATCCAACCCACCATCTTTCTTAGTTTTGCTGCCTAAGATCCTTTTTCTGTACACAAAGCATGGAGTTTAGTGCTGTGCTGAAAAATTCTCTTTGTGTGTGTGCTCTCTATTTTCCATCGATTAATGAGAAAAGATATTGCATTCAAAAATGATCAAAGGCACAGGAAACGTTAGGTGAAATTCTTGTGTATGGTTGCAGGTTACATAATTCTCATGAATGGTTACATAATTTTGAGGTGAGTACCATTCCTTTCATTCTGGAAATCATCTTACTGGTGGTTTGAACTCTGCAGCCTTCCTGGATGTCTGTTTCTCAATTAGCCCAAGACATCATTAGATAAAGCATTCTCCAGATCTGAATATTCAATAGCAACACCCTGAAATATTTTATTGTGTAAATTTACAACTGCTTATCTCCTCTCCTCGGTCATGCACGTGCCTGCTTTGCATCAAATACATTACAAATACATGCATAGATACATAAAAATATAGTTTGCTTTGTATGGTATGTGAATTGTAATAGGGTTTCCCCCATCCATCCCAAACATCCAGACGTGGAGATGTATCCCTGTTGTATTAACAACTATTACTTACCTTGATTATGGTTTAGTTTGTTTCCAATGGAGCTGTGTGGTGGCAAATTTACAGATAATGAAATCACAATGCCTAAGTGTGCTGGTGGCTTCTTTTTGTTAACATTGCTCTATAAAGCTCTTGATTCTCAGTGTGAAGCAGAACTCCCAAAGGATAATCACAGTCAGATGAAATTCTCCTTGACCTTTCTCAGTTCCAGAGCCACAGCCACATGGGGCCTGGCCCCCTTTGAAATATTCAAGCTACTCTTTCTGAATTTTAAGCTTTCACATTCATTTAAAAAAGAAAAAAATCTGTGGAGAAAAGGATTGAGGCAATATTACACTCAGTCAAGGAAAAGTAAGAGGTAAACACTGAGTGATCAATTAAAGAAGGTTGGTTAATCATACAGGTTTTAGTCTATTAATCTGTTTGGCACATTTGCATAAATTTGCATAAATACTTCTGAAGCATTCTTTAGAACATAAGAAAAGCCCTGCTGAATCAGACCAAAGGCCTATTTAGTCCAGTATTTTGCAGTCACCATGGCCAACCAGATGTCTATGGAAAACCCACAAACAGAACATTAGCCTAATATCACTCTCCTGCTCATAATCCCCAGAAGCTACTATTCAGGGGCACAAGGTCTCTGATCTTGGAGGAATCATATAGTAATCATACCTAAGTAGCCAATGATAGTCCTACCCACCATGAAGTTAAGTCCTTACCGCATCTTGTGGTGTCAAATTTATCTTGACAAAAATGGCTGGTGGTTGTGTGGATAGCCTGGCCCTGAGGTGAACCTGTACACACTGTTGTGAAGTGATAATCCAAATTGGCTTAACCATAAAGAAGCCAACCAAATTTGAAACCAACCTTCCACCACTTTCTCACCAGAGAATCCAGGTACCCTTGTTTCATCTTACGGCCAGTTCATGTGACTTAACTGTTGTGGCAACATTCATGAACTGTTTACCAAGTGAAAAGATGTCCACCAGCTTTTGGGGATGATGGAAGCCTACTGCTCACTACAGCTGATCTGGAATGTGTGTTCCATACAACCATCTTATTACTTTGGCCATAAACTAGTGAAATCAGTCTGCATGGGCGATTGGGCTTTCCTTGTGATATCTTGGGAGGCAGTAAAGAGTTGCCTATGCTTGTGGTTCTTTCCTTTTATATCTAACAGGACCAACCCTCTGCCCTCACAGGGCTGTTTCTTATTTTCTTACTATATTTCTAGTCAGTGAGTTTAGGAAGGTCTTCCCTTCAAGTTGTGAATATTGGTATTCTCATCTGATATTTGTATATGTAACACAAATCCTACTTGCAAAAATTGCACCCTGACTTTAAAACGCAAGTGTGAGAAGTGACTTAAAAGTGACTAATTTGACATTTTTTAAAAAGGTAAGGGACCCCTGAAACCAGAGCAGTGCATGGAAACGCTGTTTACTTCCTGCTGGAGCAGTACTTATTTATCTACTTGTACTTCTTTGGTGTGCTTTCGAACTGCTAGGTTGGCAGGAGCTGGGACTGAGCAACGGGAGGTCACCCCGTTGTGGGGATTCAAACCGCCGACCTTCTGATCGGCAAGCCCAAGAGGCTCAGTGGTTTAGACCACAGCGCCACCCGTATCCCTAATTTGACATTAGTAGCCTCTTATACTGAATGTTTTACACCAGGAACATATTCCACTCACATACATTATGCAACCATTTTCCATCATGTGTCCTTTTGTACTCATTTGCATGTCATTATTAAAATGTTAACTTCCTTTTAAAAATGAAATATATATATATGCAGTTTTTGTTGCCCTGGGCTGCTTTGGGAGGAAGAGTGAGCCATGAATGTAAAAATAAATAAATGAAGAAAAACTTGTACTTTCACTGCAAATTTGACTAAAATAGCTGTACTTTACAAGATTCGACCACGGTGGTTGGCAAAGGTGGGAATACTGATACATTAAATATTCAGGTGGGAAAGCTGGGAAGAGGGATTTGATGAGAATTTTTAATTTTAATTTAATTTTAAATGTTAACTCTGTTATTGCTCTGTTTACCAAAAAACCACCCTAATCATCTTGTTTATAAGTTAATTTAATGTGTGTTGTTTCATTTACGCTGCTGTCTATTCAAGATACCTGAGAATACAGACCTTGATCAAGAGAAGCATGCATATAGCTTTGTGAACCTAGCAGGGCTTTTAATATTTTTTTGCCCTGTATTCTATGGCATTGCAAACTCATTCACCCCTAAATTTGCTCCAAAAGGGCATGGGGCTTGGTGCAAGCAAACGTGTACAAATCCTTTGAGGGCGTTCAAGAAGTGTCATTTCCTACTTCCACTGCCTGAAAGCAAAGAAATATATCTTTGGGAAGACAGAGGGACAGACAGAGTGCCCCTTTCCCACTGGGAACACCCATCCTCCCCAGTGTTAAAACTAATACTGTGAGTGGCTCTCCCATTAAGATGGAAGGCACAGCCAGGGCTGGCCCTAACATTAGACACAGTGAGGCAACCCTCATGATTCATCCCCACAGCATTTCATTCTGTTGCCCCATTGTCTGTGGAGAGATAAAGCCCCCTATTTGTGGTAAAGATTTAACAATATTAATTATTAGTCTACAAAAGGGAGACCATACTACATACAACAGAATCATTAAACCATGTAAGATAATAAATAAATCTGCCAATACTTTTTTTTCTCATCAGCTCTCTGTAATTTCTTATTCTTTTAAAAAATGGCGCTCCTATTAAAAATAACTGAATAGAACTAACAGTAAAATTCTGTTTGTCTGCTCAGAGGTAAGCCTAGCAGAGTTCAATGGGACTAACCCTGTCTACTTGGGAGCAAGTTCAGTTGAATTCAATAAGACATTCATGGTTACTCCCTTATAAATGTCTGCAGAATTGCAGCCTCAGTGGCAAAGGCTCGAGACAATTAATTGAGTACGTTCCAAAGAACATCTATGTCCCATTTGCTGCATAAGGTTTCTAAGTTTTTTGTGAAACAGAACATTGCATTTCTTTCTAAACAAATAATGAAATTTTGTAGCCCAGTTTTCAGCAGTGCAAATGAAACAAGAGTTAATTTTGTAAAATCGTTGTTATGGTTACCATTTACACATTTCAATTATTTTGGTCCTATTTATTTTCAATACATCCAGTATTGCATGTTTTGGTCTCTTATGTTTTGTTTTCTTTATATATAAATGATGGTTATGACCTTGTGGTTAAACTGAATTCATTCATTCATACCTGAATCATTCTATGAAATAAAGTCTACAAGTAAACATACGGTGCAATGAGCAATAATGTATGAAAGGCAATAATATCTATGGGTGCAATGTAGCCTTTTAAAAGTCAATACGGGTTTGGAAAAGATTTTAATGATATGTAGATTGCATCTCATACCAATGCAAATAAGATCACTTTCAGGACCCGATATTGAATTTTAGTGAAAGATTGCATTCCTTTTGTATTTAAATGGAAATTTTGCCTGGTTCAGTGCTTCTGGGGTGTACTCCTCATTATTTGAAATTATTTCTTTCATTACCCCCAGTGAATTTATTAAGAGTGATGGCCCATTACAGCAAAGAAGTGTTACCTGTTTATTTGTTGCACTGATGTGCTAGTTGTACCTTATAAAGATGAATAAGCCATTCTGTTAAAAAGCACTGTCTAGAGTTCAAGCAAACAGCAGACTCAGACACTGCAGCACTGAATACCAACAGAGGGAGGGCAAGATATATGCAGAAGCAGGTATCTGTGCGTACGTCCCCTGACAGAGTTGGATCCCTCCCCCTCCCCACCCTTTACTCTGTCCACATTGTTCCCACTGCTGGGTGACTGCAACCAGCACTTTGATCTTGGATGTGTTTTTCCCGACACTAGATCAGAAATGCAATTCAGTGTAAACAAGTGCAAAGTGTTGCACGTCAGCGCAAAGTAAATAAATTTTAATTTCACATACATGGTCATGGGGTCTGAATTTGCAGCGACTGACTAAGAACGAGATAGCTTGATGAAGATCATCATCATCATCATTTTTAATTTTTATACCATCTTTCTATCTTACAATACTGGTTTACAAGCTGAAGAAACAAAAAATGTACATCTTATAACAATCTAATGCAATAGTAAATGTGATAATAAAACTAAACTTTAAATAAGCAACCTACATCAAAAAAGTAGCATTCAACAAGATGTCAACGGAGTGTGCAGCAGCTGTGAAAAAAGCAAATTCTATGCCGGGGATCATTAGAAAGGAATGGGAAATAAAATTGCCAAATTGTGTGACTGCATTTGGAATACCGTGTACCCTTCTGGCCTTTGCCTTACCTCAAAAACCATACAGTAAGCCTGCAACTTACATGGGAGTTGCATTCTGGAGATGACACCTAAAGCCAAATTTGCATGTAGTCCAAACATATTGGGTTCAATGGCAGGTGGGATTGCCCAAATATTTCTTCCTGAATGTTTTTAGTTCCGAGAAAAGGTGAGTAAGAGAGGAAATTATGCATGACATGGAGGTAGTGGGTAGAGAAAAGTTTTTTCTGCCTCTCTCTCATAACTTGTGGGCGTCCAATAAAACTGAATGTTGAAAGAGTCAGGACAGATGAAAGGACTTTTTGTGCAGCACGTAATTAAACTATGGAAATCACTCCCACAGGAGGCAGTGAGGGCCACTAACTTGGATGGCTTTAAAAGGGGATTAGACAGATTCAAGGAGGATAAGATTATTACTGGCTACTCACCACAATAGCTATGCTCTGCCTCCACAGTCAGAGATGGCATTGTTTCTGAATACTAGTTGCTAGAAACCACAGGAGGGGAGAGGGCTCGAGCTCAGATCATGTTTGCGGGTTTCCCATCGGTTCCTGATTGTCCACTGTTGGAACAAGATGCTGGACTAGATGGGCCAATGTTCTAGATGCTCTTCTCTCTCAACTCCCTCTGTGCATCTCCACATCAGAAGCAGCAGCAACAGCTGAACATGAGAGCATCTGATGGAGCTCTGTGGTGACAAGGGCAGACCAAACCTGTGGTTCCTCTTCATAACACTTCAAGAGGCCTGTAATTTGGCCCTCAATAGAAGAGCAATATTTGGAGAGAGATTGTTTTATGCATTGCATTTGTATATTTTATTGATTTTTGTAAACCACCCAGGAGAGACTTTGGTCAACGGGTGGCCTAGAATTAATTCAAATAAATACCACAAGAAGAGCCCGGATAGATCTGGTCTAATGTCCTGTCTTGTGGAGAGACATACTGGTATCACTAACAAACCAAATAGAGTCAAAGAATGTAAAATGCAGATGACTCTGTTTTTATTTTGCTTGGTGTGGGATGTTTAGTGAACAGGTATAATGGAAACACAGCTATTATATTTCTGAGGCCTCATTGTATATTTCACCTCAGACTGAATGGCAACCCATGAGTAATGTGAAGGGAGCGCTGAACCACCAGATATTTCTGGACTACAATTCCCAAACTCTCTGACCATTGAATTTGCTGACTGGCACAGAAGGGAGTTGTGAGTGGAAAAAACATCAGGGGCTGGCAGAGATTCCTTATCTCTTCTCTAAACTCATTCATGTGGGCCATTCCATTCCATTTTCCCCCAACCAGAGCAAGGGGGAAAGAACACACATCACTGGTAGAGCATCTGCCTTGCAAGCACATGTGTCTCATGTTGAATCCCCAGCATATCCAGATAGGTTTGGGAGAGACTCCTGCCCGAAACCCTGGACAGCCACTGCCAGTCAGTGTTGACAATAGTGAGTTAGATGGACTCCACGGTCTGACTTGCTACGAGGCAGCTTCCTATGTTCCTAGTGTTGGCAGTGCCCCTTATAATACTTTTTTTAATCCCCTGGTTATGCAGCTATTTTTCTTCATTTTTGAAGAGGAGGACATTATCAAGAACATGGCTTCATCTTCTTTGTTTTCCATTCTAGTACAACCCTCCCATTGCCGGGTAGCATGTAGCGAAATCTCTAGGCAAAATGCATGCAAGATATTGAAGTAATTTCCTCCCCAATGTTCCAGTTTGCAGAGGAATATGAGAGAACTGAAGAGCTGGTTGCCCAGAAATCCAATGAAACTTGACAAAGAAGCGCTTCCTGACCTGGAAGAAACTGATTGCTATACGGCGCCCTTCAGTCGCGCACGCATACATCAGTAAGTGGGGGACCCATATGTATATATTCATAAGGCACCCTGATTAATATTTCACTTTTCCTCAGCAGGTGACATAACATCAATCATCATTAACAGATGGCTGATGTCAAAACTGAATGGTATTTATATTCTAAAAAATCTGTCATCTATATTCAGTGATATCTTCTAGCGATAGACCTTTAGCAACGTAGGATCAGGCACCAGTACCATCCCCTGGACTGGCTTTCTTTTCTCCAGGGTAATTTTGCAGTATTCTCAGAGCAACAATACTAAGTTCAAAATGTATGAGCTACTCTGAAATCCTAAGGGCCAGCACCACAAGTGCTACATTTTTGTTTCATAAAGGAGAATCACAATTGAATGTTCCTGATTAAAACCATAAATCTCATATTCATGAATTTTGTGACCCAAGAGGGAAATCTCACTGGTGCAGGGCCATCCAATTGGACATTAGCAGGTCAGCAAAATACCCTATAGTGTTTTGTGTACATAAAGTTTTGGAAGCTTATTTGAAAAGGCCATTGTCTCAGAACCAGCTTGAAGACTGCTTGAATTGCACTACTTGCAGAAATTAAAATGTTTCAGGTTTTAGTTGCTCACATTTTAAATGGGGCAATGTGATCCTTGAACATTTGAAGTCACCTGACACTCATGGATTTGCTTTTCAGTACAGTATTCATTTAACTAGACGAACTACAAGTTGAACAATTCAAGTGATATAAATAAGATCTTAATACATGGCCTTTTTAAGAAACATGTTAATTGTGTCTATTCAGACGTACCGATAAGTCCCACTGAATTCAGTGGGTCTTAATACCAGGTAAGTGGGTATAAGATTGCAGCCTAAGCTTAGGTTCTGAACCACATTGGAGTTAATTATTTGATAATCATGGGATGGAAAGGGCATCATTGACCATATGGCATCCAAACCATTCCAGGGAGGCAAAGGTTTCTGGCACAAGAAGTGCATGCTGCAACAGCAGAAGGGAAACCTAGCTGGGGAGTGATATTGGGAAGGGCAACTGCTGTGGAAACAGGACAGCAGGCAAACCCAAAAGGCAAAGGAAGTTTACTGACAGACGTTTGAATGGCAGAAAATCAAAGGCTCAGGTGCCCATGCTAGTATTTAATGTGTGGAGCTATTTCGTTCATTGTGAGATATATTGTATGGTGATATTTTGACAGTTGCTTTGAAAATTAATTGACATCAACTATCTCTTCAACAGTTTTACAATAAACAACAAAGACAGTTTCTTCAGCAACTCCACGAGAAGTAGAATAGTACACCATATGCTGCAGAGAACGAAGTATGAAGATGGGAAATCAAAAATGGGTATAATTCCACTTGGGTATTAAGACTGCTTGTTGTTAGCAACATATGCTCTGCCAGCCAAAATTATTGAGTGAATATCTAAACTAAAATATAGATAACATCCAATTGGAGAAGACATCATGGAATTTTCACCTGGGGACCCTCCAAATGACCACTTTCTTAAGCTTTCGTCCAGTTTTGCTTGCACAGTGCTTACGCACATGTTAGATTATATCCAGCCTTTATTGAACATTTCTTCTGATTTGTTAGTTACAGGACAATAAGCATTCATTCTCATTTGCTTGCAGGGTGTTTACATTCGTTTCCGTTAATTAGTCTGTCAGTCATCCTGTATTTTTCAATAGCTTTCCCCATCACTATTCAAACCATGAAAAGACTAAGGACTGGTAAAGAAAAAGTGATTTATATGCATTGTATGTGCCATATAACATTGTGCCACCAGATGGCGATGTGCAGTCCCGTTTTTCTCTACCTGTTTTCCCTGTTTAGATTTACAATGCTTTAAACGGAAATGCTTCTTTGATGTGCTTAGATCCAGCCTAATTATTTCTAAAAAGCAGATTTGTTGTGCTAAGACAGCAGAGTCCCTTAATTGACATTAAAACACAAACCTAAAGCTTTGGAATGCACTTGAATTCCTCCTGGAGGAAGAGGCGTCCATAAGATTCTTCATATAGGGTTACCATATTTCAAATAGTTGTTGAGCTTTGGAGGAGGGGGCAAAGTAGTTGAGCTTTTGGGCAAATTCACAAATTCAGCTGTTTTTTTAAGGAAAATCAACAAAAGAGACGCTGCCAACATGGGTTGCCACACATCCAGATTTTCCCGGACATTTTACCGATTTCCGCCTAGATGCTGCTTCTGACTGCAGTATTCCGGGTATGTCCAGGAATTTCCGGACGTATGGCAACCCTAGAAGTTCACAGAAAACTAACAATAGTTGCCAATTTAACAAAGATTGTTAATAAAGGCTTGAATCCAAAGGTGTTTTGCACTTGTGAAGAGCCCCTTACCTGTATACTTGTGCAAGGTATCTACATCCAGTTCTTTTAATTTCCTCATTCTGCACTCAGTCTTCTTCATAGCCATCCCACTATAATTATTTTGGAACTTATTTTTGATTAGGGATGCAAATAATGTATTTAGTTGTTTTGCTTATCAGCCATAACAAAACAGAGCACAAACCTCCCCCAAAACGTTCAGTTGTGCCACAAGTTCTTATTTTGCTAGATGCCAGCACAAATAAAGAAACAAACCAAACAACATCACTTTCATTATGAAACTGGAAATAATATATCAACTCACTGGGGGAAACAAAGTTCCTCCTGCAACTAAAGCTGTGGGGATTCCGTGGGGATCCTTCTAAAGTGAGCATTGGGGGATATAAAGGACAGCATCCTCTGCCCCAGTGTAGGAGCTGCATGTTTATTGTTAGCAGCATTTTTAAATCTAGAACTTTGAAACTCAGACTTGAGTCCAACAAGCAGCAAACTGATCCACGCCTCCTAGCTTTTGACAGTAACCATATTAGCAAATGACCAGATGAGAAGCAGAAGAGCAAAGAGCTTTTATCTGCTTGGAGAAACTTGCTGACTTGACTTGAAACACCATTAGCCTTGCATATAATGATTTTTGAATGGGTTCATCGTTTCAGGCTAAGGAGAAGTAGAATTAGGGTTGCCATATTTTGAAGAGCAAAAAAAGAGGTAGCCTGAGCTGCTGCTAGCCAGAGCCAGGGAAAGAGGCCATGGCATGCAGAGCAGCCCAAGCCTGCCCCCCCCCCCAAAAAAAACCCCACACCTCAGACATTTCCTTTAAAATGTAAAAACCTGCCCGGATTGGCCTGTTGGCAACCAGCCAAAGAAGAACATGGAATCCACCACACTGTCACATCAGGATTCCCTTTTTGTTCGATGCAAAAACACACACACAAACCCTGAAGCATATACACAAGTGTGCATTGAAGATATTACAGTGCAATAGGCCCACTTGAGGCCTTTGTGTGATGGCATCAAGATTGCTCTGTGTATGTGTCTCTGTGTGTGTTGCAATTCATTCCATACCCAGGTGCTTGTCAGCAGGGTAAACCTATCCAGTGGCGGAGCAAGCCAATTGGGTGCCTGGGGTGGCACGTGTGCCCTACACCTAGGGGTGGGGCCAGCCAACCATGGGGGCATATCCAGCTGCCTGCGGAGGTGGGGCCAGCTGCCTGCGGGTGGGGCAAACCAGGGCAGGACACTCCGTGGGGCCTCTGAGGAGTTGGCCTCCTCCCACTCAGCCATCCTACAGCTGGGGGGGGGGCGGACTGTTTGGGGCAGCATGGAGCCTGCGGGCACCCAAGCCACTACGTCACTCCCAGGAGAGACGCATGGCTCAGGCACGCTGCAGGCCCTGCTGTGAGTGCCACCCAGCATTTTGTCACCCCCCTCAGTGGTGACACCCAGGGCCGCTGCCGCCCCTCCGCCGCCCCTGAACCTATCTAGAAGGGAAAAAAAGCAGACAGAAAAATGAGGGGGGGGGGGCTAGGCATGTGTGGCAACATGAACAAAGCCAGAAAATATTCTTAATAGGGAAATTTATATACTACTACATATTTCAAAGAAAATCTCTAAGTGGTTTACAGCCAACTAAAAATATCACAAATGAAATGCAGAAATAACGTTAACGAAATCCACATTTTGGAGCAGCACTTGGATGTTAGCACTTGTGTTGAGGAACCTGATTTCTAAGTTGTGTTATTGTCTTCTTCTTCATTCCCTAGGTATTAACAGATTACTCAACAACGGAACTTACGAAGCTGCATTTCCACCTCACGAGGTAGATTAAGTAGTAGTGCTTTGAGTATGGTATGTTCATTCTAAGTTTGCGTTAACCTCCTGCAGTCCGCAAATGAAATGTAAATTTGCTCTCAGGTATTTCTGTTTCTTCGCTCCGTCAGTCTTCTCTGAGGACCCCTTCTTCAAACTATCTTCGTTGTGTAGTTTTTTGTTGCGCTAGATGTCATTTGTTGCATAGCATGCAACCCATCCAAAGGATGTTTATTCATGAGCACAAGGTTCTATCCTAAGGCACAACACCCACAAGCAAGGGGGAGCCTCAGGTCCAGATGCTGCATATGGCCCTCCAAGCCCCTTTATCCGGCCCCAGGACATGCACCCATCCCAGGCACCGTCCCTCCTGGCTCTGCTTTGCACTCTCCTTGAGGTTTTCTTGTTTGTTTGTTGCCTGGCTTGGGGTGTGCTCTCAAACTCTTGCTTTCTTGGATGGAGGATAAAGAGAACTGTGTGTATGTGTGGAAGCTAGCCTACAGTACAAAGGTGATGTCTGAATTCATTGCTCTGTCTGATTTCTGATTTTGCCTTCGACTCCTGTAAGTTTGCCCAGAAGGGACTGTGGCCTTCTGGCTGAAAAAAGTTTCTCTAGTCCATGCCATAGGCAATAGGAACTTTGTTTCCTGGAAAGCAGATAGTCATAGGTAGCATGGTGCATATATTATATAATAATAATAACAATAATAATAATTATTATTTATTTATATCCCGCCCTCCCCAGCTGAAGCCGGGCTCAGGGCAGCTAACAAGAATAAAATAAGACAACATTCTAATATTATATTATATTAATTTTTTTATTAAAAACATTTCTATGCACCCCAAAACTTGGAAGAGGGCCTACGTGGTGTTCTACATTAGTATAAAACAATGGAATATGTTATTTCAACTCATTGCAGTCAAGTTCTGCCCAGTGCACCAGCCTGCAGGATGGCAAGTTCCACTCACAAAGTCCCATACCTGCATCTTCCATGACAAATCAACCTTTCAAGTCAAGCAGGAAGCTTTGGAGATGATGTTGGGCTGAGCATGGTTAGAATCCTCACTGTAATGGGGAATCCTTGTTGTGTTTCTCAGTCAGAGGGAGGATTCTAAGTGCATTAAGCTGAATGTGTGTGTGAGAGGAAAACCCTTTGGACTTTCCATCATCATCATCATTATTATTAGTAGTAATATTGCTGTTGTTGTTGCTGCTGCTACTATATATGCGTGTAAATGCAATAGTAATTGTTCTCAGCAATGGCTTTATGCTAGTGGGAAGTGCTTCCATTCACATAAAGTAGGCCCCCAATTTTTGTCAATCCTCAACTGCAGTCAAAACTTTCCACCATTCCTCAAGAGCAGCTTCTCAGGGGGGTGGGGGGGTGGACTGCAGTCTGCATAAATTGGGTGCCCCACATTGCACTAGCAGAAAACAAGTATTTTAAAAAAATATATAATTAAATTTCAATATTGAGACAAGCAATATCATTAACAATACAACAACTTTATGTTAAGACTGTACTGTTCAGTATTGTTTAGTAATACATGGAGCAACTGTCCTGTTCCATTAGAAATGTTGTTTTAATATTTTTCTTAATTTCTTCATAAGAACCCTTTTCTTTTGTATAAGCACATAACAATTCCCCCTTCTCCACTATCTGTCTTCCAGGGAAGTCACAAGAGCAGGCATCCCATCAAAACTCATGGAGCCCAGAATCATCGACATCTGTTATATGAGCGCTGGGCACGGTGGGGAATGTGGTACAAATACCAGCCTTTGGATTTGATCAGGTACTCCAAGAATACTGCAGAACTTGGTTTAGTCCCATGAAAAGGGAGGAAGGCTGAATGACGTTCCAATGAACATTCTGCTGTGAACAGTCTCCTTATATCAGCCTAGTGTTTTAAATTGGTTGGGTAACCTCTGTTCCAGGGACTGAATGCATCCTATTGTGCCGCTGTTATCTGGCCCTTGGGACACTCCCTTGGCCACACCCCTTGTCCTTAGGCCACACCCCTCACCAATAGTGTTCTACACTCTCAAGTGGTTTTGCCTGACTGGAATGTGTCTTTGAACTGTAGAAATGTCTCTTCCTTTCCTAGTTAGGATGGAGGGGATATATGTACAGGGCTGTCTTAAGCATATGCGGCGCTGTGGTGCAAAGATCCACCTGGCACCCCCCCTCAGGTTGCCCAGTCCCAGGCATACAGGAGGGTGTATGCCCCCAAACTCACAGCGCAGAGCCACCCACAGCAGAAGAGCTCACTGCAGCACTCTGACCAACAGGCAGGCTCTTCCCCGGACTCAACTCACAGGCCCCAGACTCTTGGCCTGGTGCCCCTGGGTGCCTGGGTGCCCCACACCCCTAGTGCCTATGGGTAAGACGGCCCTGCATATGTAAAAAAAATAAACCTCTGACTTTTGTGCAGTTGAAATCTGGCCTATATAGGTAGACATTTATTGTGCCATGCACTTTTCCCTCTGGATGATTGATGGAATCCAGCCCTCAGCCTGAGAAAAGTTCTCCATCTCTGATTTAAGTAGTATATAAATTGATTTTTTAAAATCTTTGATTTGTTTCTTAGTTCTGATGAAATGCATGCTGTATTCAGAAAATGTAAGATAATAATTTAGCATGCACCTGCAAATAAATACAATAGCGCAAATACAGTAGTGCAATCACACTGAATTGGCTGTCCCAGTCCATTTGCAATGTGCCAACTTTGCCACCACCTCTCACTTTCCCTATCCCTTCTGATAAGCAGCAGCCATGCAACAACCCATTGGTCAGGTGAGTGCTGCCACCCCACCATGCCACCTGCTACTGGTGTTACCAGATCTACTTATTGGCATGTGTGGAAGGAAGGACTGCCTAGGCCATGTCCAGAGACTCTGGCTGCATTTTGACATCTGGCTAAACCATTGTTTAATGTGACATGAACAAGCCAAGCAAACCAATGGTTCATGCATCTCCCCCATCCCCTCTCCTCCTGTAGCATCTCGGGAGGATGCTGAAAGTTTCTCTTCTGTTTTCCATTAATTGAAGTTTAGTGTTTCAAGCTAAAACTATGGTAAACTATGGGTTGCTGTTTTGAAACAAGCCAGTTTCGAAATCCAAAGGTTAAGGTTTTAAACAAACTATGGTTCACATTAACACATCAATACAAGAAATTGCAGTTAAGCAAAAATCAGATGCAAAACTATGAAAAAACAACCACCACAGAGCAAGGTTGACCTAAAACATTTTGCTGCCAGAGCAGAACAGCAAGTCAAGGTGTCTAGTACTCAGGTAAGGCCAAGTCATTTCAGCAACGAAGTCCCACAAAAATACAATTGTAATAACATAATAACTAACAATTTGCTTCCCTTTTATGACCACCAAAATCAGCTGCCCCAAGGTGACCACTTCACTCTGCCTATTTGCAAGGCCAATTTTGCTGCAGAGTTTTGTTCATGCCATGTTAAACTATGGTTTAGTGTTGCATCCATATGTACTTTTTAAGTACGGCAACGATACTCCCTGCTCCAAGAGTCTCTACAATGGCCATTCTTTTGAAACAGACAGGACTCTAGTTGTGCCTGACTGTGTTAAATTAAAAATATGTATGGTCCAGAACAGGCTTTTCCACTGTGATGAACTCCAGTTTTGGACTACAACTCCCATTGCCCCTGACTATTACTCAGCTGACTGGGACTTAGGTAAATTGTAGTCCAAAACATCTGGCCAGCACCAGATTGGGAAAGCTGACCTTGAATGCAATCAATGGCCTTCAAATTATATGTTGAACTGAAATAAAAAGGCTTTGCCAAACCCATTTCTAACCAAATCCCATCCCAACTGAAGAGTAGTTCCACTTCCACTTAAGGTGAATGATGTGTTGCCAAGGCTGGCATTGGCATTCAATTACCATACTTTGACATTTAAGCTTATTGTATATTTACCTTTTTCTTATGCAGGCGGTATTTTGGAGAGAAAATTGGCCTTTATTTCGCTTGGCTGGGATGGTATACTGGGATGCTCATTCCTGCTGCACTTGTTGGGCTGTTTGTTTTCCTTTATGGATTATTTACCATGGATTCCAGCCAAGTAAGGTAAGAGGTGTGGGATAACACAGCATGCTCTGTCGCTATGAGCTGGCAGCTCTCAAGCCCTATCAAAAGTAGCTGTCGAAATGGATCACGAGAATAATGCAAATTGGCCTAAGCCCCACTCTGCTGCCTGAATATCATATGGAAGAATCACAAGGTGGGTTTTTCGTACCGGGCCTAAGGTTTTTGGTGTGTGCATGATGCTTTTAGTGTGTGATCATCTTCAGTCCAGTTTCTGTTTGCTTTTTAAGGATTGTTTTGAGATGCAGCAGATCCACTTCATAGTAATTAAAAATGAAATAACATTCTGGTATGAGCTACTTTCCCTCCTTAGATAAGCATTTACATCAAAAGGTAGGGGGGACGGGACAAAATGACTCTCTCAATACTGAAAAGTTATTATTCTAGCATGACCATAAAATAAAAGCATGACAATGCAATGTAGCATTTGAAACTAAAATCTCCCCATTCTGACCTGTGCATCATAAAGTTATCTTGCCTCAGTTACCTTCTGTTGTGCTGCCATCACTTTGTACATTCTCTTACCCCCCTTTGGCAACAGCCAATGATGTAGAGAGAAGTTGAGGAAAAGCACAATGTGACAATGTTATGAATTACAGGGGAGCAAGGAAGAAATCAATGCCGAGATGCTGTTTTGGTGTCCCCCTTCCAATAAAATAAAAACCAACAACATTGGTCTGGAGGGTTGGGGAAAACCCTGAGGAAATTTGGGGTTTATGAAGGGATGAGCGGGAATTCTGTTGCACAGGCCAAAGTTCTAATGATTCAGTGACTTCCCTGCATACAAACACACAGCTCTTAGGTTGGATGGGGGAAGAAAGCTATGCCCCCACCCCAAGCAGAACTGTTCAAAACCTTCTAATGTCCTATTTTTTTAAAAGAATATATTTTACTGCTTTTTCACATTTAATAAAGTTAATTAAAACATAGCAGACATCAAACAGCAGCTAGTCTGTTATTTCTTGGAAAAAAGCATAACAGCGGTTTGAAATTAGAACCATTACTTAGAACAAGTTTGTGATGCACATTAAAGTCTCTGATCCAAAATGTTTTCTCCACATGTTTCGATAGGTCCTGCCTATTATTAAAGCATCTACAGGTCATTTAGACAAGACCTTTCCCTAACAAATGGAAGGTAACCCCAGACCTGGCCAATAGGTTTGAGCAATCCTCCTGGTCCCATTAACCCTCTCCTGTCCCTAACATTAATCCACCATTGCCTCAGGGCCAAACCACAAAACAGTCTTATTCACAGTAAACAGATGGCAAACCCACAAAAATATTCTGGGGAAGAAATCTCATTCCAGTAGGCATCATTATGAGGGGAAATGGGATAGAAATGCTTTTAACAAACAAACAAACAAACAAACAAACAAACATTTGTGAAAGCCTTTTGATAATCAAAACTGTGGGTGGGATTCAGCTAAAGAGACTCATCTGTAGAAGCCCTGTGCCAATACATCCATGTGTGCAATGGGCCCTCTCCTCACATGGCTCCCCAAATTGGCTTGGGTGTGTGGGTATGTTGTGAGAACCCATGAACCATCATGTTGGGCTGGAGTCAGACACAGGTCACATGAAAGGCACAAGACTCCATCGTCAGTAAAGTTAACTCTTTAATCAAAGAAACAGCATACAACTCAGAAACACATCCCAGTAGGTCTTGCCCCTGTAGAGCGGTTGCCAGGAATGAAGGTCCCTGCCTTCTACCCTTTCTAAGGCTCTTCCTCTTTCAGATGTTTCCAAGCATTCTCAAATTGCATGTGCGTATCACTGGCTTCTGTTCTGCTCTCCTCCTTATCCTGTATGTTCTTGGAGACCAGGGGGAAGGGGAAATTGTTATAGCAGGAGAGAAAGACTCCATGGATTCTTCAGTAGTCTCTTGACCTCCCCCGCTTCTCTGCTTCATCCTCAGAGTCTGAACTATTCCCTGTCACAGGCGCTTCCTGCTCACTAAACCCTGTTGCCTCTTCAGCATCCATTCCCTCCTCCCAATCTTCTCCCTCTGACCTCTCCTCAGTGTCCCACTACCAATCCCCAGCTTCTGAGCCATCCTTCTCTTGGGGTTCCCTTGGGGGTTCACTGGCTGGTGCCTCCTACTACTTTATCCAGCCAGTTCCTGACACATGTGAGGAGAAGGGGGAGGGGTGTCATTCTGTCTGTCAAGCTGAAATGTTTGCACTGACGGAATGATCAGAAAAGCATTGAAAATTAATTAATTAAATGTATTCCTCCCTAACTCAGAAAACGTGGTTATTATTCCTAACATATTAATTGCATAGCTACACTGCACAACGGCAGTACATTCACTGCACTGTTTTAACCCTCATCAACTAAAGTGTCAAGGAACACAAGGATCATCCTGGATTTTCATTATGCAACAAGACTTCATGTCAGTTTGACAAATTAGCATCCCCAAAAGACATAACTATTAATTTAATGCGTCAATACAAAGCCATCTGGTTTTAAGACTACTGGATTCCAAATTTGTTGATGCTCGTAACTGAAAAATGAGCAGAGTGTGTCGATAATGGCTTCATAGGTTTGTCCACAAAATGTAACATTTGCTAGCTAGGCCTCACCAGAGCTTAGTGTAATCAGAAACCCATTTTAAGTGCAAGAAGCCAGGACTGGGATCTATCCCATCATTTGTCATTTCATGACCCCATGATGGGCTACAACATAAAATACCTCATTGTGCATGGCACCATAAAATACAACATAAGACACTATTAAAACAAACAGAAAAATCAGTTAAAGCAATTAACAACTCAGTTTTGTAATATTTTGCAGACATGTTATGTGCCTTCGTAGCTGCCACCTGGATAATATGAACCAATGGAAAGTTTGATACAGAACAGATTTTGACTCAGCAACAGACTCATGGATGTTCTTCAGTTATTTTATACATTTGTATATATCATAGTAACACATGATGCAACAACGGGCATTCAGCAGTTTTCACCATATAATTACTTCATATGTAATTGCTTAATATAATTACATATGAAGTAGTTACAACCATATGAGATATATGACTCTGAGCATCTGCAGAATACAGGTCCTTTTGCACTAGATACACATAACAGGTACTCATACAAACTTGTTTAGGGGACAGGTTCTTGCTTTTCAGAAGAAGGAAGAGGATGTAACTAGAAACATCTCTTTTTTTAACAGTTAACATAGTGCATGGCTGATATGCCTTCATTCTTGCCCACACCTTGAAACCTTCTGTTTTCAGTGATTAATGCTCGTTGTATTTTAAAAAGCATACAGCAGTGCAAATCAATTCTTAGAGTTATGTAACAGGCTGGCACTTAGGTAAAGTTAGTATTCCCTCTAGTGGTTTGTGATGAATTTGATTTTTAAAACAAATCTGCATAACACAACTTGCTTTCACAAAACATGATGCACAGGTAACAGAGGGGTAATTACTATTCACAGCTAGACATCCCTTCAGCAGTTTCTGAATTTTTTATTTGATTATGAGTCTTCAGAATGTGGGAACTGAAGTTTCAAACCTAGCCCAGTATTCAGATAAGTCAATGATTAAACTGGCAAGCACTATAGTTGATATGTGCTTCATGTCTAGAAACAAAACTAAGATTATCATGTTTTTCCAGTCGATAGCAGTTGCTTAAAAAGGAAATGCATGGGTTTAAATATTTCTTTTTCCATATCTACTTTTGTAGAAAGACCTGGGAGAAATGTCTTTGTTTTTGTAGCAAGGCCTGGGAGAAATTTTAATCATCATCACCAGCCAGGCAATATCAAAGGCATAGATTGATACAATCCAAACCTCTGGGAATATCTGGACTCTTCATCCTGCCCCATGTGTGTGTCATTTGGGGCCTGGGTTGTGGTGCAGGAAGTTGCAATGGAAAGAGGAATCATACAAAATCAGGAAGAAGCAACTTGCACCAGCAACTTCATGCTGACTTTATGCACTCGGTTCTGAGGGTTTCTTTCCTGCCAGGGTATCTGCCTTGGCTTCATCCCAGGACCGTCATGTGACTTGGGGTGGTGGTAAAGAGAAACAGAACTTCCAAAAACCCTACTGTCAATGAAATCATAATTAAACTGCCATGTCCTGTGTTGTGCCTGTGCAATAAAATAAGATTAGGTACAGTTTCCAAAGTAAGGCACAAACACAATGCTGCAAATATTAGAAGCCTTGCGGCCTGTGTCAGCTACCATAATGAATGTCATAAACATCAGTCATCCCTGAATAAACATTGGCTGTCTTTATTTCCTGGTGCAGCAGAGAGATCTGCGAGGCAAATGAAACTGTCATGTGTCCAATGTGTGAGAAGAATTGCACCCTGCAAAAACTCAATGAAAGCTGCATCTACGCAAAGGTAAGTTATTTTGTGCTCTAGAAGCTCTATGCTTCAGATACGCCAGTTGGAAACTGCATACGGCCTCTTGTTGTCATTTCAGTCAAATGCTTTTCCATTGTACCACATGTGGGGCACATCTGGCCCTCCGTAAGTCGCTGAGCTGTAGCTTTCACCATTCATGACCATTGGCTATGTTTCTAGGGCTGATGAGAATTGTGGTTCAGCAATAGTTGGAGAGCCAGAGGTTCCCACTCCTATAATGCACAGTGGTGTTTGGTGGACTCTTCAGCAACAAACCCAGAAATGTATTCAGCTTTCATGCTCATCACTTCACAAGGATTTGCCCTGCCAAAACAGGTTATTGCGATAGAACCTATAAAATCAACCCAGGCCAAGTGAATATCTTTGGCCCTTTGCTATCAGTGGTGGGGCTGAGAGCCTGCCTCCCTGTCTTCCCACTCTGTAGGAAAATATTTCTGCTCTGCAGAGACAGAAAATGATTATGAATTCACATCAAACACTTAAACACCACTTCAAGACTTTTCAGATGCGGAATGCAAATACTCAATGCCCAATTTGTTGTTGGGGTTATCAGTAGGATGCTCACATATTCTGGACCCATGACCAGCAGTATACCCTGTGTACATTTTGGCTCTTGATTAATTTATGTAGTCATGAGGTTGGATCCAATGAAGTAATTACGTTCATGAAAGAACTGCTGCTTCAGAATCAGAATTTCCCTCTCCTTCCACATCCAAAACATCTGATCTGGGCTTTATTCCAATCAAGGAGAGGGGTTGTAGGGCACACAGGGAGAGGAGAGGAGGGGGAGGGAAAGTTGTTGTTCAAAGCAAAAGGCCTTCTGCAAACAGAAAGAATTCACTGGATATATAACACAAGCAGTTTTACAGATATAGCAAACCTATACGCAGTGCTATTTCTCTAGAAAAAGAGGTGCCGGAACTCACCATGAACACCTCCCTTGTTCTCTTATAATGGCAATGGTGCCCACCTGAGAGGTGCCGAAACCGAGTTCTGGTAAGTTCCGGCTGAAAAAAAGCCCTGCCTATATGTGTGTATTCAATATCAGGCCCTACTGAGTTCAATGGGGCTTTCTTTGACGTAAATGAAAATAAGATTACAGCATTCCTTACTCATCTGTATTATTACTAAATAAATACATAAATACAATGTAAAACAACAGATTACAGTTGTTTTGTTTCATTAATTTGTAAGAATTTGTGGCTTTTCTACTTCCATTTGAAAACAGAAGCATTCGTATTTTCATCTGATTCACACATACAACAAATCACTCCCCAGTCATTTTATTTACCTCCCAGTCCTTTAATAGCACTCTGTCTGTCTGTCTGTCTGTCTGTCTGTCTATAAACACACACATCCACACCAGAGTTACCTTTGAATCCCACATTCACTGTAATGAAATTCATGGAGCACACTTACCGAGCTGATATTCTTGAGCAATGGATAGTAAATGTGCACTTTTTTCAAATGTGCACTTTAAATCATCTGAGGCCTGAGTGCTTATCAGACATATGCGTTAAATAACTACACACTATATAGTGGATTCATTCAAAAGAAAATAAAACATTCTAGAGGGATTCTACACTATAAATGTTGTTTAAACCATTTTTATTACATTCACTCTAAAGAAATATATTATAGTTGTCTGTTTTGTGTAAACATTTCATCCCCTCTCTGGTAAATATTTTCTTATTGGAAAACGGCATTCCTATTAAAACAGGGATGTGTTAAATTGGCTAAGGTTTGCAGTTCCTGAAGAGGACTGTGCAAAAGAAAAAGTCTCAAGGCATCTAATTAAGTATGCCATCTTGTGTGGGGAATGAAATCCTCCTACAGCAAACTATTCAGCCTCCTCAGCACTCCTTTTCCCCAGATACCCATCGCCTTACAAGCATCACATTCCTAAGGTCCATTGCTGTTCCTTAGACTTTGGGGTTATATGTAACACAGTGTAGTTATAGAGTAGTTAAACATTGGCAGTGAAGTCTCCTTCCATTAATAAAAGTGTTGTAGACACTGTGTCTAAATGGTGAGGAAATAAATGGTAGTTAAATGGCAGAATTAATTACAGTATTACAGGTTAAGTTAGAAATAGTTCTTGTTCCAGTAAACCTGCTCACAATCTCTGCATGCTGTGAACTTCATGTCAGTTTTGTTTAGCTAAATCAGACTAATATTGTGATAGGAATAGATTCAGGTAGGTAGCAGTCTTGGTCTGACCCAGTCGAAATAAATAAATAAATAAATAATTTGTCCAGTAGCACCTTAAAGACTCACTAAGCTTGTTTTGGGTATAAGTTTTCATGTGCATGCACACTTCTTCAGATACACCAAGTGTATCTGAATAATAATAATAATAATAATAATAATAATAATAATAATTTATTAATACCCCACCCATCTGGCTGGGTTTCCCCAGCCACTCTGGGTGGCTCCCAACCGAATATTAAAAACATAATACAGCATAGCATGCAGATAAAATAGAAAAACAGATTATATAAATTACTGAACAGCTGAATAAAAATGATAGCAGACAGTCAATTCATTATCAAATGCACTTTGAGCAGTTCACACTTGTGCATAAGGGAAAATAGAATCACAGCTTTGCTAAAAACAAGCATTTATACATGAAGAAGTGTCCATGCACATGAAAGCTTATACCCAGAACAAACTTATTTGGTCTCTAAGGTGCTACTGGACAATTTATTATTTTTTTTTATTTATTGTGATAGGAAAACATAGGTTAGGTTATTTTTGGACTGAGGTTTTGGATTACATCATTCCTAACCATTAACCATGCTGCCTGGGGCACTGATGAGAGTTGAAGTCCAACAACATCTAGAGGGCCACAGATTCCTTCTCCTTTTTTGAGCCCTTTTCAGAATTAAACAAAACCACACAAGCATCCAGTTCACTGAATGCGTGGTGGGGGAAGTAATAGTACCACTTTATTCTGTCTTGATCAGACCCCTCCTGGAGTACTGCGTCCAGTTCTAGGCACCACAGTTTAAGAAGGACATCAGCAAGCTGGAGGATATGCTGGGGAATGTGACCAAGATTATCAAGGGTCTGGAAACCAAGATGGGTACATTTAACCTAGGGAAGAGAAGACTGAGAAGTGATACAATAACTACCTTCAAATATCTAAAGGGCTGTTACGTTGAAGGTGGAGCAAGCATGCTTTCTGCTGCCCAAGAGCATAGCCCCCAAACCAATGGATTCAAATTACAAGAAAGGAAATTAAGCATTAGGAGGAGCTTCCTTGACAGTAAGAGCTGTTCATCAGTGGAATGGAGGACCTCAGCAAGAAATAAAGCCTACTTCAGTGCAGTTCAGCTTGGCACCTGCCCTTTATCCTGCTCTTCACTGTAAGATAGTGTGCCGTTGCTTTGGGGTGTTTTGCTGCCTGTTCTGCTTATGTTGTCCCTGGTGGTGCAACTATGAATAGGCAAATCCCCTGTTCACAACTGGCAGGAACAGTGCATAGTGAAGAGATTAAGGAACAGGAAAAGTTGGTGAGTAACCTGGATGAAAACGGATTTCCTATGACAAACTTTCAGGTCTAGTAGATTTAAGGGCAGGGGAGAGAGGGAATGAAAACCCCAAAGAGGCATGTTTTCCTTTCTCACCCATAGGATGGGGATTTGAGGAATCCTCTCTCTACACAGAGCTGTGGTACTGAGGAATTATTGGGAACTAGTATGGCAATTCCTTTAGGCCTCTGAGCCAGGATGGAGGTTTCCACGAGTGGACATGGAAATGAGCAGAGAATTAGCCTCCACAGCATTAGCCCAATGAGCTAATATAATAGATGTAATTTTATGCTTATTCCACTGCTGATCCTTTAATAGAGTTCATGAAGGTATGGCCCATGTTTAAACCCAATGAAATTATGCATCCACTTTACCCGAGTCCGTTTGCAATTGTTCAGTATTATGGCACTCTTTAATTAAGAACATATTAACATATGGTAGATTTTTATTGCTTAATAATTCCATTACTTGCCTTATATTCTTTCATTTCCTTCTAAGGTTACACACTTATTTGATAACGGAGGGACTGTCTTCTTCGCCATTTTTATGGCTATATGGGGTAAGTGTTGTTGTTGTTATTGTTTCATCTGTTACTGTAAAATAAAAGGTATTATACTCAGCAAGTCTTAATTTGGAATGAACTTTAAAATGAGAATATACATTTTGAAGCTATTATTGTCATGCTTGTTAGGGATGTAGATCTCTATACACAGCTGAAATTAGCCCTTCAGGAACACAAATGACTGGGTAAATTACTCTAGTGCTAGAGAAACCTTTGCAGTCCATTGCATTATTATACAGTGGTGCCTCGCAAGACGAAATTAATTCGTTCCGCAAGTCTCTTCGTCTTGCGAGTTTTTCGTCTTGCGATGCACGGTTTCCCATAGGAATGCATTGAAAATCAATTAATGCGTTCCTAGGGAAACCGCCTTCAGACCAGGTCCGGGGACAGTCTGTCCCCCGACCTCTTCTGAAGGCTGGGGGGGGGACAAGGGCTTTTCTTCCCACCCCCAGCATTTTAAAAAACCCCGGGACAGCGGAGGACTTCTCCGCTGTCCAGGGCAATCTTAAAATGCTGGCGGGCGGCATTTTAAAATCGCCCGGGACAGCGGAGGACTTCTCCGCTGTCCGGGGCGATTTAAAAGCCCCTGGGAAGGCAGGCAGGGGGGACAAAGATTTTCGCCCCCCGCCCGCCTCCAGAAGAGGTCCTTGACCTCTTCTGAAGGCGGGCGGGGGCGAAAGTCTTTGTTCCCCCCTGCCTGCCTTCCCGGGAGAGCGGAGAAAGGCAGCGCGTTTCTCCGCTGTCCCGGACGGCTTTTGAAGGCAGGCGGGGGGGGAGCAAAGATTTTCGCCCCCCGCCCGCCTTCAGAACAGGTCCTTGACCTCTTCTGAAGGTGGGCGGGGGCGAAAGTCTTTGCTCCCCCCTGCCTGCCTTCCCGGGAGAGCGGAGAAAGGCAGCACCCGGCATCAGAGCTTGGTTCCGATGCCGGGCGGCGGGAGAAGGCGTCCCCGCCCTGCCGCCCGGCATCGGAGCTTGGTTCCGATGCCAGGCGGCGGGAGGAGGCGTCCCCGCCCCGCCGCCCGGCATCGGAGCTTCGTTCCGATGCCGGGCGGCGGGAGGAGGTCCGAGGACAGTGGGGAAGACGCGCTGCGCTTCCCCGCTGTCCCGGAGATTTCCCTATGGGCTTTCGTCTTGCGAAGGAAGCCCATAGGGAAATTCGTTTTGCGAAGCGCCTCCAAAACGGAAAACCCTTTCTTCAAGCGGGTTTTCCGTCTTGCGAGGCGTTCGTCTTGCGGGGTACCACTGTACTAGAGGTATATATGAGTTGCATTCAATGCTAGTCATATGCAGAATAGACCAGTTAATGAATGGAGGTGACTAATTTACAGCCATTAATTTCAATGAGTTTACTATGAGTATAGAATCATAGAATTGTAGAGTTGGAAAGGACTCTGAGGATCATCTAATCCAACTCGCTGCAATGCAGGAATCTCAGCTAAAGCATCCATGAAAGACGGCAATCCAACCTCATATTAATATCTGTGTTCTTTAATCCATTGTTTTTCTGAAATATCCATCCCATTTTAATCCTATAGTGTACAATGACAAAGAGCTTAAAGGTTAAAAAATAGCTTTATTGACATAGTTTACAAATATGTATTTATATGCATTTATCACAATCCCAGCTGCTGGGTTGGTGAAGGGGAAAGGGTGACTCTCCAAAAGCATCAAAATGTCATAAAAAATAAGCCACAATAATGATTCTATACGCAAAGCTGGATATAGATCAACTCAGTAGACCAACATAAATCTACAGAAGTCCAAAACCAGGTGGGATACAAAGACAAACCCAAAGACAAATACAGTACTTACACTTTCTACATTTAGTCTCCGACTCATGGTAGAATGGTTGCTGCTACTGTTGATTTATTTAAAGTCCCCTTTGCATATTTACATACAGTGTGCAGGGCATGCTATTTCTAAAATTCATATAAGTATATCCTTAGGGTACTCGGTTGGGGAACCATCAGAGACATCCGATTCCCATAGTCTGCACATAACATGAAATTTCAGTCCATATGTAGGAAGGAAGAACTGTGGGATCAATGCTGCCTTTGCTGTCAACACGGCAGACTTCTAAGTCTCAATTTTTGGGAAGCATGAAGAGTTCTCTGGGGGAAAGGCACCTGCTATTTATTTATGCTCATCAAGATTGAACTGGAAAGCAGGCTTTACACAGGACAATTTGTTCAGCATTCTGTCTTGAAAGCTCTGTTTGCATTATCAAGGTCTGTCTCTAATCTCTTATTACTAGAAGTTGAGAGAGTAACAGGCTACAAATTCTCCCCTTCTGTTTCAGTTCATATGTCCAGTGTGAGTCAGTGCTGCATGACACCTAACTTTTAAAAAGCATAGAATAATATCTCAGTGTGCTTGGTGAGGGTGGTCAACCCCAAAGCTGAAGACATCTTGTGCCATTTAATAATAACGGTGGCAAATTCAGAAGCCAATGGAAATATTATTTTTCACATTTATATCCTTTTCTTCCATCAAGGAGCTCTGGGTAGCATTCAAATGCCATTTTTGTTGAGACTGTGGCATTCGGATTGGTGTTGCAGTAAGAGAAAAGTCAGCCTCTTTGCCCAAACAGATGGGCTGATTGTTCATTGGCCAGGCCAGTCATACTTCGTTGACAAGATGTGGCAAAATGAGGACGGGGATGTGAGCATCCCAATGAAACTAATGCACTGTAGTTGGTAAGAATGTGCATTCCAACCTCCAGCTGAATTCATGCCAAATTGTGCATTCTAATGCACATTCATATTGCACGATGCATTTCTTTCCATGTGCAACTGAATGCATTCCTATAATATATGTGCTAATCTGAACTGAGGCCAGAAAGTTGCTTTTTGGCAAGATGGGGAGCACCAGCTCTGCTTCTCCACCCACCCTTGCCATGTAGACCCCAGAATGTTGCCCAAAAGGTAATGTGGCCCCTGGGCAAAAAAACAAAACAAAAACCTACCCCCACCTCTCCCACCTCTGTGCCAGTTCCTTGATTTAAGTGCTTTTTGCATTTGTGGAACATAATTGGCTCACCCACTTTTCCCCCATTCATGGCATTTCCCCTAGAGTGAAAACAACATGCATGCCATAATTGATTTGCTAAAATAGTCTAAAGTCCATCCAGTCCAACATTCTAGCAGCAGCCAAGCAGATGGTCATGGAAATTGACAAGCCAGGCATCCTCTCTTGTTTATGTCCAGCATCTGGCAGTCTAAACATACTGACTTTGAGCCTAGGAAATGCATTCTGCTATCACAGTGAACTACTACATAAAGAGCTATCCTTTGTGATCTTTCAAAGTCGTCTAAGCTTTTTCAGAGCTCATGCCTATCGTATCTGGTAGTAACAAATTGAGTTAGATAGTTAAGACTTAAGTTAAATAATACAGATGAAACAGATGAAGAAAGACTGAGATGGTTCACACATCCAAGGTCATTGACTGATGAGAGGATAGCATTGGTACCATATTTGTGTCACTGACATACTACAGATCCAAAAATGTAGGTAGAATGTTCTTATCGCTTTGTATAAAGCACAATTCTTTGCCATAGAATCAGTTTGGACCTGTGTGTTAGCACTGGAATTGACGACTCAGTAAAGGGCATTGATATGTGAAGCATCCAAAACACAATGCACACAAAAGTGAAATTCTGGGCATATAAATTTGTAAACGTGGCCAACAAGCATTGCCTCGCTTAGATTATTGAAAACTGTACATATCAACAGGCAGAGGGCTGGTGCCACAAAAAAAATATTTCAAACCATTATGACCCGATCTTTAAACTCAAGAAGAAGAAACCATGGATGTGAGGTGTTTTGTTTTGACACAAGTTATTCACACTACTGTGCTGAAGGTTGTGATGCGGACATGTCATTCATTTGAATTGCATCATAGGGAGATTCTTTGCTGCTCTGGGCTCTTGTCTCGTTGACTGTTGTAGGGCTGTAGTATGACAGATTTCCAAAGCTTGCACCGTAAGGATCAGGCACATTGTCTAGTCGTAGAACTGCAAAATAAATGTAGACAGATATTTATAGGGCTCTGAACAATGCTTCCTTTGTACAGAATGTTAAAAAGGTCCTTGAATGATTTATTTTATCTCAGGATGCATCTGACTTAAGGAAGTATTTCTACTCTTGCCAGGTGTAGGTGTTGGGATGTGTATGGAATGAAATGTGATTAAACATCAAGCTCCATACACACTTGCTCATGTGTGTATACACCCATGGCTGGAAATGTCATGTGTGAATAATTAATACTGAGGAACAGAATTGGAATTGCTTCAAAACTCTAGAGCGACTCAGCAGCAGTAAATCTCTCTTTTTCTTAGGTGACTAACATAACGGTTTGGGATATAAGTGTGGCTTGCATAAGCATTTCCATTTTTAAAAACAGTTTGAAACGTAATGTCAGAAGTATGAAAATAAGGCCTTGATCAAAATCATATAGTAGTCAATGGGAGGCTCTCTAATCACTTTGACAGACTTGAGTTTTGCTACAAAATGCAGCTATTATTTTTATCCCACCCATTTTGAATGAGCTCAGAGTGGCATTTTTAATCTCATAACAATCCAGTGAGATAGGATGGGCAAAAGACAGATAGATACTCTCCAAAGGCTGACCTGTGAGTGACATAACTGAGCATGGGCTCATAAGTGTATTTACCACTTATACACATCCAGCTATCTAATCACCTCGCCACACTGGCCAGAGCATGAAGTTTTCAGCCAGTGATTATGGTGCAAGCAACAACCACCCACTTTCAAAAAATACAATACAAACTTGGCAACTCCTTTCCCATATATTTTCTGTCATGCTCACCTTCCTCAATACAGGTGTTGCTGAAGCACTATATTTTGGCAATTGCAAGTCTCCTTCTCCTCTAACCATTATAGGGGGTGCTTTACAGGACTTCCTTGCCCAGGCCAAGAAAACGGATGCAAATGAACCCTTCTAGCTTTGTAGAACTAATCTATGAGCAGATGTTTCTGCGGCATGTTGTTCCTTGGTCCTTACCTTGCCTGTAGAGCTGGCTCAGATGTAACACTGAACCATAGCTTAGTGTGGTGAGAAAATATGACCATCTCTGGTTCATGCACTTCTTCTCCTTCATGTTTAACTGTCATGTCATCCAGACCTGACACATTCTAGTTAATCATAACTAAAACTGAACAGAGGCAGCCTGTCCAGTTTCGCCACCTGGGGGAAAATGGGAAGATGCTTCCCTCCCCCCCTCTGCTGCCCCACTGCTGAAGCCTTTGTTTACCTGCGTCACACAGTGGTGGCTTCCAGTGAGTGGTGGCAGCAGGGGTGAGTGGGGCAGCCACAGTGGTGCTGCCCAGCAGGATTTTGCCACCTGAGGTGGCTGCCTCAGTCTGCCTCCTGCGTGGGCCAGCCCTGCAGCTGAAATAAGCCAACTTAAACCATAGTTTAAGAGCAACCACAGTTTAGGTTTAGGATGCTAAACTGTGATTAATATAAAACAGAAGTAGGTCCTGACCTTTCATCATAACTTCACCAGAAGGGGGAGGGAAACATGTGAGTCCAAGCCTCTTGCTTGTTATGCTACATCAGTGTTTCCCAACCTTTTTTGGGCAAAGGCACACTTGTTTCATGAAAAAAATCTCGAGGCACACCACCATTACAGCCCCGTGACATCAGCGCGCAGCGTCACGCCGGGAGGGACGCACGAAAGTGTAAGTTTCAATTTTTTTCCCTCCCCCTTGCCTTCCTTCTGTGCCAACCGCCAAAAAGCCAAGAAAAAAGCCAAGACTTTAGGGCAGCAGGTCGACACGGAAGAAGCTCCTACCTAAGGACAGGTGCGACGGCCGTGTCCTCTTCTGCCACACTTGGCAGCCCTGCCTCACGGTCGTGACTCCCACCCTGATTTCTCCCCGCAGATCGAGCGGCACAGGCAGCCCAATGTGTCCAGCCCAGACACAAGCCCCGCTTCCCCACTCTAGATCCTGAATGCGACCAAGTGCTCTGGACTCCCGAGCAGGGTGGGAAAGAGGACTCGCATCTGGTAGCCTCCGGGCTCCTCGCCTGCTCGAGGGATGGCATTGCAGGCAAGCTGCCGGCCGTCGCCATCGCCGCCCCCTCATGCGAGTGGACCTGCCCGGAGTGGTGGGCCGGGGGAGGCTCGCTCTCTGTGGGGATGTGGCCCGCACGCGCGGCCCCGCTTCCTCCTGCCCAGGGCTGAGCTCCTTACCCGCGATCTCGGTCTCGCGCACGCGGATCCCACTTATTCTGAAGCTCGCGCCACTAGCCGGGGCTCTCACACTGTGCCAGGGCGAGGCGGCGCGGCCCACTGACGTCATCGCGGCTTGCCGCCGCCCTCGACTTCCCTGTTCCCTCCCCTCCCTCGGGTCGCCGTGGTTACCGAGGACTGCAAGCTGCTCGGGCGAGCGTGGGGCATTAAGTGGGAGAAGGAAAATTAAAATTAAAACTCGCCTGAAGGCCGCCTCTCCGGATACAGTGGTGCCTCGCAAGACGAAATTAATTCGTTCCGCAAGTCTCTTCGTCTTGCGAGTTTTTCGTCTTGCGATGCACGGTTTCCCATAGGAATGCATTGAAAATCAATTAATGCGTTCCTAGGGAAACCGCCTTCAGACCAGGTCCGGGGACAGTCTGTCCCCCGACCTCTTCTGAAGGCTGGGGGGGGGACAAGGGCTTTTCTTCCCACCCGCAGCATTTTAAAAAACCCCGGGACAGCGGAGGACTTCTCCGCTGTCCGGGGCAATCTTAAAATGCTGGCGGGCGGCATTTTAAAATCGCCCGGGACAGCGGAGGACTTCTCCGCTGTCCGGGGCGATTTAAAAGCCCCTGGGAAGGCAGGCAGGGGGGACAAAGATTTTCGCCCCCCGCCTGCCTTCAGAAGAGGTCCTGGACCTCTTCTGAAGGTGGGCGGGGGCGAAAGTCTTTGCTCCCCCCTGCCTGCCTTCCCGGGAGAGCGGAGAAAGGCAGCGCATTTCTCCGCTGTCCCGGATGGCTTTTGAAGGTCCTTGACCTCTTCTGAAGGCGGGCGGGGGCGAAAGCCTTTGCTCCCCCCTGCCTGCCTTCCTGGGAGAGCGGAGAAAGGCAGCGCGTTTCTCCGCTGTCCCGGACGGCTTTTGAAGGCAGGCTTTTGAAAGCCGTCCGGGACAGCGGAGAAACGCAGCGCGCCCTTGCCGCTGCCCCCCGACTTGGCTGGAAGGCTGGCGGGGGGAGAAGCCTGCTCCTCCCCATCGCCAGCCCCGCAAACTCGGGGGACAGCGGGAGAGGCGCAGCGCGCCCTTGCCGCTCCCCCCGACTTGGCTGGAAGGCTGGCGGGGGGAGAAGCCTGCTCCTCCCCATCGCCAGCCCCGCAAACTCGGGCGACAGCGGGAGAGGCGCAGCGCGCCATCCCGCTGTCTCCCGACATGGTTTGGAGGCTGGCGGGGGGGGGAGAGAAGCCTGCTCCTCCCTGTCGCCAGCCCCGCAAACTCGGGGGACAGCGGGAGAGGCGCAGCTCGCCATCCCGCTGTCCCCCGAATTGGCTGGAAGGCTGGTGGGGGGAGAAGCCTGCTCCTCCCCGTCGCCAGCCCCACAAACTCGGGGGACAGCGGGAGAGGCGCAGCGCGCCATTCCGCTGTCTCCCGACATGGTTTGGAGACTGGCGGAGGGCTTCCTCCTCCCCCAGCCCCGCAAGCTCCCAGAGCGATGCCAAAGCTGCGTGCAGCTTCGGCATGGCTCTGGGTCCCGTTCTGGGGGAGGGGGAAGCTCGGGCTTCCCCCGCCCCAGCCCCACGCCTGGCGGTGGGGGAATAATTTTTTTCCCCTTTATTCCCCCCCCCCCGCCAATTTTTCCCGCGGCACACCAGGCAACGTCTGGCGGCACACTAGTGTGCCGCGGAACACTGGTTGGGAAACACTGTGCTACATGATTTAGCATTACAGGTAAATGCTGCACTTCCCATAGAGTGGAAATCCAGAGGAACGGAGGAGAGAAAAATGCCTGATCTTTTCTAGGTGCTAAATCACTGGGGCAACCATCACAAATGCTTTCCTTCCCCCCTGACTAAAAGGCAAGAAAGAAGCAAAATAAGACTACTTTAGAACTGGAATCCACTTCTAATCAATTGATTGAGGTTCAGTGCCTCAAATAAACATGTCAAGATAGCTAAGAGAAATAACAAATCATTGTTTTTACACCTAGCCCTAAAGGGGCCATTGAGCTTCTCCTGTGCTGTTTAATGCAAGTTAGAAAGCAGAATAAATCCATGTTAAAACTGAATGTTTTAATACAGTTAATATGGGTTTAGCATTCAGTTGTCAAAACAATGCAGGAAATGCAAATACATTTTTTGTGTCGTGTGATAAAATATTTGACATTTGAATAGATAGTTTGTTTCTAATGGTTATTTATTGCACAGGAAACTACCAAAAGCAAGGGCACATTAATTTGGATTTGGGTGTAAACTAAAGTCTTCAGAGACATCTCCTTACAAGAATTTATACTGCTTTCTTTGCTTTGATGTGTCCAGGTTTGTGTTTGCGGAGCAGCTTGTAACAGCATTTTATGGGCAATTCTTTTCTCTGAACATATCATTCCATAGCCTATTGTAACAGAGAAGAGCTATCTGCTTCAGGAATAATGTAGATTGATGCCCATTAAAGACTTCATTCTGACTGCTTTATTGTTGCTCATAATTGGAGAGGGCATAATATCACCAACAGTATAATAAGTGGCATAATGTGTCTGGATTTCAGAGGGAAAATGTGGACATTTTAGTGCCGCTGTTGTATAGATAATAGAAGGGGTATAACAAACCTAATGAGCAGTGTTTCAAGTTTAGTTCTGAAACATCATGACGGAGCATTTTTTCTGGTAGTATTTTATTTTTAAGGAAAATTAAAATGAGTGTATTTTGAGCATGAAATCTGCATTTGGTAAGGGAAGCCAACTGAATCTGTAAATTACGTTTTCTGCTTCTGCAGATGTCCTTGCAGTTTGACCACAATAAATGCAACTATGTAAGCATAATATCATATATGAGAACAGCCTGGCTTCCCTTCAAGCAACACAAACAAATAAATCTCATTTTCCTACACAAATGTGGATAGCTAGGTATTGAACTGTAATGTGTATAAAGTGTTGGTGTTGATATGTTTTCCAGTAGTATGGATTGTGTTTTGCTTTTATTACCTGCTTCCATTGAAGCATGAGTAAAAGCATACGTGCAGAATCATTTGATCCTTTCCTTTCTGCAGTCTATAGTTTGGGCGCCATTTTTAGCTGAAGATTCTGTATTTGAGTACCTCCTTTGAAGTCCAGACAATTGGTATATTCTCAGGATGATCTCTGTGCTATCAAAATCTCAAAGCTATCTCAAAACGATTACTATAAAATGAAATCTGTGTGACTATAATGTCTCAGTTCGTTTTGCTGTTTCATTACCTGGATCATTCCTCATATCATCATAAAGTCGCTGATGTGCAAATGAGTCAGTTTTTCTCTTCCCACACATGAAATACCCCACCAGAGAGATTAATGCACACCCTAGAATTGCTCCTACTATTGCACCAAACACTACAGCTCCATTACTACGGTTTTCTGAAAAACAAAAACAAAATGGATTTTTAAGCAAACATATAACTTTCACAAGCAGCTCTGGAAAATAATCCCTGAATGTTAGGGGTTTGGGGATAGAGAGACACTATATAGACATCCCAAATAATGACTGGCAACTGAGCGAAGGCAAAATGTCTGGATCCCTGATAAGATCTGAACATCCAATCAGAGTTTATGATCCAAAACATTCACTTCTACATATAACTCTAAGTCATTTTAAAGAAACTATTATGAAAACAGTTTATCATATATCATTTATTTATTTATTTATTTATTTATTTATTTATTTATTTATGATTTTTATTCTTCCCCACAACTAAAGTTATCTTGATAGTGTAGATAGAATTGTCACAATACAACATGAACAACAGAATTGCAGTATGAAACACAGTGCAGGACAGATTAAGGAGTATAATTAAATGCAAACAAAACTTAATCTGTTTAGTAAGTAATATGATATTCACACATATGTCTATCTATTCCACTTTTTATACTGAAATTATTTCCTGCCCATCAGAATCAAAAGTGTAGGCTGCACCCATTATAGACTTTTTGTGTGAAAAAGAAAATGAATTTATTACATCTGGGTTTGAGGATTGAAGAAAATATTGGTTTATAGAAAGCAAAATTGTTGAGTGCTATCTCAGAGCAGATGTTTTGGATAATTTAGATGAAGAACCAGAAGTTCTCTTTTTTCTTATTTTACGCTTTCCTTTTTTCACCTTCTGGTTTGTGTTTTTATTTAGATTACTTTCTTTTATCTTTGATAAAAAGATATTGGAAATTTGATTTTAACAGTTGCATATTTTCTTTCCAACTTTAATAACATCTAAATGGAAAAAAGAAGTGTAGGCTGCATAGTTTGGTTACAAACTTTATAGCACATTTTATACCCTGTATTGGTATTTTCTGTTGACATATTCTTTATAGCAGCATTTGGATTGTGGGGGATAGAGATTGTCAGAACTCTGAAGACAAGTTGGGAAATTATGAAAGCAATGTTCTTTCTTCAGAACAGTCTGTACAATCTGCACTAAATAAGCTTTTCCTCCCTATAAACAAGGACCACGTGCAAAAATAAAATAGAACTAATGGGTGGTATTCAACTAAATCTTATAAAGACTAGACCTATGAAATTAATGAAGATGACTGTTAGCTCTGTTAATTTCAATGAGTCTACTCTGAGGAGAACTTAGTTGACTATCCTTTCTTGGTGCACTGATTTTCTTCAGAATTAGTTCACTCAGACATAATGCTACATTGAAAAAGATGTCCTTTTATTTCAATTTTACCATTATTAGAATGCAATGGGAGAAAAGAAGAAAAGTCTGTCTATGGCCATGTAAATGTAAACTAGAATCCTGTCAGGTTTTTCTTCTGCAAAATAAATAGCTCAACTTCTATAACTCATTTTAAAACTGAACCAGCTGTAACAGTGGGTCTAATAATATCTATCTACTCTGGGTAGACTATGGTAATTTAGATACTATTACTGAATGGTGAAATATTCTTGAAAATTAAGGTACCTTTTTGGGGTTCTCTTGCTTCTGCAGACCCATCAGTAAAACTGGAGTACGGACTTGTGGTTTGCAAACTTATCCGTAAATCTGTTGTAACACTGTTGATCTTAGTACCTGGTGACATGGTTGATGTATTTGGCATGCTACTGGTAGGATGAACTGTTATGCCATTAATTTGAGTTCCATCAGAAGAGACTATGGTGGTAGAACTGACATTATAGTTGGCTGTGGTGGAGTTGTTCAATGCTTTCTCTGTTGAATTGATGTAAGTTGTGACTGAATAGTTTTCAGAGATTGTGAACAGGCCACTGCTGACTGTAGGCATCTCTGAAGGAGATGATGTTCCATTGATTCTTGCAGAAGTCTGATTTGAATCTTTTGTTGTAAGATTCAGCTGATGTGCCGTTGAAGATAGCCAAGTATTAAGGAGTGTCACACTGCTGCTTTGGGTACTGCTTTCCATCACCATATTTTTGTCATCAGTGTCTGTTGGTGATGTAAGAGTTACAGAAGGAGTTCTTCCAGAAGTTACAGATTTATTGGATGATTTATTTATAAATATAGTAGAACTCATGGTTGTGTTATTTAAGCTGCTTGTGGTTGCTGTGATACTTAGCGCATTGACACCAGCATTTCTGGTTGACTGCAAGTTAGCCAACAGCAAAATGAACATAATTTTTTCTGGGATCATCATTTTCCCTCCACAGGTATGATACTTATTTCTTGATATGATGAACCTGTAAAAAAGTTCAGAGTTTATATTTATCTTTATATTGCATCTTTTTTATAAAAAAAAAGGTCACAAAGATTCACTGAACTGAAGATCGAAATTAATAAATACACAAAGGATATCTTGCAGTTCTCATTCTGGTTGTCTCAGTTGTGGCCAAATGCTAGGTTTCCCCTTTTATAAACTTGGTGTTTTCATGAATTCACTGGTACGCTATAGACCAAGATATTGGGGGGTATCCCAATCTTTTGTGAAAAGAGTCAATGAATACATGTGGCTTACACTCAGGATCTGACTGACTCCCATATTTGGGGCTAAGAAGGAAACGTTATGCAGGTCTAAACTGCCCAATTACAGTACTCGCACAATAACAAGTTTAAGTGTAAGTGGGAAAAGAGCAGTGTGTTGTCACTCCCAGTCAGCTGATGCAATTAATGGCAGTATGAAGGACTGGAGTTACCGTCATTCTGCTTGTTCCTTGAAAAATTGGAGTCCCAACTACTAAATTCAACACTTGTCTACTGTAATAGCTTTTTCTCAAAACTTTGCAATTTAAGAACACATTTCTCTTTTTCAAGATAGCAGGATGGTTTGGTCTTATAGACAAGGCCTAATAGCTGTCATTATTCTTGAGCTAGACATAGGGTCATCTTATAGGAATGTATTTTTAAAATGTATTGCCTTTCTCATTGTGTATTATTAGAAATTGTTTTCTGTAAGATTGGTTTCTCTTCTCCGAGCTTTCTGATAGCACAGCTAAGGGACAAAAAAATAATAATTTTTTAAAGGAATAAATGTCCTGGTCAGTTTTCAGATCCCATAACTGTCTAAAAGAAACCTCACGTTCCTCAGCTACCTTTCTTGTTCCAGTACATTCCGGTAACTTTTTAAATTTGGTGATACTGGGGTAAGTCTAATCAGTGGACAGAACAGATTTGTTAATCACTCAATTTTGTGAATCAAACAAAATTGTGTGATTAATGCTTTATTGCATCATTGCATTTCATGAATTACCTTTTCCCTTTTGTGGTCTTGGCAGAATTGCGCTCATAAATTGCTTTATTCCCATCAGGCAAATCACCATAGCCCCCCTCCATATATTACTTGTGTGAGGGCTATGCATGTATAGGAGTCCTATTCACTAAAGTACACACATGGAGCCTGGCTGTTTGCATGGGAAGCTCCCATTCGCAGATGTTTATGCTCAAGACAAGTACCTCAGGGAAAAGTGAACAGCATGATATGAGGAACAGGGGTGAAGGGACCTTGTATCTCCTCTTAGTTAGGCACCATGTCAACTGTACAAATTGGTGCCTGTTTTCAAAATATGTTGCATATGTCACAGGCAACTTCAGTCAAATTTACAAAAAAAAATAAATCACTTTTTTTATTTGCTTGTAAATATTTTGCCCACAAAGCTGAATATAAAATAAAAGCAAATTATTTGCTGCAATTACTTTGTTCAAAATATGGCTGCAATTCTTGTGAAATGAGTCAAAGCAGAAGAGACAAATCATTATTTGGCTGATTCCCCACCCTGCATAAGTGGCGGTATTCAAGATGTAATTAATCTGCTTATCCTGAGTTACAAGCCCTCTGACTGAATGAACAAAAACATTTGTCATACCTTGTGACTGCATTCCCTCTCCCCACCCCCCACCCCGCTATAACCGATACTTTAAAGAACCACAGGAAGAACAAATAAAAAATCGAGTGAGCTTTTAGCAAGCTCTCAAATATTCCTTTCTCTTCATGGTCATACTTGTTGTTTTCCTTTCTGGCACAACCTGCTCTGCTTTCCATCAATAGCCATTTCATTACTACACAAAGTGAGTTTTGTCATTTTTGTTTTTATTTCACCTTGGCTGTAATTTGAAACCCCCACAGGAAATTACCCAAAGTTCACTTAACTAAAGCTTTCATTTACAGGGCATGATGCTGAAATCGCTGTACTTGCAACACAAAAGTCTCTCTCTTTTTTTGTTCCATCCACTATAATTTTCCACTTGGAAAAAGGGGGACTCAAAAAAAGAGAAATACTTGAGTTTATTTTTAGTTATGTGTTTCCCAGAAATCCTTTCATGTGTAATAATAAACCGGTTTCTTGTTCTTTCGTTTAACATTTCTCGGCATGCGCATGCCCGTGGATATAATAGCACATACACTTAGTGGCAAACACTGAAATGCAGGAATCAGCTGATCTGGCTTTTGTCCTTTGCTTCTCATTTGAGTTTTGCCTCTTTCTCTCCAACAAGGTTGCTTACAAAGGGCCACTTTAGCACTTTAGTTATTTTAAACCAAAATAACTTCTTCTTTTTTAAAGACACTGATGTTTATCATTTCATTTCTCTGTAGCACAAATTCTTTATGAACAGGTGGAACCCTAATTACACCTCGTTCCCACCAATGAGGTTCATCATGGGAGGAACCTCCAAGTTCACAGGAAGTGAATCAATGAATACCAGTTACTGGTGAGGAGCAGCAGGAGAGAAGGACTATTGCCTTCACACCATGCTTGCAGCTTCCCAGAAGCATCAGATTAGCCAATGTAGGAAGCAGACTGCTAGGAGGACTTTTGGGTTAATCCACCAGGACTTCCCTTATAGTCTTATGGGATCTTGCTGGGCTACTTTTTAGTAGTGATTTAGTGTGATTACAACTCCAATGCTTCATGTATTTGCCCAGTTTACTGCTTCTCCAAGTTTACTGGTTCTCTCTCCCTTTTGTTTAAAAGAGGAGTGGTGGTGATGGCTGTTGTAGTTATTATGAGATATGACTTCTCAACTGCTGTAGTATAATTTATTCTTCAGCATATTCAAATATATAGCATTGTATCCAATTAACTTTTACTCAGATTACACCCATTGAAATTAATAGCCATGGCTAATTTGGGCCCATTAATTTCAATGTAAGATTAATTGAATTCAGCCCATATACCGTATTTTTCCATGTATAAGATGCCCAAATGTATAAGACAACCCCCCCTTTTAGCCCACAATGAAGAAATTAAGTTGTTTAGTTTTTTCGGGAGTGGGGGGGCCATTTCCACCAATCACTCACCTGCCTGATACTGCCAATCGCTTGCCACAGTCAGTGCCAATCGCACACCTCACCGCAGCTGCCAATTGTCTGCCCGCTCACCCACCCACTTGCCCACCCACCCACTTGCTGCAGCTGCCAATCACCTACCCACCTCACCACAGCCACCAATCACCTGCTCAATTTCCGCAGCCACAGCCAATCACCAGCAGGCCTTGCCCAATCGCCGCTGCCAGTCTCCTGCTTGCTGCTGCCATTAATCGCACATCCGCCCTCTGCATTCACTATCCGTGTATAAGACAACAGCCAATTTTTGCCTTTTTTTAATGCAAAAAGCATCATCTTATACACAGAAAAATATGGTATTTCACATTTGCCCTGATTTTTTCCTTTCCTGCTGAAATATTCCCACCTTGAAAATGATGGACCTGCATTTAGGCAGCCTAGGTTGTGTGCAGGTTTCCAGCCCTAGTTTGGATTAAATTTATGGTAATATGATATGCATGGATCTTGTGTCCAATAAAGACTGTTAATATCTCTCTACCCCCATTTATTTAATTGGTCTTCCTTTATCTGGAATTTACTGGATTATAACAGTAAAAATACGCATAATACATGTCAATTAAAAAACAACACAAATCAAAATGCACTAAAATTCTAAGTTAAGAAATTAACATTAATTACCAAAGACTATAACCCTCACTATAGTCAGTTTTGGGTTTTGATGAATCTCATAGGAAGAACGTTCCAAAGTTCTGGGTGTCACTGTGGAATCTGATCTATGTGTCCTTGCTTCAGTGAGCATGAATAGGGACTATGCAAGGGAAAATTCAAAGCAGATGTAAATGATGAGACATTGAGGAAAATATGGATTCTCGTGAATTCAAATAAGGCATATGCCAATTAGAGTTTTGATTTATGAGAGCCAGTCATAATCATATATCTCCTCCCTCCCTCCCTCCCTCTCTCTCTCTCTGTGGTTGTGTGTGTCAGTTAAGGCACACCCATACCCAAGCAGACTACAAAGGTCATGTAAACTACAAGGATTTTGTAGCAACTGCAAATAGTTTAGAGTCCTATTATCTTTGCAGGGTATACTTTATACACAGTAAGACTTCGCTTAGCTTTGCAATAGCAAAATCACATGTGTGACGGTCATAAGATCCCTTCACATGATACTTGTTTGATGGAGCATCATGTAATCGATAGGATTGCATTCTGCCTCTAGCCTTGCCCTGATAATTCCATAATCACATTGGCCCTGGCCCTGCTATCCACATATTAGGATGAGATTCAAAAACCTACGCAAGTGGACTCCTATGCCCTGGAATGCTGCTAACACTTGCGCACTGGCAGAGCTGTGCATTATCAGGGGTGTGGTGAGAGGTGTGGCCAGGCAGCCCCTTAAAGCACATGATGCCCCTGTAAAGAGAAATTTCTCTGGGTATCTTTCCTCCATCTTAATGACTTTGGGCATGGTGAAAAGAGAGGTGGCGCTTCCTGCCTCTGCAGCACTCTGTCATCTTTGGCATGACACTTTCACACTTCCTGCCCTTACATTGTAAATTTGCATATCTCCTGGGCACAGAGGTGAATTTTTCAATCGTTAAGATGTTGTAGAAGGAGAAAGTGGGAGGCACTCACTCTCCTTATACCTAATGCACCTCATTCAGATTCATAGCCACCAATGATTTTTGTATTAAGGCAGGCATGTCCAAAGTTTGTTTTGAGGGCCTAATCTGGCTTGCCGGTTGGTTTAATTTGGCCACTGTGGCTCAACAACTTCAATCCTAAAAAAAGGTCAACAGCTTTGGTTGGCCCTTTGGCTGGCCCTCACGGCCCTTCACTTCATCAAATCTGGCCCTCTTTGAAAAAAGTTTGGACACCACTGTATTAAGGTATAATATCTGTGAACCAGCAGCCCTGCTCTCCACAGTCTCCCGTTCCCCTGAACAAGCCCCAAACCACAATGTTAAAAGCTGTTTTAAATTTTAAACGTCATCTGTAGTTTGGTAATGGTGGGCTTGCCATGTCAAAAACACACTGGTGCAGCAATCATGCCTGCTGTACTTCCCCTAGTATCATTATTCATAAAGGATAATAGTAAGCATGAAATAAAGTAAGTTAATGACCTTTGTACTTATATTGCGACTACATATTGTCTTATATACCTTGGTATTAGGAATGGGTGAATATGTCAATATCAGTTCCTCATTTTCCCAATCTTAAATTCAGTCCTCTAGATTTCCACACGAGTTTATGAATTTTTATATGAAATTAATGGCCCCATGAAAATTCATCAGTTGCAATGTAAATTTCTAATATGCACGTTGTAATGCAAGTTTCCCTAGTCCAAAGCATTATTATTTGTTAATTTCACTACTATGTGAATCTTTATGCATGTGCTATTTTAGCGTATGCATTTTGCAAATATTACTTGACTTTGAGGGCCACATTGCAAAATTCAGAGAAGCGAACATTTCAAAGTTTCAATTTCTGTATTGTCCCAGAAAGTGCAAACTAGGTAGCTTCTCCTTTAAATGTGAACTGAATTTAATTTATTACCCCATCCCTGCTTAGTATGTTCTAGTGATATCATTTAGCATATGGCTTGTAAAGGCTAAAATGCTACTTGACCATAATTGTTTGAAGACATTTTTTTAAAAAATCCAGTGCTAATCTCACTTTTTCTACCCCATCATTAACTCTCGTTTGTGGGGCAGAGGGAGGTGTTTTTCCAGATAGTTTCCCCTATCTGCTTAAATAGGAGAACTCCAATAATCCAGTATTTCCTTCCTGAGTACAGGTGCATCTTAGCCAGTGTATACATTCATAGACAACTACAAAGAAGTGTTATCTTCTGCATACATTCTCAGCAAGTAACTGCACATGTTAAAGATGAAATACTAACTTTGAAACTTTCAGAAAGAACAGCAGACATTATAATGTTACTGAACAGGAAAAAGGTCATTTGGGGTAGTGTTTATATACAGTTAACACCTGCTAGAGTTTATCACTTTGAGAAATACTGTCGTTTAAATTCCTTGAGACATGCCTCCTCTTGCCTACTGCTTAGAAGTGAAGGAGAGAGGGAGACATTGCAAGCAGAATGTAAGTTAAACGCAACTAAGAACATATCTTCAGATCTGTGCCAGGCCAGGGCATTACCTGGCTGATACAGCTGTTTGTTTCTAACCGGGATCACATACAGACAGAGACATTTTTGAAGAGTTAATGCAAGAGACTAGAAAGATCACTTGGTGAAAACCATTAACTAAAAGCCACTTACCTTTTCAGCTCAGCAGTAATATTTAGGAAGTTGTTGAAAAAACTCTCCCCCTACTTGGAGTGCAATAAGACTAGTCTGCTGAAAACTGTGCAACGCAGGTAATGTAAACGTGTCAGTGTTGTGGTGGTCAGGAATGCACAGTAGAAACGAAATTAGGTGGGGCTGCATTTCTCTGAGTGTAATAGAGCACCTGAGAACCAGAATGACCTGCTTCTCAGCTGTCTTGTTGAGACATAGCATTAGAGAGATCATAGAATTCGGAGCTTTCAGGATCAAGTGAACAGGTCATTTTGTTGCTCCGGGAAAGACTACCAGGGGCTGCTTCAAGATGAACGGTTTTTAGAAGTTCGGCATTTAGGTTTTTAAAAATATACATTCAATGAACCATCATTATTTTATAGGAGGCTTATACCAATTTTGGAGGGAGCTTTATTGCTACTCAAAATGTGCCCCAAAGCTGAAGTCCTGAGAGATGTGAGTCAACATACTTTCTCTTCTTAAAGGGAAGGAATGAATACAGTACTAAAGTATTTGGAACAACAAAAAAAGTGTTGCCAGAGTCTTAGCTAACTTGCTAGTGGCATATATCAGCTTCTGATTTAAAGGGCACTGTCATTAAAAATTCTTATCTACATTTTGTAAACAGAAAGAGAAACTCATTTTCTAGTCTTCTGTAATGCTAATTAAAAGGTGAATCGAAAGAAAGAAAGAAAGAAAGAAAGAAAGAAAGATCAGTTTTTCACTTTATACTACTGCACTAGCCTGTAGGTATACTTTATGGCAACAGTATGGCATTTTACTTGTTGCCTTGTAACCTGCTCAGGGAACATGTCGATGGGCAGCCCTATAAATCTGCTAAGAAACAAATACATAAAACTTTTAAGTACATCACATTGTAACCTGTAATCGAGAGGTAAAAGTTTTATTTTTAATCCATTAACCCTGAATCCCTGTCAAAATCCCCTCTTCTAGACAAGAATTAATAGTTCACGGCCCCTGTCCTCTTTTGCATATAATCACCCTTTGTGGTGGTTGTATTAACTCTTGTGGTTCTTGTATTAATTTACAAGGCCCTTAACAACTTGGGTCCAGGATACTTCAGGAACTGCCTGTTCTCGTATTTTATTTTATTTTATTTTATTATTTTATTTTATTTTATTTTATGTCACTCTTCATCCAAGGATCATAGAGTGGTTTATATAAACACAATATATATATAATATTAATAACAGACAAAACAATACCACCACCCTATAGATTGATTAATTAGCCAAAGGCCTAGGAGAAGGTTTTCTCCTGGCACCTAAACACATGTAATGAAAGATTTGATGTAATGTGGATTTGAAGAAAATGCCATAAAAACCCAGAAGCATGTAAGTAAGGATGTAGGTGGTAAGTATCTTCCTACCCAACCCTTCTTCTCCTGTCTCCTTGGGCTTCCCCTCCTCAGCCCTGCTTCCAAGACTCTCCAGAGGGTCAGGGGACTCTCTTGAATGTGGTAGGCTGCAGCAAGGAAGGCTGTGGTAAGGGAGGAGATCATCCAAGCTGGGGCTGAGGCACCTTCCATGAGCAGACCCCAGCCTGAATGCCACAGCACACTCAAGTTCAAAGGGTCACTTGGAGGCAGGGCTGCAAGTGGGAATAGGAAGCAGAATGGCCACCTCCTGCTCCTTGATCAATCTATAAATATATCTGATCAGATGTAGCTCCCAGAAACAATACATCTATTTCTTGTGTGAAGTGGGTCTACATTGTGCCAGGTAACATACTGATCACACCAAGGTTCTGGACTTTGGGCTGCACTTTTTCAAAGTTCTCTGTTCTGCTAATATTTTGAGACAACATCTCCTGTGCCGTTATATCAAAATAGGGGTGTCAATTGCTTTGTTTCCAACCTGCAGTTCTTGAAAGCTTTAAGGGTACTTCAAATAATTCCTCAGTGCTTTTGTTGGTGAGAAATCCATGCAGGCATTCTCCCATGGCCATCTGAAGTGCTATTAAAGGCAACAGGATGTTGCATAAGTGCAGGGACTTCCATGGGCACAGCCTTTTCCAAGATCAAGACCTTCATTTCTTAAAATGGAATGTTGTTCACTACAAACGGTAACACTGTGGAGGTCTCACTGTGCAGCTTAATGGAATTGTTTCCTATTTCCTTCCTGGCTGGTAGACTTAGACTCCTGACAGGAAGCATAATTCAGGTCTACCTGTTATATTTAATGGACAGTAGATCAGAGAGCATTGTCCTAGAGTGGAGATCACAGCTGCCGCACGCATCCTCTGGTCCTGTTCTAGCCATGCTGCCCAGAGCTAAGCTATGGATTTCTTAACATTACATACCTCAGACAAACCATGAGTGGTAAATCAAGAAAAAACCTAGGTTGCAGCTTAGCTACAAACCATGAGCCTGGTTTGGGACATCATGCTAAGCCAAACCATAGCTTAGTCCTGTTTAGTGCAATAGCCACAGAACCAGGGGAGTGCCCAGTGCCTGCTATCTTCACTCCAGAAAACCGCATGGTTCATGCTAGGCCATGATTTTTTTGAGTGTTAGATGTGAGCTGGGTCTTTCTGTCGCCTAATCCTTGCAAAGATAGGGAATGTATTCTGGGTCTGTAGCCCAGAGCATCTGTAGGGTGGAGTAAGGGGTTGGATTGGAGAGAAGCTCATAGATAATCATGCCTGATTAGGTTTCATTTTGTCCTAAAACTCTTAAGTCTTGACAAATGACAGTTGTTGGCTGTGTGTGTGTGTGTGTGAGTGTGAGTGTGTGTGTGTGTGTGTGAGAGAGAGAGAGAGAGAGAGAGAGAGAGAGAGCGCCAGTCTGGGTATTTGAAGCAATGAGGAATCTCAGGCCTGGAAGCAAAATGCAGTCCTTCAGAGCTTTCTATCTAACCCTGGCAAATCTCTCCAAGTCACAGGCCTTACTGTCCCTGCTTCCCACCCATAGCAGCCATTTCTTAGGGTCCAAGGTCCTGTCACCCCCTGCAATAAAATATTTGAGGAGACGGGAGCTCCATTCAAATAGTGTGTGCGTACTGCATCTTGTGATCAATTATGTAAGGCGGGGCTTACTAGGGGGCATCAAATATTGTATTCAAGTTTATTCAAGTTTTATTCAAGTTCCCATCCAAGTATCTCCCCCCCCCCCAACTGAAATGTGTTTTAATGCTTCATGCTTGTCTGAATGGAGAATAGTAAAGGTGTGGGTGTGTGGAAACTAGCCTGCCGCACAAAAGTAAAATTTACATGGTTGGTCGCTTTGCTCATTTTTGCCTCTGGCCTCACACATCGCTGGCATTCAACCCTCAGAAGGTTGCCCAGAAAGAAATGTGGCCCTCAGGGTGAAGTCATCTCCCTGCATTAGGGTATACAGTGGTACCTCAGGATAAGAACATAATTCGTTCTGGAGATCCGTTCTTAACCTGAAATTGTTCTTAACCTGAAACACCACTTTAGCTAATGGGGCCTCCTGCTGCCGCTGCACCGCTGCCACACGATTTCTGTTCTCATCCTGAAGCAAAGTTCTTAACCCGAGGTACTATTTCTAGGTTAGCAGAGTCTGTAACCTGAAGCATCTGAGGTACCCGAGGCACCACTGTAATTGGGTGTTACCCATTAAGCTAATTCTTTCAGTGCCATTGGGGTTCGTTAGAACTATTGCATTTCTAAACTAAAAAAATGAGTTAGCTTTGCAGAAGCTTTTGAATTTCTGGAGTGCAGAAGGTTTCCATTTTTAGAAAATGATGCCCAGCACTAATTGGCTAGAAAGAGAAGATTCACTCTCCTTCATAGTTTTCAGCTACAGCAGAAAGAGGAGCTAGAGGGCCAGTGAAACTGGACAAATCACAGTGCCATAGTTGGTGTCCTAGTCAGGTTAATCACACTGCACTTTAAAGGCAATTCAATGAGCAACTTGTTGAGCTCGGTGGTCATTTGATTTTAATGTTAACATGTAATTCATGGCTTTCACAGCTACAGTGTTCTTAGAGTTTTGGAAGAGGCGAAGGGCTGTGCTAACCTATGACTGGGATCTTATAGACTGGGAAGATGAAGAGGTAAGATTCATAAAAAGTACGTTACAACAGCAGTTTTGATGTCTACATTCAGGGTGCCAGGGTTTTTGAAGTTTTGCATGTGCTGTTAGTATATTGCGTGAGTGCTGAGTTTGCCTTGATTTCACCTGCCTATGCACATACACCCAAATATGTGTGAGCACAATCTGGGCACTCCATTTGCAGGGTACCAGATCATACATACAGTATCTGGTATGGATTTGAGTGATGTGCAGCTTTTCATGTGTGGCAGTCAGGGATGTGGCTGCTGATATAGGGCCCAGCGATCCCCAACAAATAAAATATCTAAAAATATCTAATGTGTGAAAACAGAATTTTAAAATAGGACTACGAATAAGACACTCAGCTGGCACTGATATCACATTGCTTGTCAAATAGCAGTTTTAAAGGTATCTATCTTCAGGGTTTTCCCAGAGCATCTTAGTGTTAAAATTCCATAATACCTTATGAAGTGATATATAAAGTATATGGAGCATATCAACATGAAGGGAAGTATTAAAATTTTTCATCGTTGTGCCATGCCAACCACTTCAGGCATGAACTGAAATAAATGTTTGTAATTGCAGGAAGAGCTTCGCCCCCAATTTGAAGCAAAATATTCTCAAGTGGAACGAGTGAATCCTATAACAGGGAAGCCTGAACCTTTTCAACCCTTCCCTGATAAACTTAGTCGACTGATGGTGTCTGTGTCAGGAATATTCTTCATGGTAAAGTCACTAAAAAATATTGGACATTTTGTAAAGGAATTACGGGCTATTTCCTATCAGCCAAAATTGTTTATAGTTCTTCTCAGATTCAGAGGTAATTCATTATATAGTAAAGTAAAATAAGGAAATGCGGGTCATTGTCTGCAATTTAATCCCAGGACTAAATAATTATTTTAACTGAAAAATAAACAAGCAACTTGGTCTTGAAAAAAATGCGATTTCATAGTATTTACAAGCCTGTAATTCTGTGGAATCTTTTCCCAGCCAATGCCTATTTTTGGTATAAATATTCTTATTTTTATCCGTTTGCAGATTTCATTAGTCCTCACCGCAGTGTTTGCAGTTGTAGTCTATCGCCTTGTGGCTATGGAGCAGTTTGCCTCTTTCCAGTGGTATTTCATTAAAAAGTATTGGCAGTTTGCGACATCAGGCACAGGAGTCTGCATCAACTTTATGATCATCATGTCTCTTAATGTTGTAAGTTCCCAATCTTTATTCATAAGTGAAGGCTCGTCGGAGTATATACAAAATGAATTAAAATGTAGAATTGGTATACCATTTGTTCCTTGTGTAGGGCAGCAGCCAGGGGGCGGGCAGAGAGTGGTGGGGTAGTATTGCTTCCTTGGCTTCCCTGTTGGTAACTGAGGGGAGGGGGGGCTAGGTGATGGGAAGGTTGGTGTGGTACAGGTGCAGTGGTAGAGTCAAGGGTTTGTGTTTCTGTTCGCATATTAGGTTATTTGCCTTTAAATGTTAACTGAGTCAAATTTCTCCTCCATCCCTGTTCAGTGCTGAGGCAAACTGATTAGACTTTAGGCTTCCAAGTATCTGATTCTGAGGTGTTCTCCTCAAAACGCCCTTCTGGCAAATGTCTGCCATGACAATATTTCTCAGTATCATTGCAGAGGAACTAAGGAGATGAGGATCATACTGAGAAACAGGCTTTTGAAACATTATTCTAACCATTATTCATGTTGTTTGAAGTTCCATATCAGGATCAAGGCAAGTATAGGCATGTTAGCAGAGAAAGAAAGTCAAAGCTCTTACAAATATGGAGACACTCCAGGAAATAAATATTCAATTTAAATCTGGCCGTGCCCTAAGGCAAATGCTCGTGTAAGAAGAATGGGTGTGGATATACCTTTCATGACTATATACGTCCCTGAGCTGACGCATATAAAACTAGAAATTCTAGCCTAGGAACTTATTGACTTTGTTTGGATAAGCGTGACACACATAGTACTTTAATTAAATATTCAACACCATAATAATATATTTGATACTACTTAACAGAATATCTGGCTAGGACACACTGATTTTGAGGAGAGTAGTTGTAATCATCGTAGCCTGATCTAGCTAAAGTTTACTATTTAACACCCCAATAATATTTCTGATTTTATTTAACAGAATATCAGGCTAGGACACATGGATTTTGAGCACGACAATACTAAACGCAGTGTCTTCAATGCATTTAAAGTTAAACATGATTTTTCCTGTGAAAATCTTAGAGAACTAAGTCGCTTCTTCCATTTTATTTGGCAAGTCTCTGATGAAGGAGCTCCAGAGCAGACAAAAAAGTTATTTCAAAGAACTAGAAACAATCACCCACAAGCACATCACATATACATTTACATTTATTTAATGGAAAACATGTTTAACAGTGTAATTCAATACAAGTCTACATGAATGTTAGTTCCACTGAGTTCAGTGAGGTTTACTGTCAAGTAAGTAGGCACAATACTGAAGCTGAATGTACTATGTAGCTAGACTTGTATATTGTATTTTAAGCAACTTCATAAATAGCACTCAAAGTGCAGATTCGTTTTAACTCTATCCCAGAGGTGAGTTTGTTACATTAGCTCTCTGCACTGGATACAACTGAGTCCTGAACTGAATCAGGCTGGTTTGGGGAGAATTGTTGGCTGAGCTGTGTTAAGATAGCCCTAGCTCAAGGCAGGTCAGGTAAAAGGTCCAGAGCCAGGCCTGTCAGAGGGGTAGAGCATAGGAAGCAGGGGCAGGCTTGAGTGGGAAGGGGGGGTACAAAATGGGGAGACCTACCAGGCAGCTGTGTGTTCCTGCAAGAAGGTAGGGGTGGGTGGATGAATACCTTTCCTGCCTGACTTCTTCATCCCAGCAGGCCCCTCCTTTTCCAGTTCCCTGAAGAGCACCACACAAGAGGATGTGATCCTGTTAAGTGTTGGTTGCTGCTCTTTCATGAGTGGCTCCCCTGCTTGCAGGGAAGCTGCCCACAAAATAATTTGTCAGATTCACATCAATTGATTTCACATTAAAAGTGAATTAGTTAGCTTCCCATTAAAAATGCAAACAAAATTAAATCTCTCTCCCCCACCGCTTAGTATGCATCTATGCATGCACACACACCTGTGGTATATTTTTCTCGAAGTCTTTCCAGAACTCATTGCTAGAACACTTTTATTCTCTTCTTATTTCTTTTCCAGGTATATGAAAAAGTTGCCTATCTCTTAACAGATTTAGGTGAGTGATTTGCACTGTTGAATGTTTCCATACTTGTGTTAGTATCTGATAAAGCGTCTAATGACACCGATAAAATAACGTATGCAATTACAAGCTATCGATATCTGGTGTGCCTGAAAGACAACGAACCTGATGAAAGGAAGAACATCTCCTGAACCAATAATTGCAAGAGATTATCTAAATCCAGAGGCCTTCTAAAATGATCATGGTGGATCATACCTAAATTTAGCTGATAATTCATATGAAGGGTTGCCATTACATTGTCTGTGTGACTTTATGCTAGGAAGAAATATGAGTTTATGGCTTGTATCCAGTTGTATTCCTCTGCTGATAGAAGGTTCCTTGATGGAGTGGACACTTTCATGAGCAGAAAGGGAGTGAGAGGTTTGTGTATTGATTTTCCCTTCACTCTGCAGACCCGAAATCTGCTTCAAATGGTTGCAGAACCCTTGGGGTCAGTATAGGAGGTAACCCAGAGGGGCTGAAGGAAAAAGGAAAAATTGTTACAATTACAGTGGTACCTCGGGTTACATACACTTCAGGTTACATACGCTTCAGGTTACAGACTCCGCTAACCCAGAAATAGTACCTCAGGTTAAGAACTTTGCTTCAGGATGAGAACAGAAATCGTGCGGTGGCGGCGTGGCGGCAGCAGGAGGCCCCATTAGCTAAAGTGGTGATTCAGGTTAAGAACAGTTTCAGGTTAAGAACGGACCTCCAGAACGAATTAACTACTTAACCCGAGGTACCACTGTACTCTTCCTCCCCCCCCTCCATTTCCACTCATGGAAGCCTTCAGTGAATCAAGGAGCCTCCCATCAATGGAGGGATGCCATGTAGATGCAACTCTAGGTCTTATAATGATGATTTAGTCCTTCATTACTGAGAATTTTGAATATTTTAATATGGATCTGTTTTATGAGTTCATTTTATTTAGGGTGACAGACACTGTGGTAACCTCAGCAGTTCATTCCAAAAGCCAGGCAGAAGATTCTGATTTTGAAGTGAGGCAAAATGAGGAGTCTGCCAAAGCAATTGTGGCTGTTCATATGGAGAAGCCTCTTGTGGTGTCTCGGTTCATGAGATGAATCAACATGGTTTCCCTTCAGGCCTTCCTCAATTTAAAATATGGTTATTGTTTGTTTCTTGAATGGAAAAGGTGCAGGTCAGCTCAGTTGGGGTGTTGATAGGCTTTTCAAGTGTGTTGACAGCAATGCTAATGATCACTTGGTGCACCTCAGCTTCTTAAAACGATTATGATGATTATTTGGAGGAATGAGGATTGCAACATTTGGGCCTTTTCAATTTAGGGTGGGAGGAGAAGGCAAGTAGGGGTTGACATGACAAAAGTGTATAAAATTTTGTGATGTGTGGAGAAAGTGCCCATGAGTTTAACCCAGGAACCTGGTTAACTACTGTGAAAACAGAATGCTGGACTCCAGCTACAAATGCCTTTGCTTTGATCTAGCACCTAAGATTGGTTAAGGTCAAGCTGAATGTGTACAAAGTAGAATTATCCCTTAAGTTGTTACCTTAAGGTGTTTTCATCTTCCTTCAAAAGCGCTTTGCTTTGGTGCCATAGGAAAAGGAAAAGAGGGAGAATATAATCATGTCTTACAGGGCCCTCTCATTCCTATTAAGCTGAAACATTCATTTGACATCAACTTGCATACGGCAATTATTCCTTAATTGTAATGTACCTTTTTGTACCAAGTAAGACCATTGGTCCTTCTGCCTTATTAGTGTCAACAATGACTGGAGTTGTTGGGGGTTGAGTTTAGACTCTTCTGCATACAAAGCAGATGCACTACTACTGAACTTTCCATAAGCAATGGATCTTCCAAAGCTTTTGGAAGTCTCAAAAAGTCAAATTTCCCTCTCCATTTTGAAGAGGCCCATTTTGAAAATGGGGTGTTGATTTTTGGGTTGATTTGGGGGTGTGTGAGAGAGAAACTGCTAATACCTTTTTGGAAGGGGTTTGTGCTTAGTTTACTTCATAGGATGAGTGTTGGGTTGGTTTTCGTTTCCTTTGTCATTTTTTACACTGTAAACAGACCATTCAGTGTGGTAGCAATGCTCTCTTGTTGTAGCCTTCTTCCAGTGCCAGCTTCCCATGGAAACAACAGCAACAACATTTCAATGAAAAGAACTTGGTACATAAAGGCTGCATATATTGCATCTGTCTAAAGGGATTTTAAAATATTATTTGCAAAACAGCAGCACACAATCCCAGCCTAGCCATGATCTCAACAAAAATTGCCCTCCATACAGCAATTATCATTAGTTTAAAAAAAGAAAACTCCAATTAGTAGCAATAGTAAGTAGCCAGCGTTATTAGTTGGCTGTATTGGAACCACCATGTTCATAGCAAATACACTGAGGAAAGGGATGGTTAATGTTTAATCTCATGACTTTTTTGTAATATTTTAATATAAACGTTTATCTTGTTCAGAACAAATGTAAATAGTTGGGTATTTTACAACTAAAAATAATCTTTAAACAGTGCGTTTCAAATGTAGTGTCACAGACAGCTTTATGTGTATATGGCAATCTAGATCTTTCCTGCTAAAAGTTAGAAATGTTTATTTCCAGACTAATGTATATTGTGAATTCTGTTGCATTTTTTTTAATAGAACACCCTAGAACAGACTCAGAATGGGAAAATAGTTTTGCCTTGAAAATGTTCCTCTTCCAGTTTGTCAACTTAAACAGCTCAATTTTCTACATTGCCTTTTTCCTTGGAAGGTATGTATATCTGAAATGAGTTGAGAAAAGCATGTAAGAAACTTCCAGAACAAAATAACATTATATTTTAAAATCTATTGTTAATAGATGTTATTTCTGATTTAAAGTGTATCCCAGTTTTTAAAGGAGTACTTCACCAGTCACTTACATGGAGGGGAAAGGTGTATGTATTGTAAACCAATATGTGTGAGGAGTTTACACATGTGGCTTCCAATAGTTTTGGGAAATGGGGATGAACTAATTCAGATAATTTTGGTTACCAGGAAAAGAGTGTTTAGGTGTGTTTACTGAAGTGGAAGCTTCCCCCTCCATTTTTATCTGGAGGGAAACTGCCAGTTGTGGAGGTGGCATCTGCTGGAGCAGAGTTCCATTTAGCATTTCCCCTCAAAATGCACTTCTACCACAATGAGGCAACATTCACACTATACATTCAGTGCACTTTGGAGAGTCATGGCCTCCCCCCTCAAAATTCTAGGAGCTGTGATTTGCTTGAAATGCCGAGAGTTGTTAGGAAGATCCCGTTTCCCTTCACAGAGTTGCAATTCCCAGAGTGGTGTAACAATAGGTTCACAATTAGTACTAAAAAGGAAATACACTTTTCCTTTCCCAACATGCATCAAAACAAAAAGTGAGATAAGTAATAAGGATTTACTTTGGTTTAGCTTTAACTTTAATTTGTCTCAGTAAAAATGTGGAGTCAAATATTTTCATTCTTTCTGAATTCAGCTGACAAACCAAAATATCATTTTACAGGTTTGCTGGACGTCCTGGAAAGTATAACAAACTTTTTAACAGATGGAGACTGGAAGAAGTAAGGATAAATTTTACTTGCACCCATGTAAAATCACTGTCTCTCTCTCTCTCTCTGTATGTATGTGTATGTGTGTGTGTGTGTGTGTATACACACACACACACACACACACATGCATAAACACATACACACAAACACACAAACACACATAAGCACACACACATTCCTTTGCTCATGGACTAAATTACTGTTGTCTGAAATGGTCAACCTCTTATTCTGTTTCTTTTTTTAAAATATTAAAAATATTTGTATATTGTCAGAGCTGGCTCCAGGTCCCAGCTCACAGAGGACCCACGCTAGCCGGTAGTAATGTACAAAAGTCTTTATTGAAGTACAGTTTCCATTTCCAAGCCGCAGCGCCCCAGCTCTACGTCTTAGAGGCTAGACCGGCGAAGCTCCATCTGAGTCTCCACCCCCTGTACACCAGCTTAAGACTCTAACCTTACTCCACCTCTTCCGTCTCTCCTTTCTACTCTGGGTCCTTCTGCCCCCCGGGGTCTCCTCCTTTCTGGACTCTTCTGACGCTGACGCTGACCCCCCTGACTCCTCCCCCTCCTTTCGGCGGGCTTTGGGACCTGGCTCCCTATCCGGGCTGCCAACTGCGCCGCCCTCCTGTACATTTGAACTTGGCGTGCGCGCCCAGCCTTCCACCTTCCTCTTGACCGTTTCCTCGCTCTCCGATGGAGGCGTGGCCAATCCTGACTCCTCTCCTCCCGCTGGCGGTGAGCCTCCTGGTCCCGATACCTGGGACTCCTCCCCCCTACTGCGCTCTGGTGGGGAAGCTGGTCCTGATTTCCAACTGCTGCTCTCTGAGTCCCCTCTGGCCCCTTCTTCCTGGGGTGTCCCCCTAGGCACCCCCCTTGCTCTGACCATGGGAGCCCCTTTCTGTGAATCTTCCGATTCGCTGGAAAGACTCAGAGACCTCGGACCGCTGTCATCGCTAACATTTCCTTCGGATTCCTCCCCCTCGCTCTCTATTTCCTCCCTTTCCTGTGCCTCTGCTCCTGAGCCCCTGACATATATGATCTAAAAACAAATGGTACTTTGAAAATTTCCCTTTAAAATGGTTGGGAATTTTCAGAAATTAAAGTATGTTCTGGAATAGCTTAAACACCAAGCTTTCTTTGTAAGTGTGTGTGTGCTTTAGGGTACTAGCTTCATCAGGTCAACCAAAATGTTACAGAAGCATCTGCAATGTGCAATCTTTCAAGTTATCCAGAACTACTACTTCTAACCTGCTTCTTCAACATTTGACAGTAGATTAGATAGTAATTTAATCACCCTCACCAAACCTGACTTCCAAACAGTATAGAACAATTGATCGTGGGGGTGTCCCAGGTTGATCGTGGTGTGATGTACCACCAAAATAAAAGGGGGGGGGGAGTCAATAACTTTGGTCAACCCTCCCCTAAAAATGCTCAACAACTCCTGGCAATTACAGTGGGTAGATCACACTGGTCTTTTCATACTGTGAGTAGATTGCAGTCTCTTGGGAGTAGAACACTATGTTTTAATTAACCCAAAATCCTTACCCAGTCAAGTGGATCCACAGCAGCTGCCTCCTGGCAGCAGCATCACTGTCACTCGCCAAGAGGAGGAAAGCAAGGTGGCAGCGAGGTCAAGGCCATGCACACACAACAGTGGAGCCATTTTGGTGCTCCCACTAGTGCATACACACAGACGCAACCTCTTCACCACCTTGCCTCTCCACCTACCGGTAAGCAGCAGCAACACTACTGCCCACAGGTGTTGCTGTAGCTCTGCCCCACTGAGCAAGCAACAAATGCCTGCCAGTTTGTTGCAATTGTATCTTGCCTTTTCCCCCTCTGCCTTCTTTCTTAATGTTTCTGCTTTCTTATGTTTCTGTTTTCAGTGTCATCCCAGTGGCTGTTTGATAGACCTCTGCCTGCAGATGGGTGTCATCATGGTTTTAAAACAGATGTGGAACAACTTCATGGAACTTGGCTATCCGTAAGTATGAACAGAGGCATCATATCAAATGCTGATTATTGTATCTGCTGGCAAAGGGAATGTCCTCTCTTGCGTGGCTAACTCTTGGAGGTGCATAAAGAGAAGCCGTCTCTATGGAACTCTGTTTCCTAAAGACTGGAGAGTTTGATACAAAAAATTAATACTAGATGCAGGACATGGCAATCAGTTGTAATATGTAAAGGGATTTGGGATAAAATTTAGCCATACATTATCTGCAGAGCCATTAAAAGTGTTGTAACGTGGTTTGAGGGGAGGAATTCTCAAAGTGTTTGCAAGCACCATCAACAAGTCATCAGGCAATGATGGACTGTCTCCATTCACAGGAATGTCCTTTCTTTAGGAGACAACCGTTCACAAGGAATGAGAGAAACTAGGAGGGACAGTGATGAGTTAAGACATCAGATGAATGATTAAATTGTTACTGTGAGCGCTACTATAGATTCTATGTTCTGACTATCTAATACAGGTTACTGCAAAATTGGTGGGCACGACGCAAGATCAAGAAAGGAGGGCAGTTACTGGAGCATAAAATTTCTCTACCTCAGTGGGAAAAAGATTGGAATCTACAGCCCATGAATCTCCATGGTCTGATGGATGAGTACTTAGAGATGGGTGAGCGTTCTTATGAAGTTGCCCTTTTTTGTTAAAAAAGAAACTGGTAGATTCTTGGCTGTGAGTCCAGTAAGACCTGCTCCCTGCCTTGCAGGCCTTTTCCCACCTGGCCTGGAAAGGTGGGACCCTGACTGACTCCAGCTACAAAGGTGAGTCTGTTGAATAGACTATTAGGCTGCAGTATTATTTAGGTTTTTTTTAAATTGTGGATAGAGTTGTTGCTGTTTTTGATATTAATTACCTTTTTTGTATCTTTTTGCTCAATTTGGTTGTGTACTTTAGATGTATTATTTATTGTTTATGACTACTTTTGTTACGTTTGTAATTATTTGATTTTTGTGTGTGCTGTAAGCTACCTTGAGCATGGTTTGAACTATGGAAAGGCAGCATACAAATAAAATTATGTATGTATGTAATTTGATGAATGTCATAAAAATTCTGTCTTTTCTTAGACATGGATCCCCCATTTCTTTTCTTTTCTTTCTTTTGACCATCACTTTGAGGTTTTTTATTAAAGTTTTTCATAATACAATAAAATAGCTGCTATTAACAATACAAATAGAACAAGAGTCCTTTCTTAAAAGTAATTCTTAGCCCTTACCACCAACAGAAGATGGTAGCTCATCCCAGCTCTCACCTGGGATCTTCCCTTTCTTCTCCTAGCCTCTCACCTTGGGACATGGATATTTTCCTGACTCTCACCTGGGGTCCTCCATCAACCATCTTCCACCCCCATGAGTATACAATCTCTGAACCTTAATAAAGGCCATAGGACTCCAAAGAAAACAGAAGGGTAACCAAGAGTGGTTCTCCCTTTTTAATCATGTGTACTTTCTTTCCAGTTCTACAGTTCGGCTTCACCACAATCTTTGTTGCTGCTTTTCCCCTGGCACCTCTGCTGGCCTTGCTCAACAATATCATAGAAATCCGGCTTGATGCATATAAATTTGTCACTCAGTGGAGGCGGCCGATGCCTGCAAGAGCAACTGATATAGGTGAGACAAAGCGCAGTCACTGTAGCAACTTCTTTTTATCACTTAGTCTGCAAGTTTTGTTTTTGGTTTACAAATACTAACCAACATGAGAGAGAAATCCCAAGCCCTGGCTTGGAAACAGTGAAGCAGAACTGAGTAGCAGCTCTCCTACCACGTACAGTTCCACGCTGCTTGCACTACCCAGGGCAGAGGGTAGCAGTGGTCATTTTTCACTCTCTTGTTTTCTGCTGTATCAGCTCCAAGCTCAGGTCAAAGTGCTGCTGTGTGTGATCCACCAGTTCCCAAATGAAAATAGATGGCACCAGAAGTAATCTGATATGGTCCTAGCCTTTTGGAAGGGCAATGGTGTTGTTTTCGTACCTGCAGTGTAATAATTATAAATGAGTCTCAAATGAGGCATCACATACTGTGGCTGTGGATGATAAATTTGCAAACTGGATCTAAAAATGGAAGCTGTTTGTTTTCTAGACTCAGTTCGAATGAAGGGCAAGCTGTGCAGGGCAACTGAGAAAGTGCAGATTTAATTCTATTTTAGAACAAAGGCTTCTTTGAGCATGGACTGGAAAAAAAGTATTAAATAATCTGCTTTCTCATGTTTGCTTGTTTTGTGTTTAGCCTCATGATAATTATCCTCTCCTAGGGATCTGGTATGGAATCCTTGAAGGAATTGGAGTCCTAGCCGTCATCACCAACGCTTTTGTTATTGCCATTACATCTGACTATATCCCACGCTTTGTTTACGCATACAAGTATGGTCCATGTGTTGATCAAGGATACAGACAAGAAAAGTAATTATGCCTTTTCTGTATTTTTCGCTGATGGACTCACTTTTGTATTTTGACAAAAGTTTGCATTTTTCCCTTTTGTATATTTTGCTCTTTATTTGGCACGTTTTATTATGGTTACAGTGGGCCAGAATGGATTGCATCAGAGGCCAAGCTAGAGCACTTGAACTGTGTGTGTTCAGTTTTAGTCACATGCTGGAAGTGAATGAGACAGCTGGAAAATTTCAATTGCTTAATATGCCCCCAAATAGTGAAAGACCTAGAAAACATTGTGCTAGAAACAAAACAAAAAAATATTGCAAGACTACATCCCCTCCAGGCAATTACAACAGAAAGAGGGATGTTAACAGAAATATAGGGATGCTCCTGAATGTTGTCAGCCGCATCCCTGTGCCATGGTTCTCCCCACCTCAATTAGGCATGGAGGAGAAATTTGTACCGGTTTCAAGGGGCCTAAACCACAGAGTCTAGGGCTTGCTGATCAGAAGGTCAGCGGTTTGAATCCCTGCGACCGGGGTGAGCTCCCGTTGCTCGGTCTCTGCTTCTGCCAACCTAGCAGTTCAAAAGCACGTCAAAGTGCAAGTAGATAAATAGGTAGCGCTCCAGTGGGAAGGTAAATGGCGTTTCCGTGCACTGCTCTGGTTTGCCAGAAGCAGCTTAGTCATGCTGGCCACATGACCTGGAAGCTGTCTGCGGACAAACGCCGGTTCCCTCGGCCAGTAAAGCGAGATGAGCGCTGCAACCCCAGAGTCGTCCACGACTGGACCTAATGGTAAGGGGTCCTTTACCTTTATGTAATTCACACCTCCTGAAACAATACACAAAGTGAAGCACACATATCCATCAAAATGCACACATCTCTGAATTTTGCGATGCGGTTCTCCAACAACAACGAAAGTTGTTGTTGGATATATTAGAGAGAGTGTTCATAATGTGTATATTCACAAAAAGAAAAGAAAATACATTATATCAGGTACAACTGCATGCAAAAATGTGTATATTAGAATACATATGCACACACAAAAATTTTCAGGAGTTTTTTTTAAAAAAAATAAGGAACTGAAACTGTTGTGGCAAAAAGAGAGTCTCAGCAAAACTGGCAGATTTGTCTCTAATTCCAGTTGACCTCAAATCCTGATGTACAGAACGCAGCTCACCCAGTGGTGATCTCAGCTTCCCAATAGTGGCATCACTGCCGCTTGCTAGGAGTGGCAAGGCTGCAGTGGGGTTGGGACTATGAGTCCTAGGTGTGGTGTTCTTCAGCAATGGAACTTTATTTCTTATGAAATATTTCCAAAGCCTGGGCTTGTTTTTGTATCAGGGTTTATCTTCTAGGACGTGAAAAGCTTACGCCATGGAATGAATTTTGAGAATTACCATAAGAACTAAGCCATCTGTGGTCTTTAACCTAGTCTAATGATGTATTCTCATCACATAAACATCTAATCAGTATTTTTGGCCAGTTGGTGTCAGGGGTCACCTGTTTCACACAATGCTTTGGTAGAGTGTTGCATATACAACAGCACTATTATTTATTGTATACATTGCTGTCTACAATATGAAATAATGGTTAAGCTAATTTTTGATGTTACCAATTGACAGTGTGTGTTTTTATTCCTTGGCTTTACAGTTACACATTTAATAGGTGGGTATGAGGGAAAATACTGCTTAACACAGTTTTATATATATATATTTTCTAATCTGCTCCATCATCCATAGCTCTTTCTTGGCTCTAACACTTTTCATAGCCAGTATCCTGCCTTCCATACAACGCCCCCAGATTTTGTAGCCCAATGAGAAAACAAAAAAGATAAGCTTTGGGCCTAAGTGTCAGCTGCAGCCTCATCAAATGATACCATTAAAATGCATTGATGCAGTCCCTGTATTGTATTGGCTTATTAATGAATGAAAATGTTTGTTTATACTATGTTGATCTGCCCTCATACAATCAATGTTCTTCCACCTAACAAAGGAAAGCCATAATTTCACTGAGGGAAAGGCAGAAAAAACCCAACCAAGTGCCAATCAGATTGAAAGGGGGGGGATTCCTTTCTGGCCCTGTCAACCAATGACCCAAAACTGGTCAGTGAAGGCTCTAACCCAGGAGTCAGCAAACTTTTTCAGCAGGGCGCCAGTCCACTGCCCCTCAGACCTTGTGCGGGGCCAGACTATATTTTGGGGAAATAAATGAACAAATTCCTATGCCCCACAAATTACCCAGAGATGCATTTTAAATAAAAGGACACATTCTATTCATGGAAAAACACACTGATTCCCAGACCATCTGGGGGCCGGATTTAGAAGGTGATTGGGCCAGATCCGGGCCCCGGGCCTTAGTTTGCCTATCCATGCCGAGGGTGGGCAGACAGAAAGCTCTAAAAGCAAAATGGCTGTGAGCTCCAGGGGAAGCAGCCTTCTATAGGCTTCCCCTCCCCTCTTCAGCAAGGGCTCATGGGACAGCTTTTTCCCATGAGCCCATCACACAGAGATGATACTGGGCAAAGCCTTGCTCAGTTTTTTGCTGCAATCTATGGGCCACAGTGCCACTGGGCAAAGGCAGCCCATGCTTATTGGGCACAGAACAGGGCTTACTGCAGTGTTCAACATTTCCCATATGTTGGGAGTTTCAGCATCTAAGGTTGCACATGTGTGCACATACCAAATATCTTTTTGACATATTGGGAGATTCATTTATACTCCCCCTACCTACCCCCATCCAGGCAGGGGCATCCATTATTTCATTATTTTGATTGCACGCATACAGCCCAATGTTGCATGTGAGGACCTCTGAAACTGGGCCAGTTTAACAGCATTAGTTGCACACCTGCTACAATTATTGCATTGCCATTTGGTATCATTAGTCAGTCTGAGAAGGGGAACTGGCTGCATTCAGCAGCTCTGATTCTGGTTGGCCACTGCACCGTGTGGGAATGTTACTTAAGCACAGTTTTGACCTCTTAGACGAAGAGTTGAATTGTATGCTCACACAAAGCATAAACCTCAGCTTACATATTCAAGACTTTATGGGTCTCTTGCAGCATAAATCCCAAGAATATTTTGGCACCATCATCCTTCGAAAATATGATAGGCATGGCATTTGAATCATAGGCACACATTGATAATGGCAAGGAATGTGAATGAGACTTGCTTTGCATGCATAAGCATAACAGGACCATGATGAGCTCATTTCTCATTGGAAACTATTTCCCGGGCTTTCTTTTTTCCAGATGTTTGAGAGGATACGTCAACAGCAGCTTATCAATATTTGATCTGAGCGAGCTTGGCATGGGATATTCAGGATATTGTAGGTATGTATTATGTCACTTGCTTAATTTCAGTGCAAACACCAAAGAAGCTTGACCAAAAAGTCTTGAATATCCTTTTTAACTGCTTTGATGAATATAGTCAATAGAGTTCAGCTGAGGGGGAGATGTTGAAATTCCACAGCAAATTCACCAATCCACCACATCACTATTTATATACAGTCACACCTTGGGATAAATACACTTCAGGTTGAGCGCTTTCGGATTGCGCTCTGAGGTGACCTGGAAGTAACAGAGTGTGTTACTTCTGGGGTTTCGCCACTCGCGCATGCGCAGACGGTCAAATGAACGTCACACGCATGCACAGAAGCGGTGAAACACGACCCACGCATGTGCAGATGCGCTGTTGCGTCTTCTGTTCGGGATGAGAACAGGGCTCCGGAACAGATCCCGTTCACATCCCGAGGTACCACTGTACATGGTTAAATCACGCTACTGTGTTTCCTTTAAAATATTTATATCCTGCCTTCTAAGACTCACACCTACTTTGATAAAAAAAATCAAAACCCAACAGGGCAAAGGGGTGGGGAAATGCTAGAAGCTCAGTGGAAAAGAGCGCACTTTTTGCACTTCAGAAGGGCTGCAGAAAAGAAATGTTCAAAATCTCATTGGGTGGTTATTCCATAGCCTTGAGGGGATTGCAGTGCTGCCTTCTCTTCATATCATGTGGGCCTCACACACAGCCCATGAATAGTACAGGATCATGTTTACTGTCAGAAGTGTGGATATACCAGACCATAAACTGTACTCCATTTTTTGCCCTGCACATAATTCACTAATATTGCCTTTAATATCTTGTTTTCTAGACATTCTAATTCATAGAAGGCATTCATTTATTTTGCAACTTTGATCATAACAGGCATATCTCTTACCCATCCTTCACACTGTTTTGGTGGGTTTCCATATATAGCTGCTTCTGTCTTCTGCCAAAACACCACTGAAATGGGGTGCTCAGGCTGTCTGCATGATTACAAGTGCCTCTAGTTTTACCAAATGGCTTTCATCTCCTTTATTTCCATCACAGGTACAGAGATTACAGAGCGCCTCCGTGGAGTTCGACACCCTATGAGTTCACCTTGCAGTTCTGGCATGTTCTTGCTGCTCGACTGGCTTTCATTATAGTGTTTGAGGTTAGTTATATAGTTCTTAATCAGGGCTACTGTACAAAGGTAAAATTTACATCCATTGCTCTGCCCACATTTGCCTCCAGCCCCACAAACTGTTGGAATATGGGTCCCAGAGGATTACCCAGAAGACATTTGTTTGGAAGAGTTTCCCATTCCCTGGTGTAAATGAAACACACATTCATAACCCTCTAACTGCTGGCATTATGTTCGCATAGGGAGGATTGGAGGAGCTGTTTTAAGCCATGTAATTTTGGGATAAAGGAAAAATGGTTCTTCATCACTGGTACAAGATGTATTCTATCTTCCCTTTTCAGCCCCCTGCCACAAGGAGACAGTAGATCACTGATATATGCTACTATTAATAATCAAGGATAAGTAACTAGTCAGTGCATTGCTTCCCAAATATACTGCAGCGATCCAAGCAAGACAGATCAGTGTATGCATTTTAAATCTCTCTCTATATATATATTCTTTCTCTTTTCAGCACCTTGTTTTTGGAATAAAATCTTTCATTGCCTACCTAATCCCAGACATGCCCAAAGACTTGTGTGACAGAATGAGAAGGGAGAAATACTTAGTTCAGGAAATGATGTATGAGGCCGAACTGGAGCATTTGCAGAGAGAGCGGAAAAAGAATGGCAAGCAGTATCACCACGAATGGCCTTAGTTAATACGGAAGGAGAGTCACATCGTCAGGACTGAAAACTCCCAGGGCGAGCTGAAGAAGATGAGAAGATTTGGGAACGAGGCAAAGGAATCCATCTGCATGTATATCCTGCTGCTGGGAAAGAATATTATCAAGCTTTTCTGTGAACGAGGCAGTGGGTGGGTGGGGATTGTGTTACCAACAGTCAAAACAAACAGCTACTTCCCCTTAACTGTCCTTGGTAAAGGTGGGATGCTGTCTCAGCTGCAGCTACAAAAGGAGGTAGATTCACCAAGCAGCAGTAGAATGAGCTACAACAAGTCCGCAAGAGTCTTGCACAGCAGCATACTGGAAAAGAGATGTCTGTTACTTGTAAAACTTTCATAATAAGGGCATGATTTTTTAAAACAACAACAATGTGTTTATTCACTCCTTCTACAGCTTCAATTGCTCAAATGAATTTGTATTGCCTATGATATAAAAAAAATCAAGCAAGATTAATTGTTGCCTTTGTGGCCATAATTTGATGCTATAACAGTCCTTGAGGCTTCCCGTTCTGTCAGGTTTGTCCTCGTCTCTTGCTGAGATTGTGGATGTGGCTCTGCCCTTTAAAAGGGATATCAGCCTGTTCAATATGTACTATGCAGTTTGATGTTTGCACATCACCTCTTGTCCATTTGTCTTTATAAATCAGGGGAGGGTGGGGAATCAAAAAGGCTTTGCCATTAGAAAGCCTTAAGGCTGGGATCTGGAGACGCTCTCCAGCCAGGAGGAAACTGGTTTCTGCATGCGGCGCAACTTGTTGATCTCATACCAGAATCTTACATCAGGAAAATTACATTGCACCCAGAGAACCTTGGCCGAATGCAGAAGCCTGTTTCATATAGCTAACTGTGCACATAGCTCAGGTCCTGTGCGCCTGTGCAGAGGCCTGCACAAGTGGTATACTTTCACTCTTGATCTGCTCACAGGCATTTGATGCCGGCTTATATACCCTTGCACTCTTCTTGATGCAGCACTTTCTCGGGACGCAATGTGACTTTTTCAGTGGTTACTGATAGTAAATGTGCAGATTAAGGTCATCTCATATCTCTGAAGTGAAGAGTCCTATCCATGCTCTAATGTGGCATGCAAAAGTATAACTGTATGGATATAACCTTCTTGTCGAGCTACCTGGATTTTATATAGTTCACCAGCCACTTCAACTTGAAATCTCATGGCATTGCAAATAAGAAGCCTTATGCAAGCTCTTGCTTATGCGGAATATAAAGTATAACATCATGGCTTGCTTGTTCAAAGTGAAAAGAAAGAGGAACCCCCCCCCCAATTTCCCCCTTATAAAATCGAAGTGTGGAAAGAGGCAAAGGGGTAGGATTCAAGTATCCTCCAGTTTTATGCCTTCTTAAATTTTTGTTTGAAAACAGTACATGCCCTTGCAGGGACCTGCACTTTTGATTCTCACATGCCTACAGCTGAGAGCAATATCATTTGATGGCTTTGAAGTCATGATTTCGTCTAACGATGCTTTACTAATTATCATTTCTATTACCTACTACTTCAGAATGTGGAAGAAATGAAGCACTAAACTCAAACAAGTGTGCAGGATTCACTTGTACATGGGGACCAAAATGTTCCTGGGTTTTCCTTTTGTAAAAATTTCAGGTGTAGAATTCTTTCTTATTTATATCAACCAAAGTAAGTTAACAACTCCACGCCCCTAACTTTCAAAGAGTCACTTCATTATAATCAAGCACAGCAATGATATCATATATATATATATATATACATATTTGCATGAGTCTTAGGATGACTTCTGTAGTTTAGGGGAAAAAACACCAGATTGTAGAAATGATCTTATTATACCGGGGAAATGCATCACATTCCATCATTTGGAACCATAAGTGATCTAATTATGATACATTATTCTAACCCTGTGGGATTTTTCTTACTATATTTCTGTCATATAATTAATGTTTTTATATGATGACAATCTTGTTTATAGTATCATAATGCCCTTTTTATATATTGATACCCAAATTCAGGGGTTGTTGTGCAGATAGAAACTCTAATGCACCCCAACCCCCACCTCACGGGCTTTCTATACATTTCAATAGAGGGAGAAGCACTGCACATGTAAACATTGGTGCTGAAGACCTCTGTTGAAGTGCCTGGAAATGCCTGCCTGCACACAAACACTATGGGTGCATCAGAGTACACAAAGATCTCTGGATTAGGGGCACAAATGGCAAAGTGCACACTTTATTTGTGTGCTGTAAAACATGTTACCTTTGTTTTGCTACTGTTTTGCTGTTGTTATGTTTTACCTATCTGCTGGTTGCCTTGGCTGGATCCAAGCTTTAAAACCCATATGGTTTGCCAAGTAGTCAAGTTAACTATGATTCTGCTTGGCTTTTCTTCTGTCTATCCCACTTTGATTGATACACAGATACCTTCTGATTGGTCATGTAAGAGGGTAATGCTATACATATCTACTCAGAAGCAAGTCCCACTAACTACAGCAGGATTTACTCCTAGATCTGAAATCCGGAGCCCACATTTGTAGAGATTAGTTGCCATCTGACTCAGATGAGTTTACTGCTGAGTAGATATGCTTAGGATTGCATCAGCAAATGACAGAAAAACAACGGCAGCATCGCAATCGCTGAACTATAAAACTACTTTCAATGCAAAGTTCACGATCAAAGTTCTAGGTCACAATACTGAAATCACTTGTTCCTAGCTAGTTACACTGAACAGCTGAAAAGTCTTAGTGGCTTCAGTTTTGTAGCCTTTGATTGTTGTTGGTTTTTCCCCCACACATACTTGGAAAGCACATTGAAAATGCTCACTTGTGCCCTTTTGTATTTGTTTTAAAAACATGCATTAACAGTGTCTAACAATTTGCTGATCTATAGCCATTTGCTTTAGCTGAGAGAAATGCTCTGCTTGATTTGGTTTACTGTGGTTGCATTGAATGCAAATTATCTTACAAAGATATATGGCACACTCTGTTCTCAGGAAATATGTATTACATGAATGCTGGTTAAATATCTTTCTCTTTCCACTTTTCTTTTTGTATTTCTAAATACTTGTCTTTCCAAACAAATTACCAGTATTAGTGGTATGTGCATGCAAGCTGAATTTGTGGAATCTCCCAAGCTGCAGAGCTTCAGAACTAGCATCCATGCAAACAAACTGCTTTAGATCATTGTTGATCTAGTCTACAATAACTTTGGTCTATGCATGTTCTTTCAGGGCAGACTGCATGAGCAGCTACAGTCTGGCTTTCAAAATACTACAGTTAGTTACTAGTCCAGAATGTCTTAACTATTACCAACTCAAATCGGTGTCTTGATGCAATCAGAAGGAACCCTTGTTCCAGAAATAAATATTTGTTTACGATTTGCTATTCTTATATTTCATTCTCCTTCATTTTGCATTTGCGTATAAATTTTGAAGTGGGGGAGGCGGTGGGGGACTGGTGGGGATTTATAAAAGAAACCCTTCATGCAAAACCTCTTCTTGCATCTGCCTTTTGAGAGGACTGAAAGTGAAAGAAGCAATATGTGTATATAGAAAAGCCTTATATATCTAGTTGGGGCTCTAACTGGCACCTAGCTTTGTGTAAGAGGGCACATAGCTCAAAAGAGACGTACTTCGATTTTAGAAAGCCCCAGGTTTAATATCTGACACCTCAAATTAAGCAAATATAAGGCGGCAGAAACTGGAAGGACCTGTATCTGAAATTCTACAGAGCTGCCATTAATCAAAGTAGACAGCACTGGGCCAGCTAGATAGATCAATAGTATAATGCAGTCCACAGTTGCTTCATGTGTTTATAAATCTAAAGCACTGGAGATGGATTGGCATGTTACAATGTAATATTTGTCAATCGCAAGATCATTTAATGTTGATTTGAGTCTTGAGTGGCTTTTTCAGGTGCCCAACTTTTGTATACTGGGCCCAAATTATTATGCATGTTTCCCCTATCTCTGCCCCTTACATTTTACAGAAAAGCTTTATAAATAATATCAGAAGATAAATGGAAGCATTCCTTCACCAAGAACACAGTAACGTCTGTCCTCTTTGTTTGAAAGGCAGTTGTGTACCTCTGGAGCAGTGTTTCCCAAACTTGGGTCTCCATCTGTTTTCCCCATCATCCCTGACTGGTCCTTCTAGCTAGGGATGATGGGAATTGTAGTCCAAAAACAGCTGGAGACCCAAGTTTTGGAAACACTGCCCTGGAACATGGAACCTTTTCAAACACAGAGTGATACGTTCCCTTCTGGGCAACCTTACAGAAGCCACATGCCAAGGATGTGATGGGTCAGAGGCAAAAGTGGGTGGAGCAACTGGTGTTAATTTTACTTTTGTACAGTGGGTTCTTTTCTGTACACTCACAGGCATATGCACATACACACACTTACTTCCATATTCCATCCAGGCAAGAAAGATGCATTACCAGAGTTCAAGGATAATCTTTATTTCCCTTTATTGTTTACCCTTAATTAAAGGATGACCAACTTGTAGCCCTCCAGATGTCATTGGACTCCAATTCCCATCAGTTAGTGGTCAGGAATGAGAGCTGAAGTACAACTGGGGGGCTTCATGTTGTCCCATCCCTGACTTAATCTTTCAAAGTACATGCAGGGGGTGGAATTTGAAAATGAAACAAAAATATTTCTCTAGGAAATGCCAATCAAGTGAACAAAGATACCATGGCATACACTTCTAATTTTTGGGATGCTCTTTACTTTACGGAGTTTTACATGTACAAATGCAAACTAATGACTGTATCATTCTCATCTGAAGATTGCACTTTTGTAATAAATTTGGGATATTGTTAAAGTGGGCACCATATTTCTTCTACCAATGCAACTCTTGCACCTCAGTTCACGCAACAGACGTAACTTAGCCCTTAGTCCATGGGTAGGCAAATTAAGGCCCGGGGGCCGGATCTGGCCCAATCGCCTTCTAAATCCAGCCCGTGGACGGTCCAGGAATCAACGTATTTTTACATGAGTAGAATGTGTGCTTATATTTAAAATGCATCTCTGGGTTATTTGTGGGGCATAGGAATTCATTCATATATGTTTTTCAAAATATAGTCCGGCCCCCCACAAAGTCTGAGGGACAATGGACTGGCCCCCTGCTGAAAATGTTTGCTGACCCCTGCCCTAATCTATCCGCTGGCGGCAGGTCAAGTCAGGCTGGAGTTGCAGGACCTTGGACAGTTCCAGGCAGAAAATGTGGCTCTACAAAGTCTGGAGCTCAACTGAGGACTTTTATCTTTCCTGGCCCCTTTAGCAAACTGTTCAAAGTCTTAAAATGATACTTCTTCCTTTAAGCCTAGCACTCCATTGATTTTTAGTATGCTCTGCCTTGTGGGTTGCCTGCAAAGCTGCAGAGGTACAGAGGAATGCAAGGCCCCAGTATGAAGAAGCATCTACCTTGAAGGTGCTGCCTCTGGGAGGTCCCACTTCAGCACCAGTTGTGCAATTTGCTCCTGGCCAATGGAGGCTCAGGGCTTCCTTGCACAGGTAGTGTTGTGGTCTGGATCTGGGCACAGACCTAGTATGCACTGCTGCCCTTCCTAATCTTGTTGGTTCCTCCCTCTCTGTGTCAAAGACCTGTCAGCTGTTCAAAATCTGGGGCCTAACAATGAGCCAGAAATATAGAACCATTGTTTCGTGTATGGCAGGGTAAATCAGTGTGAAAGGGGACATTTCAAATTTCCCTGCAGAGCTTTGCCACTTTTTAGTATTCTCAGTAAAACCTCTCACAGCATTACTGAGCATTCACACAGCAGAAGTAATAATAAATGGGTACATTTCCCTAAAACAAACAATGTTGCCAAAGAGCTCAGTCATTGAAGATCTTTTCACAGCTTCTCTGATCAGCCACAATGGGAAAATCTATAATGAATTTTAAATCACACCAAATTCTGCAAGTACTTTATTAGGCAACCTATGATACTCCAGAGGAAAAACTCTACAATGACACTGCAGTTTGGTCAGGAAATATGCATCTGTAGCATAGTTCATATTTTAGAATTCCATGTTAGGACAAATGGGAGATGAATACCCAAGTTGCACTGGCAAAAAATACAAAGGGATTAAAATAAAAAAACTTTTTAGAGTGTTAACTGCATGCTCCATTCTTCCTGAAAAACACACACATGTCTTTCCATCTTTTCTCTTGCCACATTCACCACCACTGAGTCTTAGAAAAAGTTTCCGTGTTATAAAATGACTTCTGAAAATAAAAATAAATGCACCTGCTAACCCTCTACTAAATTATAATTAAATGCCTCCTCGGCTACTTGTAGTGCCACTGATTTGTTTTCCTAAAGTTTGGACAATTCCATACCATTCCTATTGTTAGCAGGATGACCTTTTTCCTGTACATCCTAAAAGTAAGATTCCGTCTCTATGCTTGTATTAGTGTAGGATTTTTCACTGGGGTTGTAACCAGGTAAGTGACTCAGCGTTTCTTTATTGAATCCATTTGCAAGGGCATCATTTGCTTCTGCCTTCTTTCCAAGACCTTTATGCAGATTATCTTCTGATCCCTCCTGAGAAATAATGTAAAAACAAAAAGGAAGGACAGTTAAGTCAAGAAGTGGATTAGTTTCCATTCCCCTTGTAATGGCCCCAAACACATATGAATGTGAGTATACAAGTGCATATCAGAAGTTTAGGTTTACACATTTAAAGTGAATTATTTGGAAGCTAAATAGCTCAGATGGTAGAGTCTGAGACTCTTATGCTCAATCCCCATGTTGGGCAAAAAGATTCCTGCAGTAGATTACCTTCACGGTCCCTTTCAACCCTACAATTCTATGATTCTATAGCACTCTAGAACAACAAATCCACTTAAAACACACATGAGATTTGTGTGTGTGTGGTTTGGAAAGTAATGGGGAAATGCTCTGGGATGAACAAATGATGAATGGAAAACACATAAATACCCCACAAGCAAATAAGGACAAATGCAGGATGAATGGCATTTGTTATGCACACACACCCGTAAACAAATCAGAATGAACAGTGAATAAACAGCTCCTCTGGAGGAATCCTAATACATACAAACAGGTCATAAACTGTCAGACAAGGATTGGGAAGCTGTAGAGGGAGCAGCTATGGAAACTGAGAGGGATGTGAGTGAAACCTGGGAGGGTGGGCTAATGCTAGTGAGTTCCTTTTTTGGCATATAAACGAACTGGTTGCATTGGCTTTCATATACAGCTACACATTTAAGAACCACAAAGAAATATTTGGGATAAAGCTTTTCTAGATATGGCTTGTGCCAAAAGTCTTTTTTTTGGGGGGGGGGTTATAGATGACATTCACCAACACCTATCTCTAGAAATATAGTTAAAGTAACATGACTGAAATATTCTATGAATATTGTATATTCCTTGATGATCATATGCATTAGCAATTGCAATTTACAAAAAATAAAATAAAAACAAAGAGCTGCTTAGCTTTTTTCGATTATATGTTATTTTAGGTGTTTTATGAGTAACAGATGAGTAACAGGTGGTGTAAATTTATGCTTGTATGTATCATCATATACAGGCCATTTTTTTCTAGAAAAAGAGGTGATAGAACTCAGTTCTGATGAGTTCCAGCTGAAAAAAAAGCCCCGGTCCTATACTGGTTGGAAAACTAATGTTGCTGTCCAACAGAATTATAGAACAATATGTCCTTTCCTGTTAACTCTGGAACTATGGGAGTGTGAAAATTGTCTCTTCCATCGGCAACCAAATTGCATTAAATACTCAACTGCTACTGGGGGGTTACTCTAATGGTGTTTGTTTCAGCAGCAAGCAGCTGACAACGCAATCCTCAATCTAGTATCCCTTCAGAAACCTGTCTCTTAGATATTTCCATTCGGAAGAGTAGCATACTGGACCATATTGGCCATATTGCCATGAAATGTGCATTTCAATTAGCGCTGGCTCCCAGCTGATTGTGTTAACCAACCCACTGTACAAGTTTCATATGATGGTGAATTGATCTGGTATACAGGTGGCATTAAAAATATAAGTTCTGTTATCAGCTTTGGAAGCACATATTATGATAATGCACTCAGTCTAAGTGGGCTTGTGGGTTTAATGGAGTCCAGAGTCCAGTAACTGCAGGAAATATGGGGAGGCTTATAAGGAAAGAGTCTCACTTGAAGTGCTTTGCTGTCATCATGGTCCACTCCACACCAGCACAAGTGTTTGCATTTATGAGACCAGAAGCAAAACAGGTTGCAGACAGGGCGAATTAAGAGTGGCTTGATATCTTCTCCTTTATTTGGACCTTGGCAGAAGAAAGTAAGAGTCAAGCATCTATCAAAATGCTGTTGTTTATTTTGTATAATAATATTCTATGCAAAACATTGTTAATATGAAGCAAAACATAGATCTATTCTTTTATAACTACACCGATTAGTCTAGCACAAACTGAATAGAGTCCATGTTCCCCCAGTTCAACTAGGAATTTGGATTGGGGTGGGGGTTTTTTTGTAATGAACCTTATTTATAGAATTTGCATTCTGCCCTTAAACCTGAAGGTTCCTCTGCTGCTACATAATAATCTGTTAAGCACATTTCTATTGATCTCTGTGTTTTATCAACTTGTCAGTTTCAACTGCCTGTTTTAGCTTGATCAGCCGTTCTTTGATAATTGGAATTATTGCTGATTTCCAGAAAAAGGCTAACAAAATGCTGGAGAAGAGCTGAGATCCTTATCCTCAACCTGGGCCCATGAGATTTTGCAGAGCTGCCACCACATCCACAGCCTAGCAGCCATGGTGGAAGTATGGGCAGGATGTTTGGTATCAGCAGCATCAGCAATGACATTGTCTACCTGGCCACCATTTTGCATTATCATATCTTGGACTTTTTAGTACACTATGTGGGTAGGTGGGTGGGTGGGGGAATGGTGGCCATCCCCCTCACACACAAATGGTGGAGAATATTCAGATAAAATCCTGCAAAGTCTCCATCATTTTCTAGGAGAAGAAGAAAATGAAAAATGTCAAAAAAAATCTCACCAAAAAAATGAGTTCTGAGAAACTGAAGCTCAGACTGAAAGTTGAATCAGCCTTGAGAACATACAGCTCACTTAAATGCAAATCAATTATCCTGTGCACTTCAAAATGTGCCCTCGTACCTACAGGACCACCTCTTCTGGTATGTCCCACAGAGGACCTTACGGTCTGCTAACAACACCTTGAAGATCCCGGGCCCCAGGGAAATTAGACTGGCCTCGACTAGAGCCAGGGCCTTTTTGGCCATGCCCCGGCCTGGTGGAATGCTCTCCCACAAGAGTCCAGGCCCTGCGGGATTTGACATCTTTCTGCAGGACCTGCAAGATGGCGCTGTTCCACCAGGCCTTCGGACAGGATGCAGTTTGACTTACTTTCCTTTGTATAAATCAAGCCTGAAGGAGGCCCCAACCCGCTCTCAGGTCCTTGTATGATCAGTGGAAACAGTTGGTCCTGGCAATTATTAACCACTCTCAATTCCACCCTGATAATTGCCAGCTGCCCGGATTTTAACTTGTCTGAATTAATTTTAAGATGTATTTTAATTAATTGATGTCTGTTTTTATGCTTATTGTGTTGTTTTTATGATGTTAGCCGCTCTGAGCCTGGCCTCGGTCGGGGAGGGCAGGATACAAATAAAATATTATTATTATTATTATTATGGAAAAGCTAGTATCAATTTTGTAGAAGAAAACAATGTCAGAGTCCGGACCACAAAAACCAGTAAAGAACTGACCTGTAACCAAACTGATCAGAAGCCCTGCAGCAATACATCCAAGACACCCAACAGCACTATAGTAAAGATAGGAGAGAGAATACCACGTCTCTGCCAGATGTGGCCTAGGATGATAAATTTGAGGGACAGTCAATATATATGACCACTTTGAGCAAGAATTAGTTAATTTATCATACCTTCTAATTCCCAGCTACAGAGAAGAATGACCACCATTCTGCAACACCCACACGCAAGACTCAGAAGACTCAGCAGAAGCCCATGTTTTGTAGAAGTATGGACAATCATTATGGGGCAAAACAAAAAACAAAAACAACCCACCATAATTCATGGGGTGGAAGGTGGGGAGATGATCCCAATAGCCCCATAAAAACTCAATGGCATTTTGTAAATGTCCCCAGTGCTGCTCATTGAAATAAATTGAGAAATCCAGGATTTTAATATAGCTGGGGATTGAGCCCAACAAAGTAGTAGCAAAGAGAAGAGTTTCACTTTCTAATTAAACTATTCTGTAGCCAACCACACTTGCTTAAAAACTACTGCTAATCACAGTTGTCTCCATATTGTAACTTGGAAGGAGAGCAGCTGAGAGAGACTCTTACCTGATGGGAGATGAGGTAGGGAACATAGTTGGTACAGTCTCTGTATTATTGACAATGCACTCAGCTGTGGAAAGGTATAATGGAAGGGCCTTTGCAGCTGGAGCAGGGTACACAAAAGCTCCAAAGCCAACCCAAAATGCCAAGGTGATTCCAGTAAGGAGACCTCCCAAAGCACCCTTAAATCACAAAAGAAAATTAGACATACACAGTATTATTGGAGAATCACGGGTAAAGTGCTTGCCAGCATTACCAGCTGGAAAAGGGGTTGCTCATCTCTGGAGCACATTTTCAGTGTCATCTCCATATCACAGTGGGGAATAGACCAAATCCTAAACCCTCCATGGGTCATGGATGATATCAAATAACCCAAATTCAAAGGAAAGAATTGGGAGTACCCTCTAATTGCACTCCTGGTTCTTTCCTTTTTCCTTTGCAGCTCAGCTTGAACTTGGGCTGGGCTGCAAAAGAAGATGCCTGCCCAAAGTGGGGTATGTAATCCTATAATTTTACCAGGAATTGGCTGCCTTGGAAGCTCACAATCAGGAACTTACAAACATAGCTGACTCCTGCAGGCCTTACTGTCAGCACAGATGAACAGATCGGTGCTGCCAGCAAGCCCTGCTTGGGCAGGGATTGGCTGCACTAGGGAGTTCCTGAAATTCCCAGTGCAGCTGATCACAGCAGGGCTTGTTATCAATGTCAATCAGCTGATCAGCAATAACAGCAAGCCCTGCTTTCAAAGAAGAAGTGGGATTGCATTTGGAGGCTCCCTATCCCACATGGGACACAGGTTGGTGTGGCTTGGGGAATACAGCCAGAATAGGTCCCCAACTAGTGCTAATATGAGCCACAGGCTTAACGGTCCCCCATGGCTAATATATAGGATGTACTACAACCCTTAACCATACAGAATTACCCCGCTTAGTGGTCTGCTTCGTGAAATGATGTGTTTATGGGGGAAAACTAAATGAGAACCAAGTTATTCTATGTTTTTCATATGCAGTGTTTGCTAGGTTTTGCACCAGCACTAAAACCAGTAATAACAGCAGGCCAATCAGTCAGTGTTACTCAGAAACCAGCTCCAACAAGCTTTTCCTCTCCTTTCTCTCCAGCAACAGCCACTCCACCAGGATGCAGCGGAGTATTAGTAAGGAAGCAGCTCTGCTGCAAATCCAGCTCCATCCAGCTGCTCCTTCCATCATCTATCACCCAACAGCAAGCATTTCATCAGGTTGCAGCACAGAGAGAAATGGAAAGTAATGCCACAGATAGACCAATTTTTGGCTCCTCCTCACCTTCTTCTGATTCTAATCCAGCTGGTCACTGTAAGAACTTTGAGACTAAGATCTAATGCCTAAATTTGCCTCTTCTTTTCCTGCCTCTTCCCTCTCTATCCCTTTTCCATTGTGTGTTTTATGTCTTTTAGATTGCCAACCTGAGGGCACAAACTATCTCATGACTGATTGCTGTAAGATGCCCTGGGAGAGTTTTCACTGAAGAGTGCGGTAAAAATTGCTTTAATTGGTTGATTGATTGGCAAGAACAAATATTGTAAGTGAAATGAGCTGTCTTGAAAATGTGATTCTTATTACTTACTTTCCAGTTGGTACAGGGGAAAATGATCCCTAGTGTAAATAATCCCAGCATAGGTCCCCCGCACATCCCATGAATGCTAAGTGAAGCCTGTTGAAAGGAAGCACGGGAGAAGCTTTAGAAAGCTATTTATTGTCATCAAGTGTCTCTGCAGCATCCTTCTATAATGGTTCTTTCAATTTCTTATCTCAGAGAACATGCTTTTTCTATTTCTTCTTTGTGTAGCATTTCTTGACAGAGTTAAAAAATAAATAAATCTGTATTCAAGTTTAAAGAAAGGAGTTCTTATATTTCCTCCATAAACAGTAAGGTATGGAAAGGGAATTAACCTTTTGAACCAATACATTATGGCAGCGCATTCCACCCTCAACTAAATAGGTGCCCCTAATGTATTCTTGAGATAAGAATCAGTGTGGATGGATGGAAGAGGAGTGTGTGTGGCTTTGGCCCCACCCACTACTCCTGCAGCCCCAAGAGAGAATGCAGCCTTTATGCTGAAAAATATTCTCCACCTGCGGCTCTCCAGATGTTGTGGAACTACAATTCCCATCATACCTAACTGTTGACTTTGCTGGTTGAAACTGATGGGTGTTGAAGCCCAGCAATATAGGTCAGCCACCATTAATCTAAAACAAAGGAAGCATGATTTCTCCCTCCCCTTCATATGCAACATTTAATCAATAGATCAAAATTTAATAAATCACATGCAATGATTTAATCAATTATATCATTAAGCACCTAATAATTTCCTTAACTGGCTAGCAGTTCTAATAGCATGTTCCTCGAGACCCAGACACATGCCTGAAAGCATGTAAAAATAATCTTTCTGGATATCCACTGTGCATTGAGGAGGCCCTTTGATGAACATGAGGGAGAGCACTCCCCAGGGTCTAACTTGCAATGCCAACAGTTTGCTTGTTCAAGGGCAGACCCTACAAGTTGAAACAATACTGGAAACTCCAGCCCGTTGTTACACACGACGGTTGCTGGACTGGGTATTTGCTCATATGTCCAAGGATCCCATTTTGTTTCAACATATTCAGACTAAGAAAAAGACTGGATCTTAGTTTTGAGCAAATAGAAGAGTGATATTTCATCCTGCTTATCCACACAAGGAAAAGAATTAATGCAGAAATGAATGTGGGCAGGGGTTCCTAGTAGCAGCAGACCCATGGGCATGTGGAGCTCCCTTTGGGCTGGAGCTCTCTGGTCTCTCCTGTAGCCAGACAAACTTTGTGTACTAAAGGTGCTGGATTGTCACTTCTCATGGGAGAGAACACAAATTCCTGATACACACAGGGGCTCCAGTTCATACCAACCATCTTAAAATATGTAGTTACCTGCACAACAGGACCCATGAACGATGCTGCTACGGCCATGGAAGTACATATCACTCCAAATACTATGCCTGAAAAAGAGTTGCCCACCATCATCAGCTATAGCCTCGAACATTTAGATGCACTCTTGTGAGATTTGTAACCCATGAAAGATCTCCATGATTCTGAACCTGTGTTCTGCAATCTGATATATGCCCATTTGGGGGTCTATTCATTCGATTACTCTGCTTACTGGTGTCAGTACTAAAGGATGCCCTTTGCTTGGAATTCTCTTCCAGACAAGTCATCTATGACATTTTTAGAACATGGGGAATAAAAACCTTCAAACTTCAATTATTCATAGTTAGAAGCCAACGCGGTTAATTCTGCAGCTTAATTCTGAGTGTGTATAAACGTTCTTATCCTCATCTTTATGGAAAAAGATAATCTGTATTCTTCTTAAAGCTCTTAACATCTCACAGTGTCAATAACATCTGTATGGAAAGCTGAAGCTTAATATGAACAAAACCACATCCTATCGAATTCAGAGACCGTTGAGTAGCTCTTTGACTGTGTGACAGATTTTTCATGGTATGAATTTCAACTCAACACAGTGCAGTGCTGAAAACTGCTGTGCATGATACCTCAGTAGATCAAGGACGGGCCCTCTAGATGCTGCTGGGCAATAACTTCCACCATCCTTGACCATTAGCCAGGCTGTCTGGAGCTGATGGAAACATGGCTCTGACAACACCTAGGGGGTCCCAGTCAGATGCAATAGATGAAGGTTGTTCTGAGCTACTTATGGAACATAAACAGATCGTTAGTTTGTATAGCTCAGGACCATCTATTCCTACTTAACAATGCCTCTCCAAGATCTTCCCAAGGTTACAGTTGGAAATATTTTTAATTGGACATGATAGGGATAGAAACCCAGACCTTCTAAATACAAAGGATGAGCTATGCCATCAAGTTGTGGTTCCTTTCATCTGCTGCTTTGACAGAAGCAGCACGGACACCATGTAGCAGCGGAGCACAAATCATTAAATGTACCATGGGATAAAAAGTTCAGCCATCTTATTAGCCTAATCTTATGTTGCACTGGCATCAGGCCAGACATTTATTTATTTATTAATTTGGTCTATTGGGTTTGCTTCTTTGCTTGTTTCAGTTCACTTTCAAGGCCGGCCAATGGCCAATTAAGTCATGTGTAAATTAATTAACTTTTGCAAATGAGGAATGGGTCCTCCCTCCCCCTGGTCAAGAATATAAGAGCATAAGAAGAGCCTGCTGGATCAGGTACAAGACCCACCTAGTCCAGCATCCTGTTCTCACAGTAACCAGGTACCTCTAGGAAACCTGCAGGCAGGATTTGAGCACAAGAGCACTCTCACTTCCTGTGGTTTCCAGCAACTGGTATTCAGTAGCATTGCTTTCTCCAACTATGGAGGCATAACCATCATGGCTAGTAGACATTGATAGCTGTCTTCTCCATGAATTTGTCTAATCCTCTTTTAAAGTCATCTAGGTTGGTAACCATCCCTGTCTCCTGTGGGAGTGAGTGCCATAGTTTATGCCAGTGACTCTCAACCTGTGGGTCCCCAGATGTTGTTGGACTACAACTCCCATCACCCCTGAGCTCTGGTCTTGCTAGCTAGGGGTGATGGGAGTTGTAGTTCAACAACATCTGGGCACCCACAGGTTGAGAAAGGCTGGTTTATGCACTGTGCAAAGTAGTACTTTCTTTTATCTGCCCTGAGCATTCAGCTTCATTGGCTGTTCTTGAGTTGTTTCTTGAGTTCCACATGCCATGCATAATTTTATAAACTTCTATCAATGTCGCTTCTTATTTACCTTTCTTCTAACCAGGGTTTCCCAAACATGGGTCTCCAGCTGTTTTTGGACTACAATTCCCACAATCCCTGACCACTAGTCCTGCTAGCTAGGGATGATGGGAGTTGTAGTCCAAAAACAGCTGAAGACCCAAGTTTGGGAAAACCTGCTCTACGCTAAAAGGTCCCAAACACTGCAGCCTTTCTTCATAGAAGAATGCCTCCATCTCCAAGATCATTTTGGTTGCCCTTTTTTGAACCTTTGCCAACTCCACAATATCCTTTTTGAGGTGAGGCAACCAGAACTGTGCACAGTATTCCAAATGTGGTCACACCATGGATTTGTACAATGGCATTATGATATTGGTAGTTTTATTTTCAGTTCTTCTCTTAATGGTGTTTAGCACGGAATTTGCCTTTTTCACAGCTGCTGCCCACTGGGTCAACCTCTTCACTGAGCTATCTACTATAACCCCAAGGTCCATCAGTCAAGTTGGTCTGTGTAAACAAAATCAGAGCTAGATGGGCCAATGGTCTGACTAGGTATGCTATGTTCTTAACACTTCACTCCAAAATAATAAAAAAATAGTTGCATGGTTGTATGTGGTTACTACAGCATCTTCTCAGGCAATATTACTCTCAAACTGTTATCAATAAAAATCAACTCAAGGACAATAGAGGTTATATGGCCAAATATCCATTAAGTGATGACATTATAACTATCCATGGGCAGTAAACCCCATTCCAGTATCATGCATCATGCAATAAAAATCATGTGAAATGGAAAGTGGGAACCTGTTTATTGGCCCTCTCCCACTGATGCTCCACTCCCACCTTCCATACATTGGGGAGAAGGTCTGTGGAGGGGAGCCTGTTCTGTGCCCATATGCTCCCTAGCACTTAATGCCTGAACAGGGCTATAATATACAAGGAAACTGATCAGACAGGCAAATTAAGAGTCACCTTAATGGTAATATTAAGGAGTTCAAAAAGAATGCAAGATTTGTAATCTATTGGAATCATGCAAATGACCTGTTAATTTTAGTAAGAGGAGCGCTTTGCCCAATAGATCTAGTAGCATATTTGTGGCCTTACAGTTCAGAAGAATCAAATCCATTTACTGTACCTACATAAGCCTTTGCTGACCCAAGTGCTCGTACGTTCAGAGAGGTTTGGTAAGCAGTGCTTGACAAAATCTTCAAATGTGACAGTTGCCAGAGCATTTATACTTGCAGCCACAGTGCTGTGAAAGTGAAAACACACATTGTGAGGACTTTGGCTGCATCACAACTACAAAAGAACATAAGAAGAGCCTGCCAATGGCCTCTCCAGTCCAACTTCCTGTTTTCACAGTGGCCAATCAGATGCCCATGTGAAGCCTGAAAGCAGGACCTGAGCACAACAGCACTCTTCCCTCTTGCGATTCTGCCATTCAGAGGCACACTGCCTCAGACAATGAACATATAACATGGATATTGTGGTTAGTAGCCACTGATGGCCTCGTTGAATTTCTCTAACCCTCTTTCAAAGCCATCCAAGTTGATGGCCATCACTACTTCCTGTGGGAGCAAATTTAGCTACAGGTCCCAGAGTGGGTTGCACTGCTATGAAGTATGCTGGTTTGGATATTAACAATCCTGAGGGCTGATTCACACAACTCTGAAAACTAGGAATGTCTGTGTGAGAGGAGAACTTAATATGCAGGTTGCGATTTTCAATCACCTCTGCTTGAAAGCCTTTTTAGTGGTATGATAAGATGTCATTCTACATGAAACAGAATGGGGAGCAGCAACACAATCACTTCACCATGATTCCCCCCCACACACACCTAAAAATAAAAAATATATGAACACAGAGAGCACAAGGTTAACTACGCCAATCTACCCCCACCTCCCCTGACAGCCTATTCAGACAGGTACCTTTTGTCTCCAGCTCTTGTCTGATTTTTACTCTTCACAAACACCTGACTGATACAGTATTTTCCACCAGAAATAGACAGGGAAGTAAGAGTGACATATTTTCCCATTACCAGCTTAACTTTTGTGACGCTCATCTATGTTTCCTGACACCGGAGGTTCTTTTAACATGAAAATCACTGTTTGATAGTTTGGTACCTAAGAGATCATATTGTGGTTTGCTGATAGGATGAGAAAAAATATGTGGAAATCTGCTTGCCAGAGCACATGACAAGCTCTGTGCTGGATTGCATACAAAAAGACAAAGCACTGCAGCATTTCATTGCAGGGACGGCGTTGGCAGAGTGAGAGAAATGATGCGGCAGATTCAAGAGCAGCAGCCCCACCAACACTAAACCCCTGTGCGATGCTCTGCTTGGTTTGTCTCCATTAAAACCGAGTGCAGCAGACAAAATGTGAGTAGAGACAACCCAGTTAAAACACAGACCTTAATGTTCCACTGAAGGCACATGCAACAAATAATCCTGGTAGTCCAGGGGTTGTGGAAAAGATGATCATAACAAAATACGGCATTAGCTGGATGCAGAAAAGAAAGGAAGGAAGGAAGGTTAGGAAAGTTTATTCACTCCTCTATGGCACAAAAAGCTGTTCTGTGGGGACCCTACAAAGTAGAGTCGGTCAATGTTGATTGTTATTTAATGGTTGTCCCCCCCCCATGTTTATAGTGGTTCTTGTTTTTATCTATATTATTATTTATTAAATTTCTAGAACGCCCTTCATCTGAAAATCACAGGGTGGTTTGCCATATTAAATATAATGTGAGGTGAGGTGATGCTTAACCAATCCAAAATATCTTTTCAGTGAGGCAATATAACCTGGTACAAAGCATTTGATATACAAATAACAGTGAAAAACCTTACATTACAATGTTTTTAAGCAGAGGGAGCATTGCAGGAGGTTGGACTAGATGACCCTCGGGTTCCCTTCCAACTCTGCAATTCTATAATTCTATTATTCTATCCCATTTTCGGCATCACCCCTCCTAAGAGCCTTCCTGGCATGATGTGTATCTGCCCTCATTTGGTGAGAGAACCACCAAGCCTGACCCTCTAGCAACATTTAGAAGTGCAGTTTTAGAAGTGCAGCAAAGGGTGAATTTCAGTAAGGGAACAACAAGATTCAGATGTGTATTCTTGGATACATCCAATATAAAAATGTCACATTGTGTTTACGTATCTGATTGGTTGCTGTACCTGATCAGGTGCTGAAATAAAACCAGCCGTCCAAGGATCACAGGTCTGGAAATGGGAATACATCACCAATCCTGAAAGGACTGCACATGTCAGGATGACCCACAGCCCCAGTAAATTTAGATAAAGTGCACTGAAGAGAGAAAAAGAGAAAGGGGTTATATGTCTTAAAAAATAAGTCATTCCTGTTTGCTACTTAAAAGAAAGAAAGAAGAAGATGTGTCCAAAAGCTATGAGTGCCCCTTTTTCAAAGATAGTGGCAGTCATGTTGGCTGTATGTACATGAGTGGTGTACACTGGTAATTAATAGAAAATATATAAATTCCAGTCTGGTTTCTAACCCAATTTGGGGACAAAAAGAGCTTTGGTCTCCTTGGTGGATGACTTGTGCTAGAAAATGGATGAAGAGAGTGAAACCCTCTTGTTTTTCCTGGACCTCTCAGTGGCTTTTGTTAACATTGACCAGGGCATGCTTTTGAATGACTGACTGGGCTGCACTTAGGAGACACCCGTGATACAGGGGGCCCAGTGCTTCCTGGGAAATGGGTCACAGTGAGTGGTGTTGAGAGACTTCTGTTCTATCCCATGGCCTTTAGACTATAGGATGCCTCGAGGTTCCATTCTGTTAACAACAATAAAGATCCCTTGGCCATCTTGTACAGTAAATAAGATGAGTGCACCCCCTCCACCCTCATACGTTTTCTTAGAAATTCACAGAAATAGTTGTGCATGCTTCCCCGCATAAATGGGCAGTTGCCTGTATGTCTCTTTAGTTATGTTCCAGTTTGGAACTAAATTTAATGCCTACTTACGCCTTGGCATGCTTTTCGGTTTTGCAGGAAATGCATCTTTGCATTGTGGACTGATTGACTCCATAGATTCCTAACCAGGTAAACGTCCCTCCTATGGCAATTGTCCAAAAGGTATGTCTTCTCAGGGGATCAACATCAAAACTACATAAATGAGACACAATGGTGATAACTCATTTAGCCTCCACACGTCACACCTTAAGTTAGTTTAGGATGCTGCAATCCTGGAGACAGTTTGAATACTTAGATCCCTTTTACTTAAACTGGGTTGAAAAAGCATCACTATATCTAGGAATACAGCAGCGAGGTCTCTGTAAATCAAATCCCTTCCTTGTTTATTATTATTTGAGGGTGGGACTTAAAATATGAATTGACTCAACATTCAAACATTCAAATTATTAATGGAAAAGAAATACACATCTCCACAATGAAACAGACAATGAGCTGGATTCTGACTTAAGGCAGTATCCAATTATCATGTCTCACGGATGTAAGGATTTCTGCTTGTGAAATGGGATTTCCCCCCATTTCTCTGTATGCACCCTGTGCTCTCTCCAAAACTCCGGGGGGGGGGGAGCTCTCAGGACACATTTGGGGGGGGGGAGAAGGGGAAGTCTTGTTGTGCAAGTGGAAATCCTTGTCCTGAAGTTTTAATAATTTAAATATGAGTTTTAGTGTGGCTGCCCCTGTTCTATGGACCAGCATTCATTTCAAGATATGACAGGACCACACTATCTGCAGTTTCCGGAAATGATTGAATGCCATCAGTTCATTTTTTGTTATTTTCTGTGCCATTTTAAACTTTTTAAAGCTGTTTGTACTCCACAACACTCCTCAGTACCTTTCAGTATCCAGTCTGCCCATATACAGTAGACAATGATAGACCCATCCTTGCTGGCCACTTTTAACAATACTGTTATTGACAAAGGAACAAAGACGTCCATAGATCTGAGTATGAGGACCCATTCTGCTTACTCAAATATAGTGAGGCGTGAGCCATTCTGGGCATCTTCCCAAATGTTTGTGAGGCCCCCATTCGTAATAGTTCCTTGAACCAATACTGTTACGAACCCAATCACCATAACAATCAGTTGAAAGGCATCTGTCCAGACGACCGCTTTTAATCCTCCCTAAGACAAAGAGAGAGAAACTATATGTACTTTGTGTTTATTACAGGAAGAAGCCCAATCAAAGTTCAGACCTTAGCAAGATCTTGTCATGCTGAAAACCGATTTAGTGCAGAAACTGAGAGAGGAAAGAATGCAATTTGTGCAGTACTGAATTCTCAAGAGGCTCTGCTATTTGCTGCAAACGTTACCATTTCAGGAAGGTTTAAAAAATGTGTCTTTGTGATTTTCACACCTTTTCATAACATTCTGTTCAGCTAGTCAACTAGCAGGACACACCTGCAAGTCTATTCAGAAATAAGTCTTATTTTGTTCCATCAGACTTACTCCAAGGTAAGGGCTCTAGAGAATTGCTACCTATGTGCAACTGCGTAAGACAGGGGTGCATAACCTGTGGTCTGCTAGATGTTTTTGAGCTGCAATTCCCATCATCCTTGGTCATGCCAGCTATGGCTGAAGGAGTTCAAAAACATCTGAAAGGCCACTCATGTCCTCTTCCCCCAACATAAGGGTATATGAAAGAATCACCTTCTTTGTATCAGCAACAGCACAATTTTATTCCTATTGACTCAGAAAGATGTGCCACTGTGTTCATTGAAGCTTAATCCCAGGAAATTGTGATTAGGATTCCATCCTCTGATTATGGGAGAATGCGTATTACTCAATAATAACAATACCAATTGTCAAAGCTGCCCTAGGTCCCAGCTCACAAAGGACCAACGCCAGTTCGTTGTTATATAAAACAGTCTTTATTGAAGCTCAGTTTCGCTTTCACAGCCGCGGCGCGCAGCTCTACGTCTCAAACTCTAGACCGCCGAAGCTCCGTCTGAATCTCCTCCCCCCAGACACCAGTTTAAGACTCTAGCCTTGCTCCACCTCTTCCTCTGCTCTCTTCTCCTCTGGGCCCGCCTGTCCGCTGGGGTCTCGCCTCTCCTAGACTCTTCTGACGCTGAGTCTCCTGAGTCCTCCCCCTCCCTCCGGCGGGCTTTAGGACCTGGTTCCCAATCCGGGTTTCCTGCTGTGCCGCGCGCCTGTACATTCGAACTTGGCACGTGCGCCCAGCCGGCCACCTTCCTCCTGACCGTTACACTGCTCCTGTCACTGCTTCCCCCTTCGGGGAGGCTAGCTGCACCTGACTCTCCCTCCGTTCCCTCACTCTGCGATGGAGGCGTGGCCACCCCTGACTCATCCTCTCTCCCTGCTGGAGGAGAAGCTGGCCCTGATACATGTGACTCTTCCCCCTCACTACACTCTGGTGGAGGAGCTGGTCCTGCTCTCCCGCTGCTGCTTTGGGAGTCCCCGCTGGCTCCTTGCTTCTGGTGTGTCCCCCCTGGGACCCCCCTTGCCCTGGCCATCGGCGCCCCCCTCTGGGAATCTTCTGATTCGCTGGAGAGACTCATGGAATCTCTCGGGCCACTTTCATACTCCCCTACGCTGCCCTCAGATTCTTCCCCTTCGCTCTCCATTTCCTCTCTCCCCTGTGCCTCTGCTCCTGAGCCCCTGACACCAATAATTTTATTATTTGTACCCCACCCATCCGACTAGGTTACCCCAGCCACTCTGGGTGGCTTCCAACATATATAAAACATTAAGTCTTCCCTGTACAAGGATTGTGGGCTATATTGAAATTTATCACTTACTTGTTTATCTGAACCAAAAGACTTCGTCCATGCCCTGATAATTTCACAGAGTATTTTGAAACAAATTATGATGAGAAATTAAAAGTTCTCCTTTACTGCCCACAAAAGCACAGGATCATTTTTTTCTCACTAACATAAATATGAATCCGAATTATAAAATCCTTGTTATATAAGATTTGAGTTGAACTGTATGTCAAGTACATACCAGGGTACAGTAGAAGGTGCAAACAATTCCTGTTGCAAATACTGAGCCCCAAAGATTAAATCCAGTCACTGCAAAACCAAAGGAAATAAAATTAGGCAAGGTTCATCTAGGGACACGATGAAATCTAAAATGTATTATTTTAGATAATAAAGAAAGACACAGCTTTTATTGATCTGTTTCCATTACCTCCTTTTACATCCTTTATAAGAGAAGTTCAATTTTATTGTTTCTCTGAATGATGCATACTATTTGCAGAGAATTCCTTACTCTGGTGAACAGACCAAATCTGGTTTAGAAGCTAAATGATGGAGTGTCAGACTGCCTATAGCCTTTCGAGGGACATCAGTTTGTCCTTGTTCACATTACACATGACATTAAGACAGAAGGGTGCAAAGAGAGAAAGTATCAAAGTACATGACATGGTGTTAGATCATTATGCTAAACTGGGACCTTTGCCAAGACCTTGAGTAGCACGTTCGGCGCACATCTCCTCCAGTTACTTTTTAGCAAAAGGAAAACCTAGCAAATAAATAACATGATCCTGCATAGAAAACGGGTGAGAGCTGCCAATGGGAAGGTAACAGGAGCAGACATAGATCTTTTCAGAGCATTTGGTGTTCACATTTCTGCTTTACAGTTCTTGCATTGTGACAATTGGCAAAGCTCTAGCATGCTGGCCTGGACACTCACCTTGATTGAGAGCCAGGGCTGGAGCATAGACGACCACTCCAGTGTAAAGAATCTGCAAAGGATCAGAAAGAATATGAAAAGGACAAACTGGAATCTTGGCTAAACCAGTTCTAAATAGACAACTGTCCATAGAAAAGAGCCAAGACTAATAGATAAGCAAAACAAAGGGCACAGGGGTTCTTCGCTGCACCAGATTCTGTGGTTCCATTATATTCACTTCGGCTAGCACTGATGCACACACACAAAGGGGAGCATGTATTCATGCATTCATGCGAATGCAGAGATAAGTTATTTAGCACAACTTCTTGCACCCTTTTTATCATCTCAGTTCGTCACATTTCCCAAATTTATATGACTATATCCAGTTGAGTTGCTTGCAGTGCCAGTGATCTAAATTTGCTTCCACCTGAGCAAATGGCTATTCTGAATATTTACAGCAGTCTGAACTGCAGTGTTGAGCAGTGACTAAAGTGTCAAATGAGTCCCCAGGAGTTTGGGGCTCAAAATCCCCTTCAACTATGAAACTCATCTGGGCCAGTGACCCATCACTCAGTCTAGCCCACTTCCATAAAGTTGCTCTGAGGGAGAAAGGTGAGAGAGGACCATGCATGCTGAGCTCCTTGCAGGAAAGGTGGGGTCAAAAATTAAGTAAATATTGATCATAATAACACTTAAAAGGATTCAGAGGGATTTGGAAGAAAAGGTCTTGTGGCTCCTTAAAGACTAGCTAAGGCTGCATTCCTAGCCCACTTACTTGGGAGTAAGGCCCATTG